GGGGGGGGGGGGGGGGGGGGCACGCTGCTGACCGCTGCAGTTGCCGCGGGCGCATAGGGCAATGGCACGAGGGTGGCCTGGTGGCCCGCATTCTGGTGATTCCGTTCTCTATGAACGAAATTCCATATTCAAGGGCGAGAACGTCTCTAATGACGCTCGTGTCTTCTTGGAGGTCCACGCCTCTAATGACGAATTTGCAAAGCGGGGTCCGAAGGTTTCGCAAGGCTGAGGACAAAGCCTGCGGAGCGAGTTTGATGTCGAGCAACTGGACCTTAGGGAAAGCGCGAACGAATGCTATCCTATGTTGGTGTTTCGGGGGGGAGAGAATTCACAAAAAAGGGGGTTTTGAAAAAGAGAGCTGCTAGTGGCTGTCTGAGGTTGAGTTGGGGGGACTGGCGAATTGCTACCGTGCAGAGTGGAATTTGCAGGCGTGGACAGTTGGGTGTGCGAATGGAAAGGGGAGAGACGGAGAGCTGCGTTCGGATTAGCACTTTTGAGGGAGCGGATGGATTCGGAGGCTAAGGATTCAAGTTTGGAGTTGGCATGGGAAGATGGAGAGGATTGACGTTTCGGCCGAGGGGGTGTAGGCACAGGAGGTTGTAAAGAGGGGGAGGAGGGGGGGGGGACAGATTCTTACGAGTCTTCCTCTTACCAGGCATTCTGTGCCTGGTGAGAGGGGGGGGAGGGGAAGATTTAGGGAGAGAGTCTGGTGAACAGAGAGAAGAGGCTAGAAGTAGGAGTAATAAGAGAGAATGAGTTAACAGAGAGGATATCTTTAGAAAGACAGTTCAGAAATGGTGAGATTTGCCTTCACAAAGACAATTTCGCGCTGCCGGAACACTGGGCTTCGGCAGCAGGGTGAGGATTGATCAAGTGAATACTACTCTCTCCATCCAATGCGCAAGAATTGCCTGGAATCTCTTTGAGTTGGGTTACGTCTCTTGACAAATGCATTAATCACAACTACTTACTTCCTTCTATTTGTGCGTGGGAAAATATCGAGCGCAAGAGGAAAGTCTCTGCTGAATCATCCAGTGGCAGCGGAGGAATGGAGACACGTACGGTAGCGAGTTCAGCGCGACCTCGTTAATATTGGCGGAACTTCCTTTGTATTGAATGCACTGCTAGATGTCAGGCCAAATGGAAGCCCGTTTCAATCGGGGACATCCAATTATGGACCGCAAGATGTTGTTCATTGGACGTCCAAAGGCGAAATAAACCATCTTTTCGTTCAAATTTTGAGTACTGGAAATGAAATCATGAACTGATCCAATTATAATGCCACACCATTGATGTAATGATTGAAATTACGGGGTTTCTCAATTTAAGATGAGAGACTTCAAAGAATAAAAAAGAACTCCGGAAATCACATGATCATGTCGCCATTCCATGAAGCCGTAATTAAAAAAAAATGATTATGCTTGAGATGTATGAAAATCCTGCCCAGATAAGCTCAGAGCCAATGACAAGGTACCGATCCATGGTGATGACAGCTAATGAACATCCAGTGGCGGATCCGGGGGGGGGGGGGGGGGGGGGGGGGGGGGGGGGGGGGGGGGTGGAAATATGAAACCCTCCCCCACGAAAAATTTCTGTGTCCGTACGGGTCAAAAGTATGACTGCTTCTGAACTTTCGTCCATATCTGGAAAATTGAGAGAATTTTTGATCATCAAAAACTTGGGTTATGCGATTTTCTTTCGGCGATAATTCCCAGAACCCTCGAAGGCTGTTGGGTGTTCAGAACGACTTACTTTGGACGCAACTTCGGAAAAGAGTGAGCATTGAACATCAACAGAATCTCTAGATGGGGGGGTGGGGGGGGGGAAAGCGGAGATGATAAGGGTTTTACTTTGGCAAGATCGGAAACCGGATATTTCCAAGAATGACTGGCATTAAATTGCAGTTCTGTGACTGCCCGTCCGAGAATTCACGAAGCGATAGTTCCTCTCTTTTTCATATGAAAATAAAATTTAATTCTTACTGCAACGAACGCCAGCGGAAAAAAAATAAGAAGTGGAACGAAGAGGAAAGGAGTAGAGTTGCGTATGATGGAATCGTCGAGCTGTTTCATGGATGCGACGAGACTCGAATCCCGATCTCCCCGTCTTCTCACAGGAAAGATGAGTCGGGGAAAGGCGGAGACATCCAGGCGTGAAGGTCGCGGATCCCATGCGGCTGCGAATCCCATTCTCAGCCTCATGCGGTGCATGGTCTTCCCGATCGTCTTCATGCTGAGGCTCGGTGCCGTCAACGCACATAATGCATCTTTCGTATCAGGTGATAACTTCTCCTTTTCCTTCTCGTTGATTTTTTTCCCCTTGATCCACGGATGTATTTTTTCACACCCGGCAGTCTACTGCAATGTCTTTCACGTGGAATATTTTCAGCATTCTCCCGAACGATATAAAAGCCTATTTAGTTGCAGTTATGTTGAATAAACAAACACGTGCGGCCCTGTTTGTCTGCGTTACAGGCTCTCAAGGTCGCATATTATTTCTTCCGAGCCGTGAAGGAGTTCTCTCTGCGTTTTCTCGACTCGGCTCGCTCTAGAAACGAGGCCATTTTCGCTGTTATCCGTCTCCGATCGTTCGTTTCGTGTGTGTGCATGTACTTCGGCAGGTGAATAGAGTGGAGCCGACATGGGCAGCGTCTCGGTGTTGGCCCTGGCCCTCTTGAGCCTCGCGTCGTCCTCGCTCGGTCGGGTCGCGGAGCGCGAGGTCATCCTCGGATCGGGGGAACTCGGGAATCCTCACCAGTCCTTTCCGATAACGAGGAAGGCGTGGGGGAAGAAGGCGGGCGGTGTCCGTCGCCACGTCGGACCGCATCGGGCTCACCCCGAGCTCAGGAATGACAACCTCGACACGGTTAGCAAACTCTTGTTTGTTGGCTACCGGTTAAAATTGAGGATTAGAAACTGGAACGCCCGCAGGGTATGCCATGGGGTGGTTACTGACTATTACTGACTATTTTCTCCGTTTTCAAAAATATGTCGCCAACCATGGACAAGATAGCAGTGATATTTTGCTGGAATATCATTGATATATGCCCTTCGCAACCACGAGAAACTCGCATGACAATTGGCTGACATGCTGCAGCAATACAAGCGAGTTTTTCTGCATTTAACCAATCCTTGGATGTTCTGTCATTCAACATTTCATCCCAAGTGTGTTGAAAATTACAATGCATGAACCAAACCTTTAGAAGAAAAAAAAGAAGTGTTAGGTGGAGTGGGATTGCTAGGGTGATTTTCGCTCGTGAGAAGCTAGCAGCGCCATTTGCCATAAAAAGCTATGTTTACGTTTCTCTTTCGCCTGGTAAAATTTCACAGAAACTTAGATCATTTAAATGCCTATGTGTCTGCTGATCGCAAGTATGTCCCAACATTTTCTTCGCGATATGGCGCTATAACCTTCAGTTCGGCAGTGAAATGGGCGTAATCCCTATTAAGCGAAATGATCACATATTTTGAATCAAACTTTTCCCTCTATGAGAAAGAGGAGAGACCCCGAAAGGGCACTCGCGCTGGAGGTCACGGAGGAGATCCGCGTGGTCCCTCCCTCCTTGGCTCTCCACACGTTCGATTATTGTTCTTCGATGTGGAAGGGCAATGAGATAATGAGAGGTCCGTTGCCGACCGAATGCAAATTGCCCTCTTTTCCTCATCGTAGGTTCTCGTTTCTTCTTAGGAATATATCGGTTCCCGATTAACTACTCGTATGGCGTAGTGATAAACTAATCGAGCGTAGGTCACCAATCGTTTGCCGTTTAAATATGTTTGAAAACTTCTTTCTTTGTTGCCCTGGGCCTAAAATACTTTTCAGTTTCTCCTGGAACCGATTTCAGAGACTGAGACAGCTGATATTTGTAAATCGATATGGGGCTTTTTGAACGAGGGATTGTTTTCAGGCGTTTCTTTTCGCGGGACTTTTACACTCGATGGAGCAGGTTTCTTCATCGTCCGATTTAATCGCACAAGTACGCTGACCTCGTCCACAATCTACAATCCATGTCCCTTACAAGAAAATGGGAAAAACGGTTAGGCCTATGGGCCGAGGTCGCCACTGTGAATCGGGCAAGGTCCTGATCACGACGACGAGTGTGTCAACTCCAACACGACGGCCGATCAGTGCCGTTTTTGGCATTGATACTCACCAAACACAATTCGATGAATCGTCACGGTCCCATGACTCTCCCGGCCGACTCTCCCAGCGTATACCTGCCGTTGTTGTGGGTCGGCATGGAAACGAATCCGAATGAATTCCTATAGAAAGGAGTAGGTGCATCCCGATCCGATTGGAGGTCGTCCAGGCCTCGGTTATCACTGGCCCGGTTCGGTTCCACTCTGCCTCTCGACCTTGTATGCCCTTCGCTTAGTCGGGACGCCTGAGCACGTGGGAAGGGTGAATTCCAAGGGTATCCATGCCATTTTTGACCAAAACGGATGACACCAGGGTAGTGCATCTTGTGAGCCTCGGACGGCCGTAAGGGACGCGGCAGACAAGGGTGCGCTATGTGGCTCTACGCCACGCACGCCGGTTGTCGGATCCTCTTCCTCGGTATATCCTCCCACCTGCCGGTAGGGATCTAACACGCTCATTCGGCATCATTCAGTATCATCTCCCTGCCTTCTACCACATTCCCATAGTAAGTACTCTTGGGATCATTGCGGCTTAACGTAATGGTCCTTACCTAATTTACCTTCTACGCTGGCTTACCTATAATTTACCTTCTACGCTATTCGAGGACGACAATCGTGGGAATCCAAATAAATTTTATATCGTCGCGATTCTCAGATGCGCGGAACGCAATGTCACAAGGGAGCGAGTTGCAACTCATTCACCCTCGTTCTTCCCCCTCGCCAAGTCTCCTCAAAATTTGGGGTTAGGCGACATGCCTCTGGATTAGTAAATATTTTTTAAAGGACAGGCGCACTTTTAATTAACGAAATGTTTTGTTGTCATGAAGATAGTAGCAGGCAGCAAATGTATTCATTCAACGAATACCTGTTACATCTGGAAGGATGGTTTCTATAAAAAAAAAGTGGCTTATCAGAACCTCAAAGGCGTGATTTTCCAAGACAGAGCCCAATAAATAACTTTTTCTGCCTTCTCTCTTGCGTGAAGAACCGATTTCTTCCCCTACATTAAGTCTGCTGCCTCAACTTCACATTGCTCAGTTTTATTCATAGCTGCTTTTCATGCAGCCAGGGCTGATAGCGAAATTCGGATACCCGGTGGAGACGCACACGGTCACGACGGCGGATGGCTACATGATAGACGTGCACAGGATCCCATATGGGGTGAATGAGTCCGACGAGGGATCCCGGATCCCCGTCTTCGTTCAGCACGGCCTTCTTTCCTCCTCCGCGGACTGGGTCGTCAGCGGACCCGAGAAGGGACTCGGTGAGTCCTTATTTCCTCTTCATTCGGTGAGCTGTTCCCTGTCTAGAAACACCTCTGTCAGTATTGCCAGTAAATGGAGGAATCTTTCTCTTCTCATACCTTTCGAACATCGAATACGATGAAGAAATTTGCATATCATAAGTTTTTTGTTTGCGAGCTATTGCTCGCAAACAATAGTGAGCGATTTTTGCTTAGAATAAGTTTGGGGAATTCGTTTAATTTGTGGTCGAGCTGATTTGCTCTCGATCAAAGAGGGCTTGAAATTGAAGCGATCAATTGGATAGAAGAACTATATTGGATTGTACCGGCGAAGTTGAACATATTTCCTGGTCGTCTTGACGAAGGTCACGAGAGCAGCTTGCCTCAAAACTCTTCCAGGCATTTTCTTGCCACACCACTAGATTCGGTTTGTACGCTGTGAGGAAACGTTCCAGTAGTTTTGAAATATGCAATGTTAGGGTGAATTTTTGAACAGAGCACTATCCGATAATGCAGCTTTATTTCCAGGAAAATACTCTATTATCAAAGAAGCGATTTTTGAACCGAGCATTTTCCATAATGTTCCATTTTATCTAGACATCAGTTCGTGATTGTAATAGAGTAGGTCCAGAGGCCCTCTTTCGTCGATAATGTTGGATTATTTTCATCGGTCGCAATGGAAGGGCTGCTCGGCTTGCATCGTGTGCAATCGTATCGCTTCGTGTTAACTCCTTGACGTATTTTTTCACCGAAAATTTGTTTTTCAGGTCTAATAGATATATTAGGAATAGAGTCCTCCACTACTCCTCGTCGTCGTGCAGGGTCGTTCACGAAGAATCGTATCGCTTCGTGTTAACTCCTTGACGTATTTTTTCACCGAAAATTTGTTTTTCAGATCTAATAGATATATTAGGAATAGAGTCCTCCACTACTCCTCGTCGTCGTGCAGGGTCGTTCACGAAGTAAAATGCGAAATGATGGCGAATTGCATTTCATGTAACGATTCGTGTCTTGTTGAAAATAATCGAGGATTATTAAAATAGAGCATTGTCAAATGCAGCATTATCTGGCCAGTTCAAAAATCGAAAAAATAATGCTCCTCTTTATAGAGCTGTATTATCCAATAGAGCAGGATTCTTTTAGAGCTCGGTTCAAAAATTCACCCTTAGTTTTATGCTTCCATATTTTGCAGGTTTCATATTGGCCGATGCAGGCTACGATGTCTGGATTGGGAACGTGAGGGGGAACACATACGGCCGACGCCATGTCAAGTTGTCCCCTAAAGATGAAGCTTTCTGGGACTTCAGGTATTCCAGTAAATATATATTATTTTTAATTCATGAAGAAGTGTTGTTTTCCACACTTCGGACTGTTCTGGGGGCTAAATTAGTTGGGATCAGATGGGAGAGCTGGACCTGCCTGCAATGCTGGACAAGATGTTGAAGAAGACGGGTCAAGACAAATTCCATTATATAGGTCACAGCATGGGCACGATCATGTTTTGGGTCTTGAGCGACATGAGGCCCGAATATCGAGATCATTTCCTGAGTATGCACGCAATGGGGCCCGTTGCCAGAGTTGATCATATGATAAGCCCCATTGGACTCATCGCTCCATTCGCCAATCAAATCCAGGTCAGCCATTTTTATTGGGATAAAATATGTAAAAATCCTTTCAGTTGATCTGGATATGATGTGAAGAAGGAGATTGATAATGCAGAGGATATTGAAATGGTTCGGACACTACGAATTCCTCCCGCACAATATATGGATGACGTTAATGGGGAAATATTTTTGCTTGCTCTCGGCCGTGGATGAGAGGATTTGCGAGAACATCATCTTCCTTCTCTGCGGCTACGATTCCAAGCAATTGAACGTGGTGAGAAAAAATGCGAAAGAGAAATTTGGCTCGCGGAACTTTTTGGCATGCTGCTGGAATGTACGCATCTGCATGGAAAAATTCTGGCATGCAAAAATGACAAGAGGAGCACTTAAGTGTTTTTGCGACGCATTCTGTTTGCATTGACTCCCGCGCGTATCATTTCAGCATTTTAGGGGAGGCTTGATAGAATTACTCATCAGCTTGCGACAGTGGGCCTTGAAGAGGGTGGAATGCGAAGCCCAGGACAGATCTCACAGCTCCCACCCAGCCCACCCTGGTTCCTCAGTACTCTTACCTTTTCCTCCCGCCTCTCACTTTTTTTTTTTTTTTAAGGACTGCAATATATACAATAAAACAAAATTCGGGTATTAGCTATCGGATGGAGTCCACCGTTCGGCAGTGACTGAACCTAGCCATTCCTTTAGAGTCTGCAAGTGAAGAACAAGAACTCGATAAGGCCGGTGGGGAGGGGAAAAAAAAAACGGATAGCGAATGGAATTTGGACATCGCATTTATTGAAAACGGAATGGCAGGGACAGGATGAATCTGCCGATCATGCTGCCTAATTGGAATTAACCAAAAGAAAGTTCAATAGGCCTGTTTTAGTTTTAAATTTAAAATCTGTACATCATTCGTGTCACGTTTTCATAAATAAAATATCCCATAAATTCACCAAAGCGCTAATAGATGGTGGCACAAACTGAGCAAATAGAGTAGTCCCCGTCTTCCTCACAAGAGGATGTGCATGCTTGCATGCTGATGGAACGTATCGACAATAGTGGTTGTTGGAGATGTTGGGCCGATATGAATTTATGCCGAGCTCCGATTTCATGGCTTCCCTTGTCTGCAACGAGAACTGGAGACTTCAGATCGTCTGCACTTCTGTCCTGTTCCTTCTCTGTGGCTTTGACGAGGCGCAACTGAATGACGTAAGCATGAACAGCGACGCTTCATTCCTTTATCTTGCATGAGATTTCATGCTCAGATATTACGGTCAATTTCAAAGGCGGTATTCGCAAATTATGACAAAAATGAGGCAGCATAGAGATGCAGGAAAAAAAATTATTGCTTGATCACATGGGATGGGACTGTGATAAGCATTGTATTCTTTAGACGCTGCTGCCGCTGATCATGTCCCATGCACCAGCAGGGACATCCACGCAAAATGTCGTTCATTTCGCCCAAGAGGTAAATGCTGAAAAATTTCAGCATTTCGATTGGGGGGAAGAGGTGAATCTGCAACGCTATGGTCAGGCAGTACCACCTGAGTATAACCTGTCCAAGGTTAACACCCCAGTCTTCCTCTATTGGGGCCAGAACGATTGGCTCGCCGTTCCCCAAGTCTGTCCATCATCACTTTACATTTTGCATCCCTTGGGTACACTTTCTTTATGAATAATATTTTTTTTTTTCAGGATGTTGAATGGCTATCGAAGCAAGTACCTAGCTTGAATGGGAACTTCCGTGTGAACTTCAATGCCTGGAATCACCTGGACTTCCTTTGGGGCATTGACGCCAAGAAACTTGTCTATGATAAAATAACTGACTTGATGAAACAATTTGAGTCATGAAAAGAAACAGAAAAATAATTGAAAATATATGCAATATTTATATTTATTACATGCAAAATTATCATTCCTCCTTTCGTGGGGGTTCAAACTTTCTTCATTTTTAATTTATTCTCAATCAGATAACCCCCCATAATAAACTTCATGGATAAACCCTTCCAGTTGGATTATTCTTGATATACCTTTGATGCAAATATTCAAAACTTTTCAGAACAATACATTTTTTTTTCTACCTATGTCAGAACCAGGACTGAATTAGGCAAATGAGGATTAAAATTGTTTGAAGATTTCCTTGTGAAAAAAAATCCAAAAAACGTAGTTTGATTCATAGTTTCCAAAAGTTTCTATGAAGAATCATTTTGAAAACTAACAGGAAATTCATAATTAGATTTGGGATTGATTATTAGCTACGGATCATAACATGGATTTGATTCATATGTTCAAAATCTGATTTGGCCATCTCTAACAGAACCTAAACTTACTGATATGCACACTCCTGTTTCTTAAAAAATGCAAAAACTAGGAGATCTAAGTAAAAACACTGGAAGCTAAGCCACATGCAAAAGCATTTATTCATTGCAGAAGCTTACACCTATAGTACAAATTAAAAATAAAATTTCCATTGAATGAAGCTTTTTATGCAAAGCAATATCAAAAGGACTAGAGGAATTCCATACAAATTGTCATTTGTGATAAAGTAGCTGGTAGCAAGTGAGGATTCTTATGCAAACCAAATAACATATGTTTCCAAAAAATTGAGATTCACATATATGTTGAGCACCAACTATCAATGATTTTCTTTCAGTCATGCTTGCATGACCAACTAAAGTTCTATAGTAAGATGCAAAAAATACTGAAAGCAGCTGCAACATCATCTCTAAAAATAATAAATCACAGAAACAACATAAGAGATCATGAGAAGGAAGTGTTAAAAAATAAATGCAATCAGATTCTTGGGATTTAGATCAAATTTAAGATTCCAGTGACACGATTTCTGCTTCAATGTTCTTCCTTGCCTGCTTTTCAAAGCGCTTCCGGAATTCTCTTGTTGCATAGATGTTTGGAATCTTTAAGAAGACCCTCAAGACCTTGGAAAATAGAAAGATATAGATGAAGAGAATGTTGGATAATATAATACATATAAATAACACCAAAAAAATTTGAGAGCATCTACCTTGGCTCGAAGTTTCTGGTATGCATCCTGTGGCAAGAAGGCATACTCTTTGCATATGTTGGCAGCATACTTGAGATACTCTTCAGGGGAGGATCCAAGAACAGCCATGTCCATATCAAGAAAGTAATGCTTATCCTCAGTCCCAAAGGTCCACTCTGCTGTGTGTTCCTCAGTCATATGGGTTGCAGTTAAGCGGATCAACTCTGTCACTTGCTTGTACAGAGCAGAGTCCTGCATCAAAAGCATTAGTTAATGAATTATCATTAACCAAATCTGATCTCTGATCAAGAGGACCATGAGTTCTGATTGATTCATACCTTTTCAATACCTGCCTCTTCTGCAAACAGATGGAACTTGTCAGCACTTTGCTCCTCATTGTCACCTGCTTGAGGATTGTAGATGATGCTACAGAGAGAAATAAACAGCACAACTTTATTTGGATGAATTGTGTTGAGAATACCCAGATCTACAAAATATCAAGGTGAGCCAAGCAACATGTGACATCCATGCAATGTTGCTGCAACATGACTTGAGCTAAATGACATTGTGGTAACGTCGCATGGGCGTCATTCAGATGTATGTGCTGCCTGGGGAGATATAGCCAAATCTGTTTTAAGTGATGCTATTTAGCTGTGCTGTGCAAATACTTGATTTTTACATTCTGCATAATGTTATACTTCAAGCAAAAAAGACTGACTCGTGAAAGAAGATAGCGAAGGACACTGCTTCTCTATTGCTGATCTTGTCGTCATGCTCTTCCATGAGTTGGAACAGATGATGAATGTGCGTGAAGGTGTGATAGTGACGAGATTCGTCTTCATAATGTGTCAGAAGGATATTCCACCATTTATCCATGATTTCTTCCGATGATATCTCGCTCTTTAGGCTATCCCACTTTTCTCGGAGACTTGAGGAAATCTCCACTCCTTCTCCCATGTTAATAACTCAGCCCACGCAGATCAGCCAAACCCCACTGCTAACCTGCGCGGTTACCCAAGAATGTAGGAGCCATTAGCATTCATAGTTTGTCATCGATACGAATAGAAACAAGGTATTGCATGCAGGTGTGAGTAATCTAAAATTTTTATATAGAAGCCCTGCGCTGCGGGGACGAGAGTAACGGATTTCCCTTAACTCGCACGTGCTCTGCTGGACGGATCCATATTGCGAAAGTTGGCTGGGAGCTATAGAAAAATAAATTCTGGTCTTTCACTTTATAAAGATACTTTGTGCTCACTGGATTTTAGTATTCAATAAATTTTTTACATAAATGTTTTTAAATGTCATTCATGAAGGGTAATGTCAAATATACATATTTAAAATCTACAGAGATTTGACATATGCATCTGTGTCGTCGGCATCCCTTGCACATTCAATGGCGTCATGACAATAGAGAATGTGATTGGTGGAAAGCGGTTCAAACTGAATTACAAGTCAGGCGGCCTAAGCCAGACGCGGGTAATCTGTCCTTGCACGTCTATTTCTGCCGGTGATTTCTGGCGATTGCGGTTGGATGACCTCAGTGAAGGGTAAGTCGACGGTGCGTGGGTTGTGAAGTAATATGGCTCAGCTTGGTATCTGGCTAAGTTTGATCCAATTTCAGCTGGCCTCATTTAGATGATTTCCAAACTGGAGACGAAGTGTCACAACGGTATATCGATTCGTCGTTAGCAGTAAATTAAGTCAGGTCTGAAGTGAAACTGAAAGTGCTTTCAGCCTGATAGCTCCTGTAAGGTTTCATTTCTAGACTTTCGTACTGGCTTGGCTGGCTTGCAGATGATTTGACTTGGACCTGTTTCATTTAATCCTAGTGCGTTGTGAGACACTGAATAAATATAAATCACATGCCAACAGAATGAGTTAGCATGTCCAGTTCATTCCCCATTCACTCTGAATTATAAAATTTTAGAACATAAATTTTATAATTCACTCTGAATTATAAAATTTATGTTCTAAAATTATCCCTTTCATGGCATTGATCATCATAAGGATATCTGTAGAGACTGCTCTCACAGTTACCATTGAGCAAAACCTGTTATATATGGTATCGCCTAATAGCTCTAGAAAAGGGCTCTTTGGTGATGTATCACTCATTCAAATAGGTTGTAGTTCAGGCAAGTTGGATCAAAAAGAAAAGTTGTGACCTGATTTTTAAAATTTTTTTGTGAAATGGAATTTTGAATTTAGTAAGATTTTTTTTTCTTTTTTTTTGGAAAATGGAAAAATATGCCTGCATGCTGCAAGAATGAATGGATAAAATTAGGACAAAGGCAAATTTTAGGGACTCTCCATGTGTGAAGAATGGCTTGTTATTCAATATTTTTGGTTGATGATTCTTGTAATTAAAAAATTCTGTTTTTGAATAGATGAATAAATATTTGAAATTATCTCCAAGCTCTGTCTTTAGCTAGATCAGTTCAATAGAAAAAGTGATGGAAAAATGTCCTAGTTACTCATTTTCTTAATTCAGCCACGAAAGGGTTAACTCGTACAAAGGTTGATTTCAAACAACAGTTCAGTTTATCTTTATTTTGCTGTATGTGCACAAATGAGAATTTTCACCCAGTGTCTCTACTTCCAGAGCTGGACAAAATACAAAGGATTGAGTATTTTTATACAAAATACTTAATAATGTATTGTATATTCTAAAAATGAATACAGCCCAATAATATCATTTCAAATGCAAAATACAATGTGTACTTAAAATACAATTGAGAATACAAATGAAAAATTTGAAGTTTACATGGTGCCTTTCAGATTTCATCCAAAATCAAAAACCCTTCAGGAATTCTGATCATAGGACTTCACAGCACATAGCCTGAGCTTGGCATTCTTTCTGTTATCCTTCCTAAATCCTAGACTGTTTCCCCTTATACCATTCATAATCCTCAATGAGATCTGAATGTAGTCTCTGAAAGCAAAGAACAGAAATAGTAACCTGCATTGGCAAGATTTTGGTTTGCACAAGGCCTAGGTCTAATTATGGTCAATATATCACAAATCAAAAGCCTTGCTTGGGCCAAGGACAAAGTTAGCATATTTACACCAAGATATTGCAACACAATCAACCTACAAATGTATGAAGAAGTTGAATGTTGCAGCTAGAGTTCCATTGATCACTTTCTCTGTAGATCATGTACACAGGCAAGGAACACCAAAACCACAGGAGCCATGTCATTATTAGATGTTGGAAATGGTTCATGGGGGGGGGATCCACATATTTCCATAACATATGGGATGAGAATCTTGAAGACAAAGAGGACATTAGAAACTTCAGGAAAAGTTTTGTATAATCGAATGGTGACATAGTTCCAGGCCCATAACATTGTCATATTTTATCATGCAGAATTATGTCAGTGGCAAATGATGAAGTGAATCTTGCTGGAGCAAAATCAAGGCAATTCTTCAATAAAATACATGTGCAGCATCAGAGCCCTTTTTCTAATCATGTAGCATTGACAATCTTGTAGAGTCAAAAATAGCATGGAATCAAATTTGGTATTGCCATCATGAAGTATTGTAGCATAAATGTCTTTCCCTCCATCATTCATAAAATTAACTTTAATAATATTGTGCTGTCCTAAAGATTTTGAGTTGCAGTTATAAGACTTGTTGAAAATAGAAGTGATATTCATGCCATGAAAAAAAAGTAACTTTTTTTATGAGTGATCACTGCTTCTCCTTCTGCTCATGAAGAGGGGCTGTCATCACTACTTTTTTCTCAGAAGGATTGGCAGCTAGAGGTCAAGACAACTCATACAGAATAGAGGAGAAGGATATCATGAAAACTTCCATACACACAGTGTCACATCAATAGCAGCATAAATTGCCTTATTCTGATTCATCTGCAGAAGGAAAGAGAACTTTTGCTGCGTAATATACAGAATCTAACCCTATACTTAACCTTAAAGATATAGAGTTCCATTTGCTATAAGTTGGAATTAATGCTACATATGTCTAGTCAGAATGAAAAAAAAAATTTTACGAGCAAAATTGTGCACCTCACTAATTTTGGTATTTTGTGATTTGTCTACCTTCCTTTATAAAGATGAAATTTAGAAACAATCCACTATTAATCTTTTTATTACTATAAAGGAGAAAGAAGGATCCATATACTTCCATTGAACAGATATGTATTGGTTGTCCAAAAATTGCAAGACTTGTGTAGGATTCACTATTTCATGATAGGGTTTTTCCCCAAATGAAGATAACTTGTAACAGTTCGTCAAATATTGCTGAACTCACTTGTCCTTTTCAAGAATATGTCCTGTCTTTAAATAGGAAAAATTCCCAGTGCAAGAGGCCATGCACAAAATACATGTAAAAGTTTCTATGGGACAGCAGAATGCAATACCAAATCACCAAAAATATATAGAGGCATCAATTCAAGGAGGTTTGGGTCAAACTTTTTTTTGTCTGTGAAATGGTTTGAGAAACCAAGATATGCTCTTCATATGTGCTCATTTTGCAGATATAATGGAAGGAGACCTGTCCCTGGAGAATAAAGAGAACATTCCAAGCCCAGTGTCAGTCCAAGGACAGAGTGCTACAAAGGGATTTCAAGCCATCAGTGAAAAAAATACCAAATCTCTACTATTGAATCATGCAAGTCAACCCCATTCCTGTGAGCAGGGACAGGAGGAAGAACAGGAAAGAAAGGAATTCTCTGTTGAAAATTTTGTAAAGAAGCAGGACCATGAAACAGATATTATTGCAGGGAGTATTCATCCATCATCCATATCATGTATTCCTCAGAAGCAAGGAAAAAATGATAGCAATCATTCTGCTCAAGTTGTGGAGAAGAGTGTCAATATTAATAAGCAAGATGAAGTGAAGGAGCAAGATCTGAGTAAAAAAATTGCCCCTGGCAAGAGCATTAATGCAAAGCGCAGAGCAATTGAAGTTCCCTCCCGACTTGGAATATCTTATGGTCTTTCCACAAGGAAAAGTCAGAATCATAAACCAGTGTTCAAGAAACCCTCTCTTCCTCCAAGTGCTAATACCAAGGCAAGGAAGGAATCAATGCCTCCAAGTTCTAACAAAAGTCGATTTTCCTTTGCAAGGCCTACTATTGCATCTATGGCCAAATCTACAAGCCAGGAATCTCTCTCAGAGTCTGTCCATGATCCAGTTGCACCATTGCCAAAGAAGCAAGAATTCCTTATTCATTCTGCCTCTGTGAAAGCAACTGGGCAGATTTCCAAATCCAAACCCTTTGGACATGGCCCTGCTGCCCCCAAGACATCAGCTCACAGGGGAATCAGAGCAGGACCTTGTAATCAGGTAGAGGTGTCCACAGCAGGTCCCAAACAAGCTAAAGATAATACTGGAAGGACTACTATGAAGAAAGAGGCAGAAACATCAGAAAAAGTTGCTCAGAAGAGGAAGAGCCAGTTTGCCCAATCTACTGTCTCCAGTCGTGTCATTCCCTCAAAGCAAATGCCTCAAAGGCATTATCGACTCCACTGTGGGATACTTAATTCCTTACACAAGGAGAAAATGCCAACTACCAAAACTGAAGGCTCAATGAAACCACCATCCATGATTCGGAAGAGAATATCTGAAAAATTCTTGAAGTCACAACGTGACTCTTTTGGTAGGCATCTAGTTTTTTCTTCCTTGGTCTTTCATAGTGTATGTGCACCATGTTTATTGGATTGAATAGTCTTCTTTTTTGTTTTTTTGTTGCAGGGCGTTCCAAAAATCCTGTTGAATCAGCAGTGCAAAGTGCATCTGGAAAAGCAGTGAAGTTTATGGTAGCATACAAGTCAAAGCAAGACATGAAGTCCCAGGTGAAAGCCCCCTGCAGTAGATCCCTGAAGTGAGTTTCAATTGTAATACCAGTAATCTTAGAACAGAACAGCAGATATCTCTATACCCTCATGCTTTGTTTATATCAGTGAAAACCTCCATCAGTGGCTACGCAAGAATGCAATGACTCCAGCAAGAATTAGGCATCTTCGTTGCTTTGGGATTGAGTCAGTTGGTGCCACGAAATCCTTTGAGCAAAAACAGGATGAAAACCTTGCTAGGCCTCTAAAGAAAAGTGAAGAGTCAACCACAGTAGGACAAGATGATAATGCAAAGGAAACTAGCACTTCCAGTTTTACTGAGGCAGACACATCTCAATTGAATACAACTTTCACTAAAGAAGATGAGCAAACCAAGGAAGATCACAGTGAAAAGGCTTGTGAGGAAAAGCAGCTGGTGGAAGATGCCAATGTAGGTTCTTTTTTGTCTTATATCTATTGTTCAGAAATTGATAATTTGCTGTTGTGTTCATGTAGAAATTTTGCACTCTTTTCAGCCTTCCTTGGAACAGCCCAAAGGAAACAACTCCAACCTTATTCTCAGAGATCTATATTTCCTTATGGAAATGGTGAGGATCTCTTTCCTTGTATATTCCATATTCACAGTCCTTTATATTGAGCTGTGCTGGAGTGGTTCTCATTAAATTCTTACAAGTGCTCATTGCTTGAAACTTCCCAAATTTTGATGTGACCTTCATATTTGGTATGCAATAACAACCTCATAGCTGATATTTTCAACATATATTGCTGTTGCCACTTCAAAAAAAGCATCCCACCAATCGTTTAGTATGCAACTCAACTGCTACCTTGTCCAATCACCTCCATGCAATTAGTCTGCAAAGTCTCATGTGTAAGGTCATGCAAATACAGGAGCATGATGTATTTCTTTGTCATGATGTTGAGTGGCTACCTTATACTAGTTATCATCAGCTAGTTTTTATCACTGCATCCATGAAAAACATGGATTTTCTAATTAAGTATGTGTGATAGGATATGACTTTATACCTCCATGGACCATCATATAAGAATTGTAGGGCAGAAGCTAAGGAATTGGGAATAGTGAAGAAGTAGTCATCCTGGCATGGAATCCAGGGAAGTGTAAGCTATTTCTGGTTGGGGTGGGACAATATTTAATTCCCCTTACCCTTCCACTCTTAGTCCTGTTGTGTTCATAACAGAGGCCTGATATTGTGACCACAGCATTCTAAGGCTCTCAAAATTGAGCAATTGGAAGAATGACTTGATTTATGCATATGTGCCTCAGGTGTGGATTCCAAGAGTATTTATTTTATTTTCAGGGATATCCTATTAAAGAGGTCAAGCAATGGATGGAGTCTGTTAGAGATCATTATGATGTGACCAATGATCCTGTTTACCACATTCTCCACAGTGGGATAGCTCGTCAGCAGCAAGATGCCATTACTGCTTGGAGTGCTCTTGAAAGAGCACTGGAATGCAATGCCCTGAACTCAAAAGTATAAAAATGCCCTAACTGCATCTGGAAGGCTCTACAGTTACCGAAGCCTTGCATATTGATGAGTTTTTTTTTATTTGTGCATAGGATTTCTGCCTTTGGTCTGCTGAAGTTGGAGCTTTTGTCAAGGCTTTCACTCCTGCACTCTCTAGGAAAAAGAAGGGAGACTCTCAGTCCTCTAAGGGGACACCCCGTAAATCCACCTTGAGTTCGCCAGAATCAGAGGTGTTCCTAACTCCTCAGACCTCATACAAGTCCAAAGAGTTGAAAACTGGCTCTGTAAGGAAGAGTGTACTGGTGCGGTCCAATGCAAAAACTCGCAAGCTGTGAGTACAAGCAACTTTGACTCCAGGTGATTGACCTTGACACTGAAGATGGTCATTGGTTTTTTTTTTTCATTTTCCAGTCTTCAACAGCAGCTTGGAGGTCTTCATGTCCCAGAGTCAGCCATGATCCTCACTGATGTGCGTCGTTCAGCTCGCATTGTTCCTGAAGGGAAGTTAAATGGAGATAAGGGAGCCACAAGTCATACGACCAAGATGTCAGTTCATCCCTTCTATGTTAAGAATAAGCATTTTGCATCTAGCTCCTCTTCAGCTGACTCTCCTGCCCCCACTGAACAAGGGAGCAACTAATGGGCATTCATGTTGTGAACTCTATGTACAAATTCGGTACATTATCTTCATGCACGGTGGTAACTGAACAGTGAGAAATGTGAAGGAATTTATTCCATACTCTTGTATAAAAGAAAAAAATCATTTTCACTCCTGGGTTTTAATGATTGCATGAAGAACATTGGTAAGTTTCATTGATGGCTTGAGGTTGTTTGGTAGTACTGTTTGGCTATTGAAATTCATCATGAAAAGCTGGATTGGGAAGGGTTTCATTTCAGCATTTCGCACAATTTGACTGAGAAATTGCTGGAATCTTATCAGATTTTATTCATGTGAATAAAATTCTCTAGTTTTATGCCTTGTTCTGTGGGTCATTCTAAGAAGCAGCCAGTCATCAAGACTTAAGTTATATGGTGAAAGCCGTAAGTAGCCCTCATGAATCATGAAAGCTCGAAATGAGTCCAACAGAGATTTCCAGCTCAAGCCTATACCTTTCATTTTCCCATGCCTTATATCCAGGTTTATCTTTCAATTTGAGCCAGGGAAAAAAAAAATTGTTCTTGTTTTATCATGCAAATTTCCATGCAGTAAGTACAGCCATTCTTCAATATAACACCAGTCAGTCATGACTGATTTTAGTGTGCTATATTGAATGAACCACATTATGATAGTGGCAATGATAACCAAAATCTCTACAGGGTGCGTAAGAAGTTCTGTTACAAACTTTTTTTGCCAAAAACAACCAAAGCAACAAGAATGGCAACTCTTAAGTTATAATGAATTAGTACAAAGTGTCAGTCAATATTAGGAACCATGGCTACTCGAAATGTCCGCCACGTTTGGAAATGCAAGCCTTCAATCTAGGGCGGAAAGCGTGTACTGCAGCACGCAGCTGATGTGGTATATTCTTCCATTCTCGGACCAAAGACTTCTTAAGAGTCTCGATGCTGCGGTGGGCACTAGTCCCAACCCATTTCCAAAATGGACCAAATAGAAAAATATATAGGGTTCAGGTCGGCGGAGCTAGGAGGCCATTGGTCCTTTGTGATGAAGTTCGGAATTTCGCGATAAAGCTGTTTGGGAAATGTTGGAACCGTGTGCTGGCGCACCGTCTTGCTGAAATGTCCAAGCTTGGTTGCCGAACATGATCTGACCTGCACGTTTCACTACTGGGTCTAGAATGATATCTCTGTACATCGCACTGCTCATCTTGACCCCTTCAGGAACGAAAACCAGATTGGTGCGACTGTTGGCAGACACTCCTGCCCAAACCATAACTGACTGGGGGTGTTGTGAGTGAGGCACGATTAGCATGTCATCCGAGACATCTGAGATCCGTGGCGCGAGGATCCGATCATTTTGTCGATTGGAGGTAGCCTGGATGGTGAACAATTTTTCATCGGAAAACAGGATTTTGTCCACGTCATCAGCCGTGAACCGCTGCTGCAAGGCCTTGCTTCGTTGAAGTCGCAACTGCCTTGTGCGAGGTGGCAGCCGCTGCGCATGCTTGCATTTGAGATATTTCAAGCGAAGGTGTTTTTTGACTGGTTCTCATGGATCCCTCTGATATGTGCATTTCCCTGGCCAACTTCCACATGGAGTGCCTGGGGTTCCGTTGAATTCGGAGAGCCACCTTTTTCACCATCTCTGGAGCCGTAGCAGACCTTGGGCGTCCACTTCTCACACGATCCTCGATAGAGTGGGTCTGCTGGTATCGTTTAATGGTGCGGTGAATGGTCATGCGATTCGTGCCTCGGCCGGAGAGGACTTTGAATATCTCTAGTGGTGTTTTTCCGCTGAGATGAAGCTCAATGATAGCTGCACGTTGTGCATTCATTTTGACACAAAAAATGACAACGAACTGATAAGACCGCCGCTTCACATGCAATTATAAGCTACATGTCCATATAAGTCACACGCGCATAGGCTTGTAAAAGGTTCTACCCGTGAGTCTTTCTATGTGAGTCCAAAGTTTGTAACAGAACTTCTTACGCAACCTGTAAAGTACGAATTGACTAGGTGGATATAAAGCTGATATTGCAATCACTAATCCCCTTTGATGCTTCACATTTTTCGCATGCTCTAATCTTCATGGTCTCAATATCTGTTATGCAATCAAGGTCAGCAAAAGATTTGTAGCTGCATGCATACAAGATATGGGTTGTGGCAGGTTTGCTACTTTGTGAAAAGAGAAAAATTTACATGGTAAGAAGCACATTTGTATAAAATGGTGCTAGTTGGGGGACAGCTTGCCAAGGTAGTGCTATAATAGATCACCTACGAAAAGTTTGTAGGGAAGGTTTGGCAGAGCAAGGATGGCTGTATGTCAAAGTTTGAATGCATGTTCAATAAATCGAATCGAAAGTGATCGAATAACAGAACAAATCGATAAAATTTGATAAAACCAAATAACTGAACATACATTGAGTTCATGACTTACAATAAATTATATGCAAAGCATGTAAAAGAAAAACCCTACTTCACACCTATATCCTGCCTTTAGGATCACTATGAAATGTTCCACTCATCTCCAACTCCTGCTGAAGAAATAATCCTTGGAAAAAAAAAAACTGATTTAAAATTCCATATCAATTTCACCCTTTACATTAGACAAGTAGAGATGGATTGGCTACAATCTTCCCTCCAGAAGACTGGGACTGGGCAGGGAATGATATTCCATGACCCATTTCTACAGGACAACCATCTCATACACTCTTTTTTTTGCTATTCTGACTTTACATTGCAGCAGTTTATAGATTCCACTCTTTGATTCTGCTGTGATTACTATTTTTTGTTCTCTCCAATCCCTGTTTGAGGCTTTCACGCCTCAAACAGGGATTGCATTTTTGGCTGGTCCATGTGAACTCCCCCCAAGTTGACTTACTATATCATCTAGAGGTGCTTGGGGCGCAACCATTTTCAGATCTTTTAAGAATATGATTTAAGAAAAATGCAAAAATGGGAGAATGGGGGACAAGTTCGTCAGATTGGTCTCTACTCCAACCAATATAAAGCTTGGTCCCTAATCTAGATCATAAGCTCTTTTGCTTGTCAAAGGCTAATTCTCATGCATCAAGCATGTCCAACTTTTTTCATTCCAGCTTTTATTCTGTAAGGACATCATGAGAAAGGTAGCGAACGCAGGCATTTGTCAACGATATTGGCTATGTGATTGTCAATATCGGCTCCAGTCAGGCGAAAATTCATGCTGCTCACTTCCTTCGGCCCAGTTGTGGGCAGCTGTCGACGTGACGGTGCTAGAATAGAGTCCACATAAAATAGATGTCATCGGCAAGTGCCTAGTTTTCCAGGAGCTGAGCCGGCAATGGCAAATGGTAGGGATGTCAACTCGATTAGATTAATCGATTAAAGTATTTATCGTGATTCTAAAAATTAGTCGAAATTAATCGAATTTTAATCGACCCCTGAATGCCTTATAATTTGGCTGTGTAGTTCATAGTTTCGCAAAACAACCGAAAACGAATGCTTTATCAAAGGAATTAAATGTAACGATGGCTTATACAGTAGAAGGAAGTAGTTTTCGCACTGCTCACTCTTCCTTAAAAATTGCTAACTATTTTTGGAAAAAAGGGAACGCAAAAAAAAACCCACAAAGCTATCGTTTTCAATTATTCCAAAAAAGAAGCTTCCTGACCCATTCGCATCCACAAGCATTCTGGTACGCATCCCTTATAGCAGGGATCGGGGAACCTTTTTGACCATGTGAGCCATGTTAAGATTGAGCTAAGTGTCTGTGAGCGAAAAATTTTCAAAACAACAAAATTTTTTCTGAAGTTGGCAACAGACATAGGCATTCTTTGATACATGAGAAGCAACCACGATTTTCAGCCATGACTCGATGAGCCAAACTTTTCGGCTCGTGAGCCAAATTTGGCTCATGAGCCATAGGCTCCCGACCCCTGCCTTATAACCTCGCAGGCCTCGCGCGTCAGGCGAAGGTATGTGGTAGCAGCGGCCAAGAGCGACCGAAAAGTCACTGGATGCGAATTGAGAAAAGAAAGTCGTAATAAAGAAGGTGCAAGGGAACGCGCAGAAGGAATAGAGGATTCAAAAAGGAACGTGGGACAAGAGAAGCAGGAACGAGGATAATGTAAAGATTGGGGAGTGAGAGACGTCGACGAATGTCTGTGGGAGCCCCCGGGAAGTGACCGGGAGAGGGGGAAAGCTGGGAGCAGGCGAGAGTAGAGAAAACGAGTGTGAAACCTTCTCCTATTCCTTGCTTTTTCTTCTCTTCTCTCCTGCGTTGCCCGTGAATCGATATTGAATCTTAAATTTCCGCGTAATGAAGTGTCACTGCATACCTCCAATTATTTGTTACATTTTGCGTGGGTTGGCAAAACGTCAAAGGGCCTCAGTGCGCTTATTTGCATACGTTTCACTATTCATCTGCTTACGTTGTGATTATTCTTCCTCCGATTGGAATGTGTCATGCAAATTGAACCAGTGTAGGTATGGATGGTAACTGCTATGTTAGCGACTGCATTGCCTTGAGTCACTTCCTGAGGCTTGCCTAGGTGTTGGACATGACAAACAGAATCATGCTCAACGCTTAGGACATGATTCAAGGAATCGATTAAAATTCGATTAATCGATTAAATGGCTCGCGATTAATATATTACATTTTTTATTCGATCAGCAGCCTTAGTAAATAGTAAGCTGACTGAATGCAGAAACAGTGGTGGGACTCTGGCGGCAAATGGGACGAAAACGATGTCGCGACTCAATCATTTCATTCTTATAGCTCATTCTCATCAGTTTCTGATCATGCTGCAGAAGAAATAAAAAGTACAAGGACCAGTGGCCTTATTTATTTATATAAAATTAAATATTTTACTTTATTTGTATGTATTAATTAAATTAGTTAATTTATATCCTATAATTATTTATTATTACTTTTTTGTTGGAAGGGAGCCAGTTTGAAAACCACTGTAGTTCCCTCCGGGAAGGGATGTTCCTCCACGCGCTTTATAGGTTTTCTAGGTCAAATGTGGACAAAAGAAAATCAAATGCGACAAGGAAAGTTAAATGTGTCGCTGAGTTGCCTCAGAGTATCAAAATCGACATAAGGAAGGCCAAATGCGACAGATATACAAGGTATACCATACCTGTGTTAGGGGGATACCTTCTCGTTGCATTTTCACAACATGCAGCTTCAGGTAGGGCAAATCTGTGAATTCCGCAACGACTTTAGATACCAACTATTTGTTCCCTTGTCCCACAAATCCCACAAATGCCGTCAGCTCCAATTGGAGCTGACGGCATTTGTGTGCACATGACTATGTTGTATTATACCTTCAATGAAACGTGAGGAAAAGACGAATCGGGTGACTTGAAGCACGGAAGGATTTCTCTCATTAGAATTTACAGGGTTCAATTTTGTCGTGATCATCATTCCCGATGAGCATTCGGCTAATTCCGCAACCCTTACTTCTTCCATGCCCCCTCGCCCATCAAGGGCGAAGTTATTAGTTTTCATGCCCTTAACTTTGGCGATTATAGATAATAGTTCTTCCCATGTTCAGATTTACCAGGAGTTCAGGAATGAAGTAAAAAAAAAAAATCTCAACCGAACGAAGCGAAAAAGAACGTCTCCAAAATTCCCTATGACAAGTAAAGGGCTTCTTTTGTCTTTTCTCTTGGCTTATTTCTTCGGCGATAGAAAGTGGGGGCCTCAAGGCGTGTTTAAAAGGGGAAGAACCTCCAACGTATGCCGTAAACTATCCTGGTGATATTATTTTACTTCAAAACAGAGAAATTATCCTACTCTCGATTTCCAATGTTGAAACATTATTTGCCAGCCCTCTATTATCATTTATGGTTGTTCGTGGCACACCATGTATTTTGGAGTCCCACGCAAGCCCATCTTGCCAGACTTTTTGGCGTTAATTGCCGCCAAAAATCTTGTTCTTCCTGCAAATACTTATTGCTTGTCCTATCCTTCCTGTTGATTGTTATTGGCCATTTCCTTCGTCCTCTGGCTCTTGCTGCGTTTTTATTTTACCTAAGCTGTTTCACATTTCTTTGCAAATGGCAATATCCAACTTATTATAGGTAATTATGAATTGAAAGTCGGATGTGACATGCATAAGTACGACAAAAGACTGAGAGATAAGAGTGCGAAATTAAAAACCTTGCCGTCAGGAGAATACAGGAAATGTTCCAGCAAGAAGTTACGGAATTCACCGATGGTTCGTTTTCCAATCGGGCACAACGTCTGCACTGCTGATACTACTTGAGTTATGTATGTCAATCACCTCTTGCTTGGTCCTAAAACTATCAAAGGACTGAATGGAGGTGTAATCTACATTGACATATGCCCTAAAATATATTTATAGATAATGTTCGACTCGTGTCGAACAATCGGACTCTCGCTATAGGGCACGGTATTCAGCGAGGTGGAGCACCTTGCTTCCGTTGTCCACGCGTCATTAATTACCCAGTTGAGATGAAAGAGCTGTGATCGCAGTGATGTCACAGTACATATGGCACTATCCATTAAACTAGATAGGGTACTGATTGAGGTTCATAAAGGAAAATGATATGGCGGAAAAGTGATGCGTTGCGGAATTCCCAGATTTGCCCTACATTTGTATATGGTGCTCCTATTGCAAATAATATTTGGCAATTATCGATACGTCAGGTTTAGTCCTAAGAATATGCTGCCACCAATATGCTTCCCTGCAGTGAAGGTAGCCAGGAAACTGCCATGATAAATAACCATTCATCCCCATGATACCAGTTAAACAACGAAAAAAACAAAACAATACCGGTTGAGGGTTAAGGAGACCCATATCTTCCTCTTTTTTTTTTCCATATGTGAAATCTGGCCTCCCGCTCTATATGGTTTGGTGGTAGCATATTCCTATGACCAACCCTGACATGTCCGTAATTGCCAAATAAGATTACTTGCAAAAGGAACATCATATGTAAATGCACCTGAATCCGCATGCTGTGAAATTGCAACGAAAAGGCATTCCCCTTAACACGGGCACGGTACACCTTGTGTATCTGTTGCATTTGATTTTCCTTATGTCGCTTTTGACGCTCCCAAACTGCACAGCGACGCATTTGAATTTCCTTGTCGCATTCGACATTCTCATTACTACATTTGACCTAGGAAACCTATACTCGTCGCTCTTCGTCATTAGTGACGATTACGATCACAAGGTGTCTTCCATGTCTGGAAGAATCAAATATAAAAACTCTTTGCTACAATCATAGGGGAGACTCTCCTACTGTATGCGCCTTCAGAGGGGGTAAAGGGGGAATTTGCCCTCTTCGAACCCATTCCTTGGTAGCACCGGTGTACAAAGCTCTACTACTGTAACTTTGGCGAAAACCCATCCTTCCATCTGTAAGTCTGCCTAGTTGATATCGCTTCTTCTATGTAACAATGTTTGATAGACACGATCTTCACCATATTTGATTCAAGATCATGGTTCGTGGTTGGAATCTGATAGACGGCATAGGTATAGAGCCCACGGACCATGCTCCAAATGAAGAACCGGCGTCTGCGCCAGGTGCGATGAGCATGTACGCTACCTACCTCCGGTTCATCGCACAAGTATGGCGTATGATAGTTTCGCAACCACATGCTCTCCTCGTGGTTGGTCAATGAGGATTCCAATTCCTGTTCTTCGGGAAGCTTGTAGACCATCTTCAGACTGAACGGCATGAACATGAACACGAAGGTGAGTCGTCACAGGATGTAGGCCTAGGCCCCCAGGCCTGGAATAGGATTTGGCTAGTAAGTTATTCATCCTATGTGATTTGTCTTTCTGTAAAACGTGATGCCCGCGAGGTTATGCGTGGGCCTTGGCCTAAGACCTAGTAACATGATTGCCAGCACGTTTCCTGGCACTTGGGTTTTGATTGTGCGGTTGTAGAGAAATGGCAAATACCTAGGCAAGAGTTCTTTTGCAAGTAATTGGAACAGAAGTGACTGACAACACACAAGTGTGTTTTGCCACATTTTGCCGTTATTCAGCTCCATGTTACACCCTAATCATCGTGGGGGCATGAGTGAGCTATTGTAACGGGGTGCTCTTAACACTTTTCATTGAAGGAATGGCTTAGTTAAGTGGGAGAAGATACTATCATGGCAGCAGTTCAGGAATACATGATGAGAGAATAGGGGTCAAAGTCACCAACATTTGCACAGTTGTGGAAATAAACCAAATGTAATGCATTTTACTGAAGCCTACATGCCCTTGGATGGTGCAACAACCATAATTTTCAGGTCATGTTTTTCTCAGCATCTTGGAATTGTCTAAACACTAATCATCTATTCCTCAAGATTCCTATCAGAGTGTCGAAACAAATGGCTGCTTGCTCTGTTGCAGGTGTGATTGGTCACTAAAAGAATATTAGTTACAGCTTGAACCCTGATGTATGGAGTCACAGCAGAATCATGTAATGATTCATTTGAAACATGTTTTTGACAGATTTCAGCATATGCCATGAAATCTTTATTATGCTTACCAAGTGTGTTGCAAAGAAAGCCTATGTCTACCAAATAATCTGCCCATTAGGAGTTTTAGCAGCCCCACATAGGGGAGGAGTTGGTATCTTATGTGACAGGGAGTAGATGTATAATATTATGCTTGTCCAGTGGTATGGTCATAATTTAAGTCATAATTTAATACTAACATTGGCATTGCTATGTGAAGCCCAGGATTTTGGCATCTCCTCAATCCTTTTCTGTATATGCAACTGCAGAGTTGGCTTATTGACTTGATTTTCATTTAAATGAATCTAGAAATAATATTTGGAATTGCTATATGCAGGAATCCACATCTGTTCTATTTGCCAGATTAAGGCCACTGGGGCAGGTTTATCTCTCAGAAGAGAAAGCACATGATGCATGATAAATTGCAACTTTACCCTAGGCCTTATCAAGTCCTATTTTCAGAATGACTGTTGTGTCAAAAAGCCCAAGAGTAAAGAGCAGACCTTTCACTATTTTGGCTGATCACTCCCTCCAGGATACTGCATTTGGGCATTTGAGGGTCAGTGGGAGCCCACCTTCTCTTCCTTACCCAATTTAGGAGACTTGGGGAGAAATGATTCTATGTCTGGCAGTAGAAGTCCAAGGGTCTCTCTGAATACCTTTAGGATATGTCATATGGTAAAATGGTCCAGGTCTATCAAGCATCTCTTGGGTGGCCATCAGGCAGCTAAACAGCAAGAGAAGTCTTGGAAGAATGGCTAGGAAAAAATATTTTATGCTTGTTTGATGAATGGACTTGTTGATAGGGCTGAAAGCCCTGAGGAACTCCGAAAGTCATTAGAGATATCCAGGTAGTGGTAGATCCACATTTTAAAAAGTAGATCAATCAGTCAAGTATAATAATAACCAGACCCATACTTTATATTTAATTCCATCATAGCTTAGTATTCTTATCAAATGTGTCCTGACTCAGCCACTTTTTGCTTTGCAGGTGGAATTTGCTGTCAATTTTGAAGACAGCCAATGTGAAAACAAGGTGAAAGATTCCCTGCACTCTTTGGATGGAGTTCACAGTGTAAAATGTTCTATTGAAAAAAAGCTTGTTTTGGTTGAGACCTCACTTCCAGCTGAAGACATACGCAGTGCCATAGAGGCAACAGGGAAGACAGCAGTTGTCATTGGGTATGGCAATGCAAATGGTGAGCATTTTTTGCATGGGCTTATTGAGAAAGTGGCATTTTCAAAGATGGATGATGTCACAGTGTTCATATTTCTACCTTCTAGGCCAAGACCATGTGGGAGCAGCTGTGGCAATCATCAACACTGGAGAGGCAGTGAAAGGGATTGTGAGATTCCTCCAACAAAATGAAAAGCATTGCATTATTGATGGAACCATTGATGGGCTGTCTCCTGGAAAGCATGGCCTTTATATTACTGAATGTGGGGATCTCTCCCAAGGATGTGACAGGTAATATGGAGAAATATACACAGGTTTACTCTATGAAGCTGCTCCAAAACTCATAGGCAATAATGATGTTTAGGTACTCCCTTAAAAAAAATGAAGATTACATTAAACATTAAAATCAATGTAAACTTTTGTGCTGTTCAGAGGAAGCACCTGCTTGGTTTTGGAATAGCTAGATGAAGTAGTAATCTTAGCTTTACCGACTTGTTTTCTTTCACCTCCAGCATTGGTGATGTGTTCAACCTTGAGAGGAAGAAATCAGATGGATCCATGAGTTTAAAGCAGAGGGTGAGTCTGACTTTCTCACCATTCCATCTCAAGTTGTCCAATTTTCATCATATGTATGGTTTGATCTTATTAAAAATCTTGATCTTATTTTAAAAAAAAGTTAAAGCATAAGATTTCCAGAAATGTCACATAAATATTAAATTTTTCCTTTCCATCTCCAGCAGTTCTCAAAATCTCACCAAGTTGGAGGATTAGGCCTCTGCACATTCTTAGGGCAACCTCATTGAACCTTCAGGCATCTTGCTCAGAGTTCAGATGAGAAGGGGAAAGGAGGACTTTAGTCCAGTATATGTTGTCCACTTACCACATACAAAGAGGTTAGACCAAGAATAAATTTAACTATTCCAACTTGGTGCACAGCTGCAAACAGTAGGAGAAATTCAGCAGACTCGCGGGAAAGTAATAGACTACCCTAGGGGTTAAGTCATTGAATTGTTAATCTAGACATATGTCACAGCTTGATAGCTTTTGAGCTCTTGCATTCATTCAGATTCACTCTGAAATTTAAGAAATAAAAATTTTGAAAGTTTATATGTTAATCAAAATGTGTTGATTTAGCATAATATTTGCAATCACAGCCTTTTCCAGCAACCTGCTTCTAACTCGACTAACCTATCATTTCAAAAAATAGGTGAGCTTTATCGCTCTCTAGCCTTTGATACCAAAAGAGTGGGGAATTAATTACCCACCAGGTTCACTGCACTTCTCTTTGCCCACTCCAAAACTGGCATCTCCTCTGCTTAAAGATTGCTCCTATATTATTCTATTAATAAAGAAATGGCAAGTTTTGCTAGTTTTCACATGTGGCTCTCCATGAGTAGCAGAGTTGGAATGCATGTAACCTAAGCTACAGGCTTTCAACTTTACCATATCTGAAGAGACATACAGACAGATTACACCTAATATGGTAGTGTGGTAATTGGTGAATGAGGAATACTAATACATCAGAAAGGTGTAGGAAGGTCCTTACATTATATAACCAAAAGGTTCCATAATTTGTTAGGAATGTCTCGTACCAACATGTGAAGGAAATAGATGGAAATCCAAAGAATTTGCCATGCTTTTTTCCTCCCCATGATAGAGCTTCCTCATCATTTCATTCTGGCTAGATGTAATAGGTATTGGCTACAACTTTAGGAATTTTTCCTGCAAATACTTGTCAACTATTTCAATGGGTATCTTTATTTCGTTGCTGCTGCTCAGGAGCTTTCATGTCATTGCTTCCTTCATCCATTATTGGTAGATCTTACTTAGTCTCTTGAATGAGTGTTGATTTGATTATTTTGAAGTAATGAATGAGATGGGATAAACCATGGTAGCCCCATTATCTTTTATGCTGTGCAACTGCAAGTATGCAAACTTGCTCATAGGAACTGCAGAAGGCATGTTTTGGCACATTTGCAAGTATTGACTGTAAGATGTAATTGTGACTTAGACATCAGCAAACTAAAAGGAAGAAACAGTTGAATGATTCAAAATAAGAATCCTACATGTGATGGCTACATGCAGCGAACTGGAGACTTGGGAGAGGTAGTTGCTGATGACCATGGCAGAGCAACTTTCAAGCTTCGAGATGAGATTGTCAAAGTGTCGGACATCATTGGGAGAGCCATTCTTGTTACCGGAGCACCTGCTACCCCTCAAAAAAGGTTTCCTATTATCCCTGTCCTTGAAACATGAATCATTCCATTCAAGTTTACTTTGTTGTGAAAAATTAACCTATATGGATGAATTAGCTAAAATTTTCACCTGAAGATGGTTACACCATGAATCACTGTCTTTTCTAGAATTTTCCCATTTGTCTTGGACATTAGAGTGAGTTACAGGTAATATCTCAAAAATTATTGTATATGTTGGAAAGATTTTGGTTTATCAAAAATGAGATTCAGAATATGACTGCATCAAAGTTATTTACATATAATCTTCATCTTTGGAAGAAATTGAACACAGAATAATGTGCTAATCAGTTGTGCTTTTAACATGTGGCTCTTGTCAAACTTATCCAAAATGAAAATATTTCAATTTTCTGATTTTGCCAATTTTGCTTATAAATTCATGAGGCCTGCATGAAACTAAAAATCCAAATAAATTATACTTATACTTATATAGATATAATAAATTATACTTAATTATATTTATACACCCAACTGTGTTGCTTTAAGTGGTCCTTGTAACATCATGCTATCAAGTTATTTATTGGGATATGAACTTTCATATATTGAAAAGTTAGCATGTTATAATAAATATTCCTTCCTGCCTATTATAGCTTGTGCCTCTACATACAGCATAGAGAAGTATGGTTGCAAGATAAAACGAAGTGCATTCAGAGCAAATCACTTTGGTGAATGAATTATAATTTTAGATGTTCAAACTCAGCCAGATTTTCATCGTCAGATCAGCCAGAATTTGTATGCCTCAATAAATTTTACCCAATTTGAGCATTACACTCTTAAAGTCTTGAAGGAGTAGAAGTAACTTGGAACATGTTCTGGATGGAAATTGCTCTATTGGCACCCCTAGTTTACAAGAATTCTCTCACTAATAAAAGACCATCCAAGTTTGCCAAGTTACTGCAGAATTTTGAATTATATTGTTGGTTTTTCCTCAACTTTTCAAGATTAAGATTGCATGTACATCATTGCTTATGAGATATTGCCTGTTGGAACTCACCCCACTTTCCAAGGAATAAGCACCACCCTAAATCTCAAGTACTCATGCTACAAAAGTTAATAATTAAAACACTGAAAAGTCTCATTGAGCATTTCTTCTAAGGTGATCAGAATGCAACATCTCTCTTCATTGGTTGAATCAGTGTGGAATGAACCTCTTGCATTTGGGATGTAGTCTCTTTATTGCACAAATGTTTATCCACCTGCATAGGTTGGGATGTGGAATTGTCGCAAGGTCGGCTGGTCTGTTTGAGAATCCAAAGAGGATCTGTGAATGTGATGGTGTCCCCATCTGGGATGAAAGGAACAAACCTCTTGCTGGGGCCGGCAGGAGAGATAACTAAATGTAATCTCATTATTTTTCTTGTCAATTCATCCCTGTGAGACTTTTCAGACTTTTTCCCCACTATGTCCTATCAAGGATCACTCTGCATCCTGTGATGTATGCACTATGTTGCTATTCATTGTCAATTTGTGAGGTGTAATAAAGTTTTGTGATATGTTACAGTCATATATACATATTCTTTTTTGTTGTAACAGTGTTAATCTGGATAAGTTCCAATTAGTAGGCCATATAACAATGGGACATTTTTCTGGGTATTGTGCTGTTTATAATTTTTGCATTTTAGGCTCAAAATGTTCTGTATCTAATCATGTACAATTTACCATGAATTTAAGTCATTACTCTTGGCATTTGGAATTGAACCCAATAGCTGAAGGTAATAAGGACAGTGCACCTTATTGTGCTTCTTTGATTTCAAACACAGATTATTTTGTGTGAACTTGAACTGAAAAGTTTGTGATGTAACTTCAAGTCAATGCAGAAGACTGTCAACAGGTAGAACACTGAATTGTAAAATTCCTGGAATCTGGCTTCATCTGCACTGCTGCCAAAGTTGCAGTTAGCATTGGCAATGTTGATACTTCTCTACAATTAAGTTCTCTGGAAGTTCTCAAGAAAGGGTATAAGTGCCCATAGGCCCTTTTTCTATATCTGTGTCCATGTGCTGCTTTAGATGACTTGTCATAGGATAGAGTCAAGAGCATGGGCGTCCGCTCCCAGGGGCAAGGGGGGGCACTTGCCCCCCCCCCTGGAAATCGGGCATGGCAATTTACTGGTAGTATTAAAAAATAAATTTCATGTGGAAATCTCATCTTCCGTAGCACCATTTAGACCAATCTTGACATGCAATAAGAAACATCCTAACGAGTTAAAAATTCAACTCAACCCATCTGGTCCAGAAGCTCCGGTAACACTACTGCTCTACATAACATCGCGCCAAAGCTGAAGATCGTAAAACATGGAATGCAAGTATCCCAGGCTGAATGGCTATTTCACGTCTTCCTTGTAAATCGTTCACACCAGGCCTGCAGTAGGCCTGCCCTAGTTGAGTGAGCCTATGCCTGCAACTTGGTACTTGTTTGTGTCCAGTTTGCTTAAAAAAATCAAAGCTTTAAAAAAAGGCACCCTTATGGCATAGTTAAAAGCGTAGGGTTACATTTTTGCAGTTACATTTTTATTTTTTTTATAATTAAAGTGCCGGTTGTTTCTCTTCAAGGAGTAGAAGACCCTCCCAGCAAACAAGGCTATGTTGTACCAATGTTACAAACGTCGATTCAGCCTTATGTGTTTAAAATGGTTTGCTGGGCTGTCTCAATGTCTGACAAGAGTTGCATAATAGGTTTACAGGTGAGGGCTACTTTGAGGCCCACAAATTCTGTCGTTGTTTTTAAGGCGAAATATTTTTCCTTTGATTGCAGTTATGAAGAAAAAAATTAAGAACTGGTAATGAAAACCGTATGGTTTTTGGCCTTAAAAACAACGGCAGAAATTGTGAGATGGTATCTGAGTAAAAACGTGTGGTATGCGTTTAAAAAGGTATATGAGCTTTGAAATTGCTGTCATCTTTTGCTCAAATAAATGGCAGACATTCTACAAATCTTTCAATTTTGTTGAGCTGCATAGAAAAAGGCACCATACAATTTGAAACTGTTTTGTTGTTGCGAAATTTGTGAATTTGAACATTTCGAGCCATCACATCTCCTGAAACGGAATTTGTTGGGACAAAAATGGGATACACATCATTAGATCTTCTGCTGATTCCGAAAACATAGATGAACATGCTAGGTTAGATGAACATGTTGACATTTTGCAAATTTTTTAATCTACCAAAAAAAGGCAAATTTTACATAGCTTTATTTTATTCAGTGTCGCCTCGAGGAAAAAAGTATATGAAATAACTTCGAAAGTCTACATTTTGAAGAACAATGGTGTTCGCTGCGTTCGTTTTGGTAAGAAAGTTTTTGGCCCACATGAGTGTGAAGAGGTGCACCTTGTTTAATTTCCCAAAATTTAGCAAATTATTGTGCTAAAACGGTTCCATACCCAAAACCAAAATTTTACATTCTAACTTATTTTGGTCAGAAAGTTTTTGGCCCACATGAGTGTGAAGAGGTGCACCTTTTTTAATTTCACAAAATTTAGCAAATTATTGTGCTAAAACGGTTCCATACCCAAAACCAAAATTTTACATTCTAACTTTGGGTCATGAGGGGTACCACATGAAAAATTTTCATTAAAATCGGAGGGGGTCATGCTCCAGCCTCTAGCTGATTTGAGATGAAGTTACCCTGGTATAATTCTTTGTACTATATTTTATAAAAGATAAATTACCCTTGTGTGTGCGTCTGTCCTGCCATTCTTGTGCCTTGCCCCCCCCCCCTCCCTGGGAATAAACCAGCGGACGCCCATGAACCGGGGGCTACATTAACTCGTTAATTAATTAACATCGGGTGGTGCTAAGCTTTCTTTCCGTTATAAGAATTATATTAAGGGAGGACGACACGCAATGCTGTGATGTCGCTAGGGTGAATCCTCTCATGGGGGCCTTTTGTGGACCTTGATGAACTGAGATTGCTGAAGGAGATAGGCGAGTGAGACAATCCCGAACTTCGGGGATCGTTCTTTTCCTTTCAACATTACGAAAATGAGGAATTTTCACATTTTCTCTAGACCAAGCAAAAAGTGCTGCATTTACTACCGCACCAGCAACTTCTTTTCTTTTCTCATACATTGCTGGAAATCCTGCAAAGGAAAATTGTGAATTTTACATCGCTCTCTCTGTCTCCTTTGTGCCATGGGAGACTCCAGTAGGAATCTGGATATGGTGATCAAAGTTGCATGGAGTATCATGAGTTGCATGTGCATCTTCATGACGAATGAGTCTGCCATATCCCTACTGCAAATCCATCACAACGTTAGCAATAATTATTCCAGTTTTTCATCGCTCAAAAATGAGACGCGTTTAGCCTATCGTCAATAGATTTCATTGCTCTTTTCCAAATCTAAATAACTGCAAACACACGGAAAAAAGGCTTTGGTACAGGGATGCGACAGAATAAATATTAAATACTATACTAGTTGTAGTCCACTGCTACCCTCACCGTTCCCTTTCCACAAGCAGCAAAGATAGACAGAAAAAAATTTAAGTTTCACACCCGCTGCACATCTGCCATCTATTCTCGTGTCTTCCTACAGTTAAAAAAGGTCTCATTAGAAAATCCGATGTGCTAATGCTAGATGGTGATCCCTGAGGTTTTAATTCCCTCTCATTAATGTCTACTTAAGATTACCTCTAAACCTCCACTTACCACCTAATGAAGAGCAACAAGGTGTGGCCAGCCTCTTTCCATCTCCCGTCACTTTCAATAATACCTATGTTGACTTTGCATACCTCCAGATTCAAAAGAGAATGACAAAGTTTCTAGATCAGAGACAAGAAAAGAAGTATCTTTATTGAAAAGTCTCTGAAAATGACGAAAAATCTGCAGCATGGAATGCAGAAGCACAAGAGCCCATGGATGGAATGGGTAACCGAAGCGACTAAAAACACTTGCGGTGAACAATCGACGGCCCGGATTCATCATATTCATCTCTGAAAATGACGAAAAATCTGCAGCATGGAATGCAGAAGCACAAGAGCCCATGGATGGAATGGGTAACCGAAGCGACTAAAAACACTTGCGGTGAACAATCGACGGCCCGGATTCATCATATTCTTGTTTGGAAATCCACATCTGCTGGAATGTGGAAAGAGATGCCAAAATGGACCCTCCAATCCAAACTGAATACTTCCTCTCTGGTGGAGCAATGATTTTGATCTTCATGGTAGGGGGAGCCAAAGATGTTATTTCCTTTTGCATGCGATCTGAAATTCCTGGGAACATGGTGCTTCCTGAAAAAAGAAATGTCAAAAGGGCTTAGTTTTAGTAAAGGTTGAGATTCTGAGAATACATGTTTCATTCTGCTAAGTGGGATGCCTCACCTCCAGACAGCACTGTGTTGGCATACAGGTCCTTCCTGATGTCCACATCGCACTTCATGATGGAGTTGTAGGTGGTTTCATGGATGCCACAAGATTCCATCCCCAGGAATGAGGGCTGGAAGAGAGCCTCAGGGCAACGGAAGCGCTCATTTCCAATCGTGATCACCTGACCATCAGGCAGCTCATAAGACTTTTCCAGACTGCTGCTGCTGGCGGCTGTGGCCATTTCCTGCTCGTAGTCGAGGGGAACATAGCACAGCTTCTCCTTGATGTCTCGCACAATTTCTCTCTCAGCTGGAACAAGAAACCATCCACCAAGGATGAAACATCAACATTCGGTCAATAAGGAGTAATGATGACTTGAGTGTGAATAATCAAAGCACTATAAGGTTAACGTGATAGCTAGAGATCAATCTCATCCTATCTCAATAGTTACTGAAAGAATCAACACGAGTGGCAATCAAAGTCTTCCTCCCGCTCTTCAGGACTTACACATTAAAGTTGGTTTGCTCCCCACCTGTAGTCGTGAAGGTATACCCTCTCTCAGTCAAGATCTTCATCAGGTAGTCAGTGAGGTCTCGGCCAGCCATGTCCAATCGAAGGATGGCATGAGGAAGGGTATAGCCTTCACAGATAGGCACAGTGTCAGACACACCATCGCCTGAATTCAAAAGAATACCAGTTGTCCTGCCAGATGCATACAGGGATAGCACTTCCTGGATGGACACATACATGGCTGGGGTGTTAAAGGTCTCGAACATGATCTGGAAAGAAGACACATGCAATGAGTATTTTGCAACTTAATATGTAAGAAAAATATGTAAGAAGGATTGCTACATAGGCAATTTCATACGATAATTGACCTGGGTCATCTTCTCCCTGTTGACTTTTGGATTCAGTGGTGCCTCTGTGAGCAGCACTGGATGTTCTTCTGGAGCTACATGCAACTCATTGTAGAAGGTATGGCGCCAAATTTTTTCCATGTCATCCCAGTTGGTAACAATGCCATGCTCCATTGGATATGTCAAGTTGATCATGTCTCGCTTGCTTATAGCCTCATCTCCCACATAGGAATCATTCAGTCGCATTCCAGCCAAATCACCCTGGAGGACAGAAGAGCATGTGAGGAAAATCTCCATTGTGAATGACATGGATCTAAGCAACATTCGTTGTCTAGAGAATTCTTGCAAAGCTGGACTCACCTGACGTCTTGGTCTTCCAACAATGGATGGGAATACAGCCCTTGGGGCATCATCCCCAGCAAAGCCGGCCTTGCACATTCCAGACCCATTGTCAACAACCAATACAGCAACGCCTTTGTCTGTCATTTTCACTTGTACAGGGTGACCACTTTTTTGTCCCCTTTTTTTTTGTCTTGTACACTTTTGTCCCATATTTTTAACTATATAAATACAAAGTCCCTGGCAACATTTTCAAGTAGTTTTGCTCCCCAACATTATTGTCTATGTGTGTGAAAAGTTTAATTTCTATAGCGTCACTCTTTTGTATTTTTTATGGATAAGAAATCGCGTTGTGCCATCATCTGTTTGCACGAGACAAAAATGAGTGCAAGCAATATCGCAAAGACACTTGGTGCACAGAAGAACCGTGATCCGGGCCATTAACCGTTACGAGGAGTTGGGGCATGAAGGAGACCGTCCAAGAAGTGGAAGACCGCGAACCGCCAACACTCCTGAAAACCGGAGGAAGCTAAAAAGAAGAATTCAGCGAAAACCAAGGCAGTCTATGCGGCAATTGGCTCGCAGCACCGGTTTGAAGCGAGAATCCGCCAGAATCCTGTGCAAGAAGGTTCTTGGATATCACCCTTGCAAGCTGCGAAAGTGTCATCACTTAACGGAGGCCATGATGAACAATCGACTTGCAAAAGTGAAGAAGCTGAAGCGGCTAACCGGTGCTCTTCGACATCGTCATGTTGTCTTCACAGACGAAAAGGTATTTACCCTAGAACAAATGTTCAATGTCCAAAATGACCGGATTCTGTTGCCAAAGAACTCGAAGGAGCGTCCAGAAGCAGACAAGCTGCGAAAGTGTCATCACTTAACGGAGGCCATGATGAACAATCGACTAGCAAAAGTGAAAAAGCTGAAGCAGCTGACCAGTGCTCTTCGACATCATCATGTTGTCTTCACAGACAAAAAGGTCTTTACCCTAGAACAGATGCTCAATGTCCAAAATGACTGGATTCTGTTGCCAAAGAACTCGAAGGAGAAGCTTCTGCGTCCAGAAGCAGCTTTTGTCACACGGCAGAAGTTCACAGCTTCTGTGATGGTATGGGGTGGAGTCACCACAAGTGGAAAGACGCCTCTTGTCTTTGTCGAGAAAGGAGCCAAAATTGATGCCAAATTCTACCAGGAACGCATCCTTCGGGATGTGCTGAAGCCATGGGCAGACTCTCATTTTGGAGAAGCCCTTTTGAAGAAGGACACTTCAGCAGGACTGGACACCATCACACAGAGCGAAGTCCACGAAAGCCCTTTGCAGACAGCTGTTTCCTGCGTTTTGGGATGAAGGCGTTTGCCCTTTGAATTCGCCTGATNTTTGCCCTTCGAATTCGCCTGATCTAAATCCGCTGGAATACGCAATTTGGGGTATAATGGAGAGGAAGGTCTGTGCTACACGACATGCAAATCTGGACTCGCTGAAAGCATCTATTCTGAAAGCGTGGAATGAGATCACCGAAAGTCAGCTGTGTGAAATCGTCGATGACTTCCCGCGCCGTCTGAAGGCTCGTAGAGACGCATAGGGTGGTCATTTTGAATCTGGGTAATTTTGTTATGTTGCTAAGACTATTGTGCTCCTTCAGTTGCTAACTTGTTGTTCAGGGGTAAATATTAAAAGAGCTGCTGCAAAAATGCTGATGGACAGGACTTTCTGGTCACCCTGTATATGACCCATGAGCTTGTGTAATCTCAACCACTCAAAAAGTAATTGAAATTGCACCATAATTCCAAAAGTTCATTAATTGAAGTGAAACTTTCACATTTTCTCAAGAGACTCTCCTTGTCTTCACAACTGTTCACAGCCACCTCAGTCATAAAAAGTGCCATGGTACCTTGCTTGTCATGTATTTTGCCTAATCTCTTGCAGATTTTGCCTCAATCAATGTTGCATCTCATATACATTCCCTGCTATTGCTGCCTTGCTCTTGAAAATAACTAAAAATCATAAGAAGTCAGGGTCCATTAAATATGCAGGGTTGGCCAAATAAAATTAAGCCACTCAAAATGTTGCTATAAAGTCTATATTTTTCAAGTCGGTTGACTTAAATATTTTTTTAAACCTTACCTATTTATGTTCAAGAGCTCTTAAAATTTTCTGCTCTTACCCATGCTTGAGTCATGGCAGATTTTGTCAAAATTCTGAGTGAACATGTACAAGCAGCCTGTATTTGCAAGGCAAAAATTCACATTATGGTTTTGCTGAAAAAATCAGTTCTTATGGATTAATCATTGTGAAAACTTAACAGGATGTTGTCATATGTGTATTCTTCACTATCTGAAAATTTCATCCATGTGCATGAAATTTCAAGTATTCCCATGCAAATGTTATGAAAATTTCTAGTGCAGGCACCTGTGCCTACTTAAAAACTTGACAAATCCAAACTTTCTTTGTTCCATGATGTCATAGGATAGGTCAACAATGCAGTTTGTTCCCAGATGTGACCTCTATGTTATCTGTTGAAAATTTGCATTTCTATTGTTCTGGTTCATCACTTGGTGTAGGATTTTAAAAGTTTTTTGGTGTGCTAAGGTGTTTGCCCTATAAAATTTCATAACATTTGCATGGGAATGCCTGAACTTTCATGCACATGTATGACATTTTCAGATAGTATATATGCTCTTGACAACATCCACACAAAGATTCATCCATAGGAACTGATTTTTTAAGCAAAAATAAAATGGGAATTTGTACCTTGCAAATCGCAGGCCTGCTCACTCAGACCTTTTGACCATTTTGCCAAAATCTACCATAACTCAAGCATTGGTAGTCATAGGCACATTACATTTTAATAGCTCTTGAAGAACACATTAGGCAATGTTCCATTAAATTTTCAAGTCTATCACTTATGGAAAAGTATTGAGTGGCTTAAATTTTTTTTGCCAATTTTGTATATATATTTAGTTATAAAATTAGTGAAAATTGACATCTTTACTTCTAGTAACTAAGTACTTTGGGTGTCTGGAAAGTAATGAGAATCGTTTGTAAATTTGTAATTCTGCAAGCAATGCACTTCCCTCTGCTCAGACATTTATATCCATATGTAATCTCTGTGATTGCTGATTTTCAAGTCAATCTGTTGAGAAGTGCTTACAGAGCAGACCTCAAAAGACAGCTCTATAAGCTCAGTGCAATGCGGGCTGTTTTTAACAATTTGGATATGGCTACAAGTACTGAGAACTTTCGCTTCAACACGTTCATGTGGTTCAACTTTGGCATTGCAGCCATTACCTGTTACACGGAATGAGCTTGTTGCAAAAGGCCTTGTTGAACTTGTTGCAGAAAGCCTCCATGCCTTTGTGGAAAAAAATGTCCCTGATGGGCTTGGTACTGTTGATACGAGCCGCTTTGTTGTCCTCAGTTAGTCGGTGCTGTACCTAGACTGATGCCATGTTGCACAGTTGCAGGTCTTGTGTGAGCACCTTGAGGACAGTACTCTTGCCAATGTTGAGCCCCTCGTCCAGCTCTCGAGTAGTCACTAGGCAGTCTTCATCCACCAGCCCTCGCTCTGTCTTGACAAGCTCTGGTGTCTGGGTGGACCTTGGACAGCTACTGTGGGGCTGGCTGAGAAAGGAGGGCTCTTCCTCCTTTTCAGCTGCTTCTCTGAAGTTGCTGAACCACTGAAAGACACTGTACTTGACATACACAGGGACCAGTTCCCTGTAACAGGCAACGGCCGCAATGCCAAGTTTGAACCACATGAACGCATAGAAGCAAAAGTTCTCAGCGCTTGTAGCCATATCCAAATTGTTAAAAACAGCCTGCATTGCACTGAACTTTTAGAGCTGTCTTTTGAAGTCTGCTCTGTAAGCTCTTCTCAGTGGATTGGCTTGAAAATTGGTAATCACAGAGATTACATATTGAACTAAATGCCTGAGCAGTGAGAAGTGCACTGCTTGTAGAGTTACAAATTTACAAACAATTCTCATTAATTTCTGGACACCAAAAGTATTATGTCTGGTTGAAATTGTGCCAGAAAAGAAGTTCTTGTACTTGAGAAGGCATTTAATAAAATATGTATTCTGTCATGAAATCTTTGCAACAAGATTCTCGTGTACTTTGGGCATTATCCTTTGCATATCTTCCTATGCAAGTCAAATACATCAGCTATAGCTAATCTGAAAGTAAAATACATCATGGTAACAATTACACTGATCATAGTTTCAACCCAAGTGCACTTATATATTTCTTATTATTAAGAAATCAGACTATGTAAAATAAGGCAATTTCAATGGCTTTTTGAATGATATTGTGGGTAAATTATAGACCCATGAGTATAATTTATCATCTTATCTTAGACTTTCAAATGGGCACTCCCAGAAAACTTCCTGATTAGATGAAATGGCCAGTCAGCATGGCCTGGCAATTCTTTGACATGAAGTATAAATCACTGAATAAAAATCGATGGAATCCTTATATTTTTAGGAGTCAGCTTCAGAAGGATGTTATCTTCATGTGGATATAAGTTTTCAATGAACTCAATTGTGCAATTGGAAACAAATTATTAAAAGCCTAATTCAAGAATTGGAACAGAAAATATTAACCCTCATCCTTGAGTCCTTGATTGCCATTTTTTTATTTTTCCAAATCTTGTTTCAAGTATCAAAATATGATGAAACCTTCAAATTTTCTTAACAGAAACCTTTCCAACAACGGAGTGGTTCCAGCTGTCACTATTCACTTTGTTAATTCCATCCCAATATGGTCAATAGCCTACAAATGCAGTATAGTAGAGAGGAACAGAGCACATGGAACAGGTGTTCTTGAATTCTGACATGGTCTACTTACTGCCATCTAATCACCTTCTCATAGCAAATGCACTCATTTGTGAGAATCCATATGGAAATATCATGCATGGAAAATTGCATTATTATCCATGGTCATGCTTGATCAAGTGTGTGTCCTTAGTATGAGGAATTTTGGGGGAACATCTGAAGTTGTAAGACGTTAGCACGTCACTTGTTCTTCCTCTCTACCTTGAAAGACCTGGAAATCGTTTTATCATTTATTACAAGTGCAAGCAGGTGGTGCCCTGAGTAAAAGGATCTGTAACTTTTTTTTGTTGTTGCTGAACACTCGCCACAGGAGCAATAGCTTTTCTACTTAATTTACCCAGTGAACCAGCTAATGGGCTTTTATCTGGGCATTTTATGCTCTTAAAGTGAAACTTGATTTTAAGTTTTGCTAAAGTGTTATCTCTTAGGTGTCTTATATCATTGCTCAAGCAGATACTGTCAGTAAATCCAATGCTGAAAATTAGCAAACATACAGGATGGGGCAAAAGTCACTTTACCGTAAGCACGTGTTTTAAATTTTTGTTCTTGTTTATTCCAGATTGAAATTTGAAAATTGAAATTAAAATTGGAAATTGGAAATGGAGCAATGTATGAAACTAACAATGGAGCAATGTGTGTTTCTTCTGCAGGAATGGTGGAAAGCAAACATGGGTTTATTTATTGCCTTTAATAATATATTACAATCATGCACTTTCAGTAAACTGACTTTTGCCCCACCCTGTAGAATTATATATAGCTTTGGAAGGGGTGGGAGGGGGAGACATATTGGAAAGCAATGTATTGGCTATAGGAACCTTGAAATTGTGTTTTAGGTGAGAGAGCAGGGGCATTTTCATTCATCTGTGACAGCAAAGATGAAGCAGACAGAGTGCTATCACAGCTGAAGATCCTCATTCGACCCATGTATTCCAACCCACCAATCCATGGGGCTCGCATTGTGACAACTGTTCTCAATGATCCTCAACTGCGACAACAATGGTAAGCTACAGTTGAGGCTAGAAGTTTGTTCATTTGTAGGTCAAGGATTGGATGCAAAAAAACTACTGGAGGTTGTTCTGTCTCATGCCTGCTTGTCAATTGAAAAGTGTGCTTGAAGCAAACTCTTCAACAATCTGACTGGGGTCAGACTTATTACCACCCTACAAAGTCCCAGAACCAGATCCTCCTGAAAATCCCAGATCCATGATTGAGGCTGGAGATGTTGATCATTGTATTTTATTTTTATGTGTGCTTAGGTATTTTATTTCTCAAGCACCCAGTAGCATTTAGGGAGTCTGGATTCTTTCATGGTGAGGTACTCTTGTTATTTTTTTTTTAAACATTGGATTTCAACCATGAGAAGCCCATGACTCATACTGTATTGTGCATCCATCATCTATTGTTAATGAAACCCAACTTTTCAAATGGAATTTGATTTGTATTCACACCCTTCATTCCTATGAGGGAATTTTTGGGTGCAAGATTAAGAAGACAAGATGCAAAGACAGTCTATACTAGATGTATTTGAAGAAACGAAGAATGTGCTTCCAAACTTTTTTTTCACCATATGAGCTGTGAGTATTTTGAATATGTCAACACTGTCACTGAGTTTTTTTTCTCTACCTTGGCACTATGCCAACACAAGATAACTTGGGCATTAACCCCAAAAGGTTAAGGTTAGAGATGCAACAATATTGAATATTGGCTGATATCCAATATACCGATATTGGAAAAGAACTGATACTGATATCTATATCAACATTTGTATTCACATGTTCAGGGTGGATTTTTGAACTATCGGATAATGCCACTTTATTTCCAGGAAATATAATGTATTTTCCCCAGAATAAATCTGCATTATCGGATAGTTCTCTGTTCAAAAATCCACCATCAGGCATTAACCCCTCCACTGTTAAGTTTTATTTGAGACCAGGTCTTATGGAGAAAGCTTGAAGTACACCTCATGTTTTTGGAGTCTACCAGTCAAATGTAGCCATCAGCACAGTCCTAACATGAATATAAAGATGATAAAATTCTTGAAAATCAGTGGTTCCATATGGAACCTGTGGGTACAAAAGAGTTGATATCAGATTCTTGTCTACTGATTCTTGTCCTGAAGTTTTGGGATCCATTTAGGCCTGGGTTCTTTGTGTGAACACAAGCAATGTCTATTTTTGCAGAAAGCACGGAGTAGGCTATGATAGTGGCATTAGGCTGAGTTAAATAGATAACGCTTCCCATCTCTCTCTTGGGTGACTGGGTAATGAGCTTATGTCCCATGGTGGCCTGGGCTCGAACCTAGCCAAGTCAAGTGTATATTTACTAGTTCAAGTGCAAGCATGCTTGGGAAGGGAATACCCAAGCACAGAGCGTTCTCATCTCTAGATATGGGACATTGAGGAACTGTGGGAGTGAAGATCAAATCCAGGGGCATATCCCCAGATTATTATGGCAGTTAAACCAAACGCAAAATGATTTTAAACCTCTATTGCAGTCAATTATGGCTATATCACGTGCTTCCAACAGGATGCAAGTTGTCACTGGGTGACAGTCAAAATGGGGGTGAAGCTTCAGTGTCTTGCAGCCACTCCAAATCCAAAGGGGAGAAATGTTTACATTTTCAGCAGCCTAATACTTCACTTTTTTAATGAAAACATGACATTTAGGCATTTTCAACCTTCTGCAGTGTTTTTCACTTGACTTTGACACTCATGCATGAAGAACATCCCATGAATGTGTGTTTGAGTCAAGTGAAATGTTGTATAACCGATCAAATATTGTTGCATCTCTAGTTAAGGTTTTGGTTAAAGCTTATAAGGTAGGTAATGGGTAAGACATACTTGCAGTCCTTACTTGGTCCATTATGGAAATGTTTTTGCAGCTCATTCATAAACAAACATATTATCACAAATCCCACAATCATAAGAGACAAGCTCTTCCATTTGTCTTTAACACTTTAAGCGATCCCTGTCTCAATTTCTTTCCTACCTTAGGTTCAGCAGTTCATTTGTTGACTCAGGGAAATGATGATTCCTACACTGCATATTGTTTAGTATTACAGATTTTACTTGCTCACATGCATAATCTAAGAGTGCTTTATGGAGTACCACATAATATTTATCCTATGTACATATGCTATCTGGAATTATTCCTCCTTTTTTTTTTTCTTCTTCTTCAACCATACTGATAGACCATGGTTAGAACAATAGTCTACCAGATATGGAGTGGAGATGGCCAAAAAAAAACCTGCAACATTTTTTGTTGAATAGTAAAATTTTGCTGGAAAATTTTTTGCAAATAATAAGTTCTTCAGCTGAAAAATATTATTTACAGGTGAATTTCTGTTCAAAAATGTTGCTAATAAGAATGGAGAATGTTGAGGAAAGGAAGATTGTGGGAAAAACTGGCCATGAACAAAAAAATCTCATCTGACTCTCACCATATATGTGTTCATCTGTCAATGCAATATTTATGTCATTGACCATCATTCTGTTCCTGTTTGACTCAAGAATCAGCTGTGTTTATACATGCCTTCCCTGTCTTTTTATGGTATTTTTTTATATCTTGCAAAAATGTAGAATATTAAACATGTGAATTTCTATGGATAGATTAATGATTCAACTCCCTTTGCCAGATTTCGATAACTGTAAGAGTGAGCTCATGCACTTGACATGTATCTCAGAACTTTTATGGAGGATATTTCCTTCAAAGCATTTGATGCAGGTTCATCAATACATGGGCATATTTTTATGTAGGAATTGATGTTTTTATTTCCAGTGTTGATTCATTGTGATAATGAATAGTTTTCATGCATTGTTTATATGTTTTTCTTTTTACTGTGCTCCAGGTATTTTTTCTTGTCTTCCATTGAGGAAGATTGCACTCCATTCTTTCTGCCACCATTTAAAGGCTCCAGAACTGAGCATTTTTCCTTTCTCAAATCAGAGCTGGCAGTCATACAGGATAGGCTAGTTATCAGACTGTCCAGCTTAAAACCAGATGGGTGGCAACCCTAAACATGGCCAACTACTCTAATATTTTTGTTATCAGCACTTGCATTCCAGTGCCTCTTGAGGTTAGCATGATATTTTCCATTGATATTGCTCATGGTCAACTATTCTGATTTATAATATAGTGATTTTTCTCTGGCACTGCTTTCAGTGGTTCAAGTCATGTTTATGCATGATTTCAAGAAAGACTGCTGCTGATGAAATAGTCCCTAAAAAGATACCTGCTTATCCTTCTTATGTGGTTACTAATGATTCCAGGTTGAAGGATGTCAAGGGCATGGCAGATAGGATTCTGACAATGAGAAGCAAGCTTAGAGAAGGTCTGAAAAAGGAAGGATCAATGCATGACTGGAAGCATATCACAGACCAGATTGGAATGTTCTGCTTTACTGGGATGAAGCCCAACCAAGTCAGTTGTGCCAATTTTCAGAGGGTTTAAAAAGCATTCCTGGTTTATCCTGTGACCCTTTTTTTAGAATTTGTATGCTTACTTTGAAGTAAGAACATTTTGCAGAAATCTTATGCATGTATTCATATTCATTGCAGGTGGAACGGTTAATCAGGGAATTTAGCATCTACTTGACCAAAGATGGAAGAATCTCTGTTGCTGGAATCTCTTCTGCCAATGTTGGCTACCTAGCCCATGCTATGCACCTTGTCACCAAGTAGAGCAAAGGATTGCTCTGCTTGCCATGCGTTCATCTTAATCCCCCCTCTTGTTGGTGCATACTTCCATCCCGAGTGAGAAATAATACTAATATGTGGCTCCCCTTTTTCATTGTTATAAAGTTCAGTTGTGATAAGCAGTAAAGTTTGGATTGTGTATGATTATATCCTCCCTAATTTTGGGAAATCTCAGAAAGATCATCTGTGACAAATCACAAGGTACTTCAAGCCTTGAATCATCTGCATGTCATCATGGTTGATTACAGAAATGCAACTCGTGTGCTATAGCAGAACTGTATGTGCATGGGGAAACATTGTTTATCTGGTGAATCAACCCTTTATTGATGAGTGATATCACTGTCATTAGTGCCCATGACATCAAGTGCAGAAATGTTCCTGTCATTTCATTTCATTTCATTTTCATGAAATGGGGGGGCATCAAGATCATACTTTTGTTTCCACAATGTGTACCACAAAGTACTGGAAAGAGGAAATAGGGAATTTGAGAGCTAGATTTATGCTTCAATCACTGACTGCTAGATCTCTTAGGAAAGAATTAGAATCAATAAATAAAAGCTACAGAATTAAGAGTATGGTTGGAATCGAAATTTAAATTTAAAATAAAAGTATGACATCATGTAGTACAGGGTGTGTGTTTTTTTTTTAGTATACCCAAGTAAACATTTTTTATTATTTACTATTATCATAGAAACAATTCATGCAAATAGTGTGAGCCAAAAAAAAAACAAATCTTTCATTTTTGGTGAGTTGTCAATCTCATTGTAGGCTGCCAATTCTGATTAAATTTGGTAGGCGCATAGGATGACTCAATTACGGTTTGTGTGTCGAGTTTCAAATCAAAATTCCAAAAACAGTGAGATTTGGAATTTAGTTTACATTTCTTCACTAAAAAAGTATGTGTTCGTTTTTAATGTCAACTTAAAACTTCTCACAACTGACAAAAACAAACAAGCAAACAAAGAGAACACAAACAAAATGCTCAAATGTCAAAAACGAAAGCACACACTTTTGGTTTAGATAGGTTCATTTCAACTGAAAAGGTGATCGATTGCTCTCCATTCTGTTGAACACAAGCCTTTTGTCTGAGATGCCACAGATCAATTGCTCGGTCAATGAATCTTTGAGGCAGTGCCTCCCAATCTTCCTCTATAGCATCATGCAGGGATGGAGGGTCATGAATTCGGTCCTCCATTCATCCCGGCCTCAAGTTCACATCTGTATTTTCGACAGCACATTTTGCCGTCGGTCATCAGAAAATAATTACAGCTCAGCCTGAAATTTGGCATAAAATATCCAATTGTGTCAACCAAATTTAATCAGAATCGGCAGCCTACAATGAGATTGACGACTCACCTAAAATGACAGCTTTGTTTTTTTTTTGGCCCACCCTGTATATAAGCAAACACCAAGCACTCTGAATGCTATGTTGATGGCACTGGAGCCATTCTTTGATCAATTAACAGATGAGGAATGAACATAAGTTTCAATAATAAATTTAATAAAAATTATATAAAATATAATTTTTTTTATTAAAAAAAAACTTCAATAACCATAAGCTGCTGAATGCAAAGCGAATGGTTGGGGGCAGTTTACTGCCCAGCCAGGTAACTGCCTATTTAGCCAATATTTTTCTTTAATGTTAGGTCCATTACTATGACACCAGCTGTCTGTTATCGTCAAAGATTCGCTTTGCATTCAGCAGCTTATGGTATACACGGCTATTGAAGTTTAATATGGTGCCAACTTTTAATCCACTCACTCGCCCTACCCTGGATCCCGTGCGTCTCCAATTTAATCCACAACCTCTTGTGAGGAACGGTATCGAAAGCTTTCGCGAAGTCTAAATAGACGATGTCCACAGGATTCTCCTCATCCCTGTTTGTCGGAATTGTCGGAAGAATAGCAATCTTGGGCACGGCCAGCATCCTTCGCCGTGTCCTTCAGAATTAAGACGAGAGAGTATGAGGTCTGGGATGTGGTTCATCCCCCCTCATATCTCCAATACCGGCAGGTGCCGTGGAAGGATTTATATATATACGCAAAAGATGTACGCACAGATATCTGCAGCAAGTACCTGCTGTACGTAGGTACATTTGCTGCAAAAGCTCGAGAATCTCAGTGGACGATTTTCAGAGCTTCATCTTTGCCCTTTGTTCCAGCGCTGGCATTCCAGTAAAATCCGCCGAAAGTTACTGACCATGACAATTTCTTTTTATCAACAACAGAGTTCCTTAAAAGAAAGACAAATGAAATTTTTACCATGAGTCGCAAAGTGGACATAGTTGACACCTGCAGAGTGGCCAACAATTTCGACGAGTGTTATTTGAGCTGCAGCGAAAGTTCCGTTCCTTTTTGATCAGCATAGTATTTAGGGTTTCATGTCACTATTTGGAATATCATGAGATTGTCCCTAGAATATTTTGTACATGAAAGTGTACAATGTACGAGTGTGCCAAATGCTTAATGGAAGTCCGGCAGATGTGACTGTCCTTTTCTGAGCGTTCCTGAGCCGCTGAGAAGTTCGCGCTGTGGACACATTGTAGTCAGTTACGGCCCATGAGTAGACAAACACGTGATCCGATCAAGGAGTCAGTCACCCTTGTAATGTCCCCTAGCTGACATTTTGATGACAGTAAAAGTCGGACATTTTACGTGTCCAAGGATCTATGGGATGTGTCTATGGGGCAAATATGGGATGTTGTGTGGATCATATCAGTGGCGTAGCGAGAGGGTTTCGCCCATTGGCGAAACCCTGGCTACGCCACTGGATCGTATACATTGAGATTGACCTCAGGATTCTTGCGGTAGAAATCACATGTGCTTCCATTTTCGGCGACAAATCGACTTAAATATCCTTCCTAAAGTTGTTCCAGTTTGTTGCCAAAAAAAAAAGCAGAAACCATTCAATGAGGTATGCATAAAATATTTAACTGTTCAGTTATACCAAATGGAAGAGCAATGAATAACATTACCTCCGATGGATCTGGACATCATCATGTCTGGGATAATAGTACATGATATGTGACCTCATTGGAGGAAATTACGCGTCCATCGCAGTGTTTGAGCTACTGGGGAGATTTTCTACGGAGATGTGTAGTTACATAATTTTCTTTTTGGGATTCTCGGTCAGTTAGCACCCATTGGCTAAAGGCAGACTTGATGCAAGATCCTTCATGATTTTATATTAATGGAAACGCATGAAAAACAGGAGTTCCATAATTTCTAGTTCTAAAAGTTATGGCAACGTATTTTTATTTTTCTATTGGCAAAAGTCATGAACTTCATACTCGTACATTCCCTCTGGATACTCTATCCCAACATATACACTATAAAAATACCTCTTTCACGAGTGTGATGAGCAGAAGGTGAGCATTCCCCTTCAAGGAATCCATGTCCAGAGTGGGGAAATCCAAAGAAACTTCTTCGGATTTCCCCACTGACAGTGAAGGTGAGGCCCCTTTTCATTTCTCGGCATGGAAAGAACGACTTTATTTAGAAATTACTTCTCCATTCAATGACCTGTTCATGCAAATATATGAATACATTCCACAGCCTAAATCGGCAGTGTAAACTCATCCTATTGCGTCATGCACAATTAACTCAAGAATATATCAAAGACATTGAGTGATAGAGAAATCAGTCGCCTCTTGATCTCTACTTTGAATGGAGAGAAATTTAATTGAATAGGGTTCAAATAGAGGCAGTAGGGGCGCGAGGAATTTGATAATATTTGACGGGTATTGGGGGGTCAACCTTCAGCGAATCATAGTTTTTCATGGCAGCTTCGTTTTCTGGTTCTATCATGGCATTCATTTCATCTATAGAGCCAGAAGGCTTCTTATCGATATGCTAGTGGTAGGTGTCAACAGTCGATCGGGCCTCTATTGAACGACAGGGGGAGTCGATTGCAAGTAATGAAGGTATGGCCGGGATACTTAACGAGTTCTTCGCTTCCGTTTTCACTGTCGAATCCGACGATGCACCGACTTTGGAGGAGGTGACTTCGGCGCGCATTGCGGATATTTCCATCACCGAGGAGACGATCATGAGTATGAAAGGGAAGTTAAATGAGAGCAAGGCGACCGGCCCCGATGTGATTCCTGCTCGAGTCATCAAGAAACTTGCGAGATTAATATCGGTTCCGCTAAGTATCATATTTGAAAGCAGCTTTCCGCTCGGTGAAGTACCTACTGGAGGCTAGCGAACGGCGTACCGATCTTTAAGAAGGGTGAAAAGAGTAGTCCTGGGAATTATAGGCCGGTAAGTCTCACGAGTATTCCGGGGAAGATCATGGAGAGCATCCTATGGGACCACATTTTGGATTTCCTCAAAGGAAACGCGCTCAGACTTTCTTTCCAACCCAATAGACTTCGCGAAAGCTTTCGATACCGTTCCTCACAAGAGGTTGCGGGTTAAACTGGAGACGCACGGGATCCAGGGTAGGGCGAGCGAGTGGATCAGTAATTGATTGACGGGAAGAGAGCGACGAGTAATGGTAAATGCGGAAGCGTCAACAGAGGTCGGATTCGCAAGCGGGGTCCCTCAGGGCTCGGTCCTGAGGGACCCCGCTTTGGGTCTCGGCGTAGATGGTAAGATAAGTAAATTTGCCAACGACACCAAGATAGGTTTCTCCTTAGGGGGGAGGCGGATAGTGCTAGAGCTGAGCGAGATTTGTCTTTTGGATGAGCGGAACAAGAAATGGCTCATGAGGTTTAATAAAAGTAAGTGTTAAGTTCTCCACGTCGGTCGAAATAACGGTAGGTCTCTCGACACGTTCGGCGGGGTTAAACAAGGGGAGGCTAACGAAGAGAGATTTAGGAGCTTCTATCGACGAAGACCTAAAGTTTTCCTCGCACGCGCATGTGACGGTGGCCAAATGCAGGATTCTGGGTTTCATTCGTCCTTCGGTTGCAAGTAGGACTTCGCGCGTTATTATTCCGCTGTATGCGGCGCTGAAAAGACCACAGTTGGAATATTGCATCCAGTTTTGGAGGCCTACAATAATGATAAGGAGATTAGGGGGACTTCCGCACGAGAAGCGTTTAGTAGTGCTGGGACTGTACTCGCTCGAGAAAAGGTTAAGGAGGGACGATCTCATCCAGGCTTTCAAGATAATTACAGGAATAGATAATGTCGAGTGTGGTAGGTTCTTCCAGTTCGATGGCAGCATGAGAACGAGAGGTAATCAACTCAAGTTGCGTAAATCGCAGGTATGGCTCAGGTTGCGGCAGGACGCTTTTACTTGTAGTGTGGTGAACGCGTGGAATGTGTAAAGCAACGACGTAGTGACTGCTCCTTCCGTGCCTATTTTAAGGAAGAAGCTAGATGCTTTTATAGACAAGCAAGAAAGGGGGCAATGTTGAATTAAGGGACTAGGCGCAAATAGGATATGCTTAAAAAAAAATATATATATATATATTAGCCTTAAGAGGAGTAAGCCTACCCTAAAATTAAGGAAAGCTCGACCTCGACAAGTGGTATCCAAATGGGTTTTATCGCCTCTTGATACCACTACACCACCTTGAACCTTGAATGTATGCATTGTAGGGGGACTCGATTTTTCACACAATAAATTTGGCAAGAAACTTGAAGATGCACATGAAACTATAGTACACGCGACCAGTCTCAGATGAGAATGCATCCATTATGTTATTGTGGAAGTTTGGGAACTAGATTCGGGGTGAACGGAGATGTAGAATAGAAGGAATCCTCTCTCGGCGAGATGTCTCTGTGTGAGACATCTCGCCGGGAGAGGAGGGATATGAAGGATAGTGTCCGGCACACGACACTGGGAGAAGGGGAATGGAGGATGAAAACGCAAGATGATTTGGGTCAGTTCGGTCGTCTGTTGACAATGGACGGTAACTGGTACACCTTCAACCTTTATCCGGGCAAGTGGGGTCCGTTGGACACCAAAGCCTCAATTTTCTAAACAGCAGTCAAAATATTGCATATATTTAAATTTCTAAATAATTTTACATACCTTTTGAAATACATCGGAATCATAAAGGGAAAAATGTGAAAAACATGTTTTTACCTTCTGCTTTCCAACACTATATACTTAAATTAGTATGAGGTCCAACGGACCCCACTTGCCCGGTTACGTTCGTCTTTTACCTTGCCCCGATAAGGGTTTAAGGCGACTTAGGTGTCATTTGAATCTTGGATAATTCCAATAAAAAATGAGGGAATGCAACTCAAGGTAGTTCGAAAGGAAGGAGGCATGCAGGGAAATCTATGTCGCCAAGTACTGCATGATCCTTCGACATGGCCTCAGTCAAATTTCTACATGGTGATTTAAAAAAAAGCACCCCTTAAAAAAATAGATTTAGCATTAAGCACAGTTCTACAAGAAGAGATTGCTAATCTTAATCGAAAGAGGACACAATTCATGAGAGTATTTTCATTCAAGTTGAACAATCGTAGCCCCCAAGGCAGCATTTTCAAAACTTGTGTTCAAAATAGCCGCGGTCACTGTTGCTGTACGATGGCAAGATACGCAGCTGCCGTTTTTATCGCAAAAAAGTTCCCGTTGGTTCTTTTCTCGTGCCGCGTCACATTTTCATCCTAATTTCAATGTAATCAATCACATGTATCACATAGATTCCTATTAGATGCACCAATGATGGAAATCGTCAAGATTCCTTACTCGCAGATGATCACGAATCTTGGTGGTTGTTGCATCAACAATCTTCTTGGATTCCGTGGTAACAGCTGATGAAAGTTCACCAATATCCTTCTTCATGATGTCATATATTTCAGTTGACTACAAGAGAGAAAAGAGCAAACTACCTCATTTGTGTAGGGCCTACACAAGCCACAAAGGGCTTCAAATGAAGAAAATGTATGAGAAAATAATCAGGGCCCACTCATGATGGAAGTTGAGAAAGACGTACCATCTTGTGCTTTCTTGGGAAACTCTTTCACAACTTTAGGCCCATGGTATGAGGTTTATAACTTGCATTAACTTAAAGCTTCTTGACATGGGGCAGTAAAAGCTTCATGGCAAGAAGGATTAGAAGTATGATTGGCTAATTTTTACATTCCTCTTGGTAAAAATGGCAGATTGTGGACCCTGATTGTTCCTTCCTCACCTTCATTTCCAATAGGCCCTATTCCATGTTTATTCCCACTCCCAACATTAAAGCAATCATATAAACAATCAAATAAGCATTAAGGCAAAAATGGGACCACTCACTTTGCTCAGAGTGCTTTTTGTAGCTTCAACTATCCCACCCCATGCTCCCCACCATGATGAAGAATTCACATCATCTGCTTCCTGCTCCTCCTGAATACACTCTTCTGTATCATTTCCTTTTTCAGCAACACCCTTGGTTGCTTTATCCCCCTCTCTGGGAGTTGAGGTACTGGCTTCACTCTGCCCATCCATTGGGCTGAACATGAGAGCTCAATATACCAAAAGATCACTCAGCTGATTCCTGGCTCTTACCTTGTTGGATAGCATAAATATGGTACTCAATAGTAAATCATGTGGTCATAATAAATAAACCAAATTGGGCATTTTTCAGAGAATGTAAATAATTACTTGTCTTTGTTCATTAGAGGTGCATTGACTCCAGAAAAAACATGCAAATGTAATCTCAACCCTACCACATGCATAATATAACAGAAGCTCTATCTGAAAAGAGAGAAACAGATTTTTCTTCCAATAAGAATGGAATATTGTGCAGCTCTCCAAACTCTTTCTTCTAAGAATATGACAAGATGTGATCATGTCAACAATGGTTCCCCCCCTCTCTACATTGTAGGCAGGTTGCAATGAGCAACCATGTTCCTCATAGGATTTAAATACAGAATACACATGTATGCCAGTTCTTTGTGAAGATAATGCATAATGATTATTCAAGTGGGAGTTTGGAAACGCTCCAACTCAAATCTATTGAAGAAACCCATATTTTTTTAAGATGAGACATGCACCTAACACATTGGACAATGGACATTTTAAAATAATGTTATAGAGAATCAAGATGCTTGATATCAGTCTTTCAGGTTGAGATGCCTTCCATGGTCCTGTAGAAAGCCTTAAGGCCTGCTTTTGAGGTGCCTATGACTGGTATGATTATAAGGCATATTTTATGGTGACCAGACTTTATTCAGGAAAAACAGGGACACCAGGATGGAAAGGAAATTTCAAACAGACATAGTCTGAAAAACTGGGACAGCTGGTCACCCTATTGTATTGTATCTGAACCTAATAGTCATGACAGAGTAACATTTAATTTAATAATAATAATAATAATGGTATATTGAGGATCAGGACTGTTAGTGCATAAGCAAATTGGTATCCATTATCATTTTGGGGGTGAAATTACATAATCATTGAGTCAAGGATATATGAGGTGAAGTGAAGTGAAGAAGTTTGGTTAGGTGGATGATGCGTTCAAGAGGTGGGTCATATAGGGGACTGGTGATTTGTAGAAGTGTTGAGTTTTGCACTTGAATTCCAGCAAAAGATGAGAAATGTTATGTCACAAGGTCATTGAGGGCATCTGCTGGAGAGGGGGCAAGACATGTTGACAAGATGGGTTGACTAGTAGGGCTTGGGCATATTTTAACGTGAGCTTTTTTGCCTGTCTACCAGAGATGGCAACTGAAGAGTAGATAGAGCCTCCTTATATGATGTAAATTCGCTCCCAAGGATGAGCTGAAAAGCATGCTTCTGGACTAGCTCAATGCTTATGAAACCTTAATGCTAGACAGACACTCCTCAGAAGGCAGATGGGTCATCTGTTAGCAGAGGAAGAGCTTGCCATTATCTGGAATCAATTCCTTGTCTCCTTGGCTACATTTGAAAGCAAAGCCCATGAACTTGGGGGGTTTGTCTAAGTAACACCAATTTGATGGTGAGGAACTGGCACAAGATCTCTGTGTCTGCTCCAGATTTATAATCTTTTAGTCCATATGTAATACCTTATAGAAGGTAAACCTGGTCATTTTCCAAAACATGCCCTGGTATAGCACAATATTGCCACTAGTGCATTTGAGAGTAGTTTGCCATGAAATTCCTTATGAAGCTCAAAAAAGTGCATCTCCTTCCTTTAGTTCTTTCAAGGTTTTCCCCCCCATCTTCCAAGTCATGAATGTTCAAAGTTTTTTTTTTATCACAGAGACCATAAAATCAAAACTGTACAATTAACAGGAAGCAGCTGGAAAATTTTGGAAAGTTTGTAGAGAGGCTGCAGGATGGCAACGGCACAGAAATGACCCTGAAATCTGCACCGTTGTCGAGTCCACGCAAGATACATTAAATTATATCTTACATAAGCTCACTAGGCTGAGACCTAACGTTAGACGAAGGATTTATGCAATCTCCTCATTGAAACATTAGTAGAACATTTTTTAAGATGGCGTAGGCTGAATTGCAAATCACAATTTAAACAGACTATTCATAACGGAATAAATTGACCATAACTCTTGCTGGTATGGGCTACTGTATTCTTCGAATGAAAATTTTCCATTTGACGACGACGTAACCAAAGTAGGCAAGCTTAATCGTTACCTTTATTAAGTAAATTTGCAGCCGAATGATATGATAACCTATTGAACCTAACATAAAAAGTTTTGAACACACTGGAAAAAAAAAAACAATGAATAGAACCTTGCACTTGAGACTCTACGAGTGGATACAACGACGTCGCCATGGAATGATGACGTCAATCTTGTCTACTGCTCGCTGTTGCTGGGGTAATAGACTCATGCAGGAGAACGCTGCATCACTATAGCCGAACCAGGACGGATATACGATATCTCATTAACTTTTAATACTTTGTTGCGTCATTATTATAATAGGAGTTTAACATTTGCCAAATGTGTAACTATAGGCCTGCTTTCTATAAAATCAGTCACGACCATATGCCTTCCTACCTTCACAAATACTGAATTGTCATTTTGTGATGTATCCTTTTTTCAGTAAATCATCATATTCAAAACCAAATAGACCAATTATAATCGCTGATTTGTACTAGCTGGCTCAGCCAGTCTAAATAGTCTAAATAGACGATGTCCACAGGATTCTCCTCATCCCTGTCTTCCGTCGCCCAATCGTAGAATTCGAGCAAGGTGCAATTACGACGCCTCCTAAAGCTACGCTGATAGTCCCGGATGAGCGCGTTTCCTTTGAGGAAATCCAAAATGTGGTCCCATAGGATGCTCTCCATGATCTTCCCCGGAATACTCGTGAGACTTACCGGCCTATAATTCCCAGGACTACTCTTTTCACCCTTCTTAAAGATCGGTACGCCGTTCGCTAGCCTCCAGTCCTTAGGTACTTCACCAAGCGAAAAGCTGCTTTCAAATATGATACCTAACGGAACCAATATTTCTCTCGCGATTGCCTTGATGACTCGAGCAGGAATCCCATCGGGGCCTGTCGCCTTGCCCTCCTTTAACTTCCCTATCATACTCATGATCCTTGGTGATGGAAATATCCGCAATGCGCGCCGAAGTCACCTCCTCCAAAGTCGGTGCTTCGTCGGATTCGACAGTGAAAACGGAAGCGAAGAACTCGTTAAGTATCCCGGCCATACCTTCATTACTTGCAATCGATTACCCCTGTTGTTCATTGGAGGTCCGATCGATTTTTAATACCTACCTCTAGCATATCGCTAAAAATTTTATTCAAATAAGTTTTATGAGGCAATGCTCATCCATTCTTCGTTCTCCTAATCGTAGGTTTGAGAGATTTTATTGCCTCAGGAGAATATACAGCAGAAGTGCAACTACATAGAATTGCTTCCTCTGTAACTTTATGCAGTACTTGGCAGGTGTGACGGGTATTTTTTCTTAAGCTTTTCATTCTTCGTTGACTTGCGGAGGAAAATGAAATTTTGCTGTAGAAGAGCGTAATCTAAGAAGGGTTTATTATGTCCTTATCAAGATATGGTGTTTATTGCCAGGTGCCACGTTCCGCATGGCTAAAACTCCAGGTTCGGACTTTTGCGTTCTTCAGGAAAATTTATAACTGTAAAATGCTATGCTTACTATGCCTGGATTTCTACCGTCATAGTAAGCATAGCATTTTACAGATGGTGCATGGTGCACTACTTTGATGAACAGGACATAACATTTCAGCTATTAAATTTAGTCCTGTTGTCAAAATTCACCCAAACATCCATTAGCCTGTTCAGGGAAGTATTGTGAAGAGCCATATTACCCCTATTAGCCCTATGGCAAACACAGAAGGAAAAGCCAGCTTTGATTACTTGGTGTTGTAGAGCATAACAGATGTCAGGGCTTCTTCAGCAATGAATCTTGAAACTCAACACATGTTGCTACTGGCAAAATGCTTTAGTAAGTTTTGTTTTTAGCCCACTGAAGCACTCACCTATCCCAATTTGCCCAATGGTATTTTCAAGTACTCTTATATACCTAATTGAAGCTAAAGAGACACTGAGAAGACACAAAATAAATGCACATATGATTTTTCCATAATTTTCAAGTGTCAGGCTAATTTTTTCCTGTTGAAAATATAAGCCAAGGCCATTGGAAAAGGATCACACTCACAAAGTAACATTATGCACATTATATGAAGAGATAATATAGGTTTGGGGGTAATGCCTTTTTTTTCCCTCTTGTGGTAGACCTACTTAAAGTGCTGCCATTTTCAGTAAATTTGTTTGCTGGGTGATGAATTGGATTATGGATGCCCCATGAAGAGAAATTCCTTGATGCATGATGTTTCAATTGTCCTGTTCCTATAGCTGGATGATGAGGAATCTACCCTCAGTGCTGTGAAGCGAGGCATATCAGAGTTCATGACACATGTTCATGATGCTTTTGCTCCAATGCCACCAAGTGATGATGAAGATGAAGCCTTTATCATGCTCAAGAATGAACCTGTCATGCTTAGCAGGGAACAGGTGAGAATATCATTCCCTTGTTTATAACTGTTAATCTTAATACAATTCAAAGCAGATATCTAGGAATGCATACAATGCATTCCTAGATATCTGCTTTGAGGTTGATTCCTGCATGCAGGAATGCATGTAAATGAATTCATCCCACCCTTGCCATGGATCTATAGTCCTAATGTCATTTATATCATGGGAGATGAAACCTCTCCTCAGATTCACCATGGAAATAGTATTGCACCATGTGATGCAAATTCAGTACAAATATAATTTGCAAATCACTGAAACCAGTGATACTCTTTGAGCTGGATTAAGTTTAAAAAGAAAGGACAGATGAAATCCCTGGCTGAAAGAAATCCAATGTAATTATCTATATCCTCTCCCCTGAGTTATTCTACTCTATCCCAGTGAAATCAGGAAGTGACATAGATTGTTATTAACAAGGAATCCATGCTTGTATTTCCTATGCCATGATTTCTACTTTCTTTTTTTATGTGGAGCAATGTAGCTTATCACCATTCACTATTTTGATGACACTGTTACAATGCCAAATGGTTACTGACTTTCCCTGGGACTTAAATCATGAGTATTTACAGCCTGTTTCTGGTCAAGGCAGACAGAAGCATACTTGCACTTGCCATCTTCCAGATGAGGCTTGAAGATTGCTCTCTTCAATGAAGCAATGTTTGCTGCAGAGTTCTTAGGAGTTTTGAGGTATACAGGGTGGTAAAAAAAAATGATCTATATTGGGTGGATCCTCAGAGCATATTCAAAGCAAGAAAAGGTATTGCTGTACTCATGAGAATGTTCTTTTCTGTGTCAGTGATGGTGGAAAATGCATCCAATAAATTTAGCATTTTTCAACCTGACTTTCATCATTAAGTGATATGGTTGGTTTCTCTCATTTAGGCTCAGGTGTATAATCTTCGAAGAGACCCATCCACATATCTTCTTGATCCTGAAGACATGAAGGATTACAACACTTGGCTGCAAACATTTGACTTGGAGAAGAAGCAGGCAGAGATGTCCTCTTTCATGGTGGACTGCCCTGAAATTCAGAAAAACTATTCAAGTCTTGTGCCTGCACAGGCAAGCTCTAATTTTACTTATTCTTTTTGTGGGACTTCTTTTCTTCTGCTTGAATGAATAACTTTGACATTTTAAGCATCTGCTTTCAACCTAGGTGTCTCATGTAGTGTTTTGGCACCGATACTTCTACAAATTGGACAAATTGGAGAAGATGGAAGAGAAGCGTCAAGAGCTGAAACAGAGAGCTGAAAAACCCCAAGAAAGGAACTTGAAAGAATGGGAAGATGGTGAGTATATTAATAGTTATGTTTAATTTCCTACCTATTTTATGGAACTAGCTCATGGCTTCTGGGTGGGCCAGAGATGCATCATTTTCAAGAAATAATTGTGTATTGTGAAAAGTGGGATATTTTGGTTCATGTATTTAAGATCCACACTCATACTTTATGAGAGTATATTAAATACCTTCACCAAAAATAATAAACCAATTTTGAATACAATTAATTTGTATCAGTCTTCTTTGGCCCACCCTTTAGTACCTCTCAATTTAAAACTTGCTGAAGGTCTTTGCACATAACATTGTAATAGTATTGTCTTGGTGTGCATACTCTCAATCTCCACTCTTTTTATCATTAATATGCATCATACATAATTAATTTAAGTGTTGATCATATGATAATATGCTGAAAGAACCCTGACTTGATCCTTTCTGTACAGTTTTCTATGCATGACTGTGCCTCCTGGCTGGATTTTATGGGGGGGGCATGCACTTCAGTGTTTAAGCAAAAAATGTGGGCTTGCAACATGAAATACCTTTGAGTATGAGTGGGTCAGACTTGCACCCTCCTTAGCAGTGCTTTGGAGTGTGGTATTTGCAGAAGCAGGTGTCAACATGGAGAGCCCTGTTGCCTCAGAATCACTGTTTTATTACCTCCAATATTTCATTTTCACAAGTAATCAATTGATCACTCCTGGGTCCTGCCATGTAGCTCAATTACAGCTTGAGATCTCAGATTTTCTTTTATTTATCATTGAAAGTCCTGCCAGAAGGGAAAGGTGGCTACACCGACAATGGCACCAGACACCTAGCAAAATGCAAACAAAAGCTCATGTCCATGGTACTCACATTGTCAAAGGAATAACACTGAAATTGAACCCTACCGGTACAGGAGTGAGCAGAAGGGACCACACTCATCCCTTGTCATACACCATGTCAATGAAGAACTAACACATATCTTTAACTCCAGTTTTTCAGCCTTCACACTTACCCTTGTTTACATGTTCTACTATGGAACCTAGTCACACTGGTTCTGAGGAGGTGAATGTTAACATAATGACTGCCGACGATTTAAATGCCTGGCCAACCACTGCTTGCTACACGCAGCAGTAGAGGTTCATCTACTGAACACACCATATGGCATGGATGGCAGCAAAAGTGTTAGCATTTCTAATATATAGATGTTTTCAAGAAAATAACACTTCAATAACATTTCAATTTACCAGCATAGAGGGGTGAGATTTGTATTGCCCTAGGCCTAACAATATATACACCCTTTTTTATTCACCTTCTAAAGGACACTAGTTTGTCTCCATGGAAGAGGCAATGCAGCTTTGAAAATGTTGCTCCTAACTCCACTGTGAAAAGGTGCTGGTGAAAGATTTAGATATGACCACAATGAAATATTGTCCTTTTCCTTTTGTCCAGATGATGATTTTGATATTCCTGAGGAAGTTCAGGATCAGCTTCTTGCTGCTTACCAGGCAGAGTGTGACCAAGGCAACGGGAGGAATGAATTCAAGGAGCTGGAGAAGGAAGACATGGTTGTCATAGAACCCCAGGGGAAGAAGAAGAAGAAGAAGAAGGATTCTGGCTCTTAGGACCATCCCATCCAGAAGACTTTCCATGTGTGAATGTTCACTCCACTATACCTGAATTCATGGAGGCCCAGGTGCTGGGATCAATCATCTACTCCCTTGTGTCTTTTGAAAATTATTTGCCACATTATGAAGGAAAACAGCACATTCTATTATTACTTCATGTAAGATAGAGTGATATGTCTTCAATCTCAGAAAAGCCTTTGTTGTACCCTTGTGCCTTTTCTCAAAATTTAATGACCAGGGTTGAGAGTGAAATGTTTGGGTGTGTGCTGGCTTGCTTGTGCCTGTCTTCCCATTGGTTGTTACTTCTACTGGAGGGACTGATGGAAGTGAATAACTCCATCTAAGAGATGGAGAGATTGAGGAGACAAAAATTTTTGTTGCGAATGAGGTGATATGCATGAATCTTTTCTTATTATCAGCTGATGGTGGATGTTTTCTCGTTTTCATGAGTCCTCTAAATCTTTAAACACATACCACAAGCAAGTAGTGAACAGTAATGGAGTTAGTTTTAGCCCCAGCTGTCCATGGAGTGGAAGAGTAGGAATGATAATCATGCTATCGACACTACCTGGTATTGAGTTGGTGATTATTGGTCCTTTTCTAAATTGATGAACCTCAAAAGGATGGTCTATGCTCATGTCTGAACTCTAAGGTTGTACTTTCTCCTGTCTTTCATGTGCCTGCATTTGGTCAGGGTTTTCTCAAGTGCCTATTGAATTTGAATGTTGAAGCTAGTGGGAACAAAAGATTGTTATCTGGCTTTTGTTTGGGGCCATGGAGAGAAACTGTGATGAGATTCTTATTATGTCCCAAAAATGATTAACTTTTTACAGGTGGTTGGGTTTTAAACATTTTTTGCTTCTTTTTCTTTTGTAGCAGCTTTTGGGTGTGGCATTTTCTTACTTTATGTCAGTATTTGTGTGGCATTGCTAACCTCTTATAATTTACTTTAAGATAATATCCTGAAGTGGTAGACAGCACAGATGTTTTGCTCAGAAACTCTTCAAATTATCTAAATTGAAGAAATGGAGACACTTCAACAGTCTCAAAAGTACCTCATTGATGAAGATGCCATGACAATACCCACTATGGTGTAGCTGTTGGTTTTTATTGCTTTCTTGCAAGAAATGGAGAAGCCAAGGTTGTCAGCACATCTTTTATGAATGAAACTGAGTGTCGGTGTTTTAGAGTTTTTTTTGACAATGAGACAGGTTATTCTCTCACCCTCTAACAGAACCTTGTACAGACTCAGGAGATAGCACTGGAATAATGATAGGAAAATGTATCATACTCTGATTTGGCTGGTGATCTTTTCTACAATTTTTTGTCATTAATTCAGGCTGTGAAAGTAGTGTCTCCACATAATCTCTACTGCTGGGGTCTCAACTCCAACTCTGAAGCTCCCCAAAGCTAGTTTCAAATAGTTCCAGGTGTCACTGAGGTTACCTACTGTGCCACATGCCTCTGTGAGACCGCTACGAATGATGTTTTCACCCACAAAATTAGGACTAAAATGCCCATAATGTAAACCTTTTAGATTTTCATAATGTTGACAGAAACAAAAAATAAGTTTTCAATGACAAGAAGTGGGCAGGAACAAAAAGTCAGGATTTCATTTACAAAATAAATTCTTCACCTTATATCATCCAATCCTACATGTACAGACATTTTATGCTCTATTGCATATGAAAGTGAAATATTGTGAATATTATTTTAATATACCTGTATTCTTAAGAATACAGAATTCATGTATCCTCCCAAGTTTTATGGGATCCAGGCATTACCCACTGGAAGAATTGGGAGCTAAAATTTTGAAGAGAAAAAAACAGAAGTTGCATTTAGAACTTGCACCTTAACCCTATAGTTGTAAACTGACACTAAGACCAAGAGTGCTAATAAGCTAGTAATTGAGTTACCTAACTTAACTTCAATAACGCTCAAACAGGTCTGAAATATGCTTGTGGATGTTTCAGGTTTTTGGTAACCTGGTTCTGTAATGTTGTAATGCTGAATACTGAGTTTAAACAACTCTGAACATGCTAAAAAAAATTTCTTCAGTACTCAGCCTTGATATAAATTTCCAGCTGAAGGATAAGAAAAAATGCTTCAAATTGAAATTTCTCACTGCAGATATTTTTCTGACCACAAGAGGCCCCAAGGAAGTTCTGTAACTACTCCAAGAAATTAAATGTTCATAATTGAATTGCAACAAGGCATAACAGGATGTCACAACTTCATTTTCAAAAAATTCCTTTTTTTTTTTTACAGCCATGGTGCATCATAAAAAGGGATATCCTAGATAATCATCTCAGCAATGTACTGTCCCACTGAACAAATTTTCATACTCATGATGAATACAGATAATGAAGTTCACCAATCTATACAACAATTTCAACACTTTACAAGTACAGCCCACTTTTTTTTTCCTCAGGAAAAAAAAATATATACAACAAAAACACCACCAAACAAACAGGTGCCATTATAAAATTATGCCTCTCAATAATTTAAAAATACAGTCCAGCAATACCAGGCATGAATGGCTGTTCAAACACATGAGGAACCAGTGCTACTTGCAAAAAAATAAGAAAAACCAGTGGCCACCCAAATCAGGTGACTTTTGATACAACTTCACACTAGCTTTCAAGCAGTCAAGGTAAGTCTTGATGGTCAAACATGAATGCTAGGAGTTGAAAAATTAGTGGAGATCCTTCAGCACATTAGATGTAGAGCTTGAAAATCTCTGATAGGTCAGGACACCACATCAAGGAAATATTCCATCATTGTGCACAAGGACAAAGATATACATATATGGGAACCCATATGGAATAGTCAGACGTGGAGGGTTCCAGACAATGCTTTGACAGTTTTGTTGAGCAGCCAAATGGAATTTTCCTTGCATATTCTCTAGTCCATTAGAATCTTCATCAATGTAAAGGGAAAAGGACAGTTTCAAAGATAGGGTACATCACAGCAAATTTTCTCACCAATCCTGGATGATTTAGTCAAGAATATGACAAAGACCCATCCAAGTACTCTGCCAAGACTTGAGTCTACCCCTCTTCATGTGGTTGTTCACTCGAGTGGGTGCAATCAGCAGTTTCCATTTCCTCTCGATCTTCCAAACTTACATTCATGCAGTCAGTATCTTCAGTATCATCTTCATCCCGTGGGGATGTTCCTGAAGAGCTTTCGCCCATCATCATGCCCTTCTTCACATCAATGTACTTCCATTCTGCTTCTGAAATTTCTTCATCCCCCTCTGCTGATAGTGGCTCTGTCGGTGAGAATATCTTGGTAGGCTGGCTCTTATGGTTATGGCCCCCTGATAGAAGCTTTGCTAGAAATTCTGGGTCTCCTCTGCCATCATCTTGTTCAATGCTCCAAATTTCAAATTTATCCAAGGTCAGGAAGGAATCTGGTCTGCATACTTTGCGGCCATTCCTGAAGTGAATTTTTGTGTGTTCCTTGACATAATGATGAATAGGAGCATTGTAATTGCAATGTGGGCACTTGATGGAATTTACATCCTCTATTGCAGTCTTGTGGCGTAATTCATGGCTTTTCAGGTGATCCCTTTTTGTTGAGGAATAAGGACAGTGAGCACACATGTGGTACTTCTTCTCATCATTGGCTATATAGCTGTCCTTCATGATTCTCTGGAGCATGATATGCTGCTTCTCAGGCAGGGTCAAGGGGTAGTCTTTCTTGTCCTCTTCAATTGGTTCAATGACTTCATCCATTCGTGGTGGTGAAGGTGGATTTGGTGACTCCACTTTCACCAATGCTCCTCCATGAGATGCCTCCTTGCCTTTAATTCGCACCATCATGTCATGATGCTCATGCCTCTTCACATGGGCCAGATGGTTAGCATAATGCTTCACAGAATAGTCACAACGACTGCAAGTGTACTTGTTTTTGGCTCCATGCAAACTCATGTGGATTTGGTACTGATCTCTCTTCTGGACAGCTGTGGGGCACTTTGGACAGCGATACCTTGTGACCAGCATTTTCCCCTTTACAGAAGCTAATGGATAATAGAAGGGAACAGCTTCCAAACCATCATCACCCTTCTCAGGGTCTATCTGGATGGGCTTTCGTCTTTCAATGCCATGATGAAGCACAAAATGCCTGGCAAGGTTTCCCACTGTGGTAACAGCATAATCACAGAGATCACACTTGAATGGCTTGTCACATCCATGGAGGGCATTGTGGGATCTTAAAGTCTTCCACTTGAAGAACCGAGCAGGGCATTTTGAACAATGATAGGCACGCTCTCTTTGAATGAGAACTGGGTCCTGATCATGATTCACTTCAGTCTGGAAAATCTCTCCACTTGGAGAATCAGGATAAATTTCTTTCTTCACAGGATATGCAGGGGAGACAGGGCAAACTGTCAAAAGGAGTAATGTCTTTTGCTTGTACTCCTCTGAATGCACCTTAGCATGACTTGCAAGTGTGGACCTTTGATTTACACTGTAACTGCAAAAATGACAATTGAATTCCCTTGTTCCAATATGCAACTTCTCATGGATTAGAATATCACGTTGGCTTTTGAAACGGGCAGGGCATGACTGGCAGAAGAACATCAGGGCTTTGCCTATTGACACTTTAGGGTCATGTTTTTGAGGTGTTGAGGGTTCCTTGTTACGTGCCAGCTCTTCAATCTGCTCCTCATCACTTTTTGAGAGATCAACTTTCCTGTGGACTTTCCCTAGTTTGTTTCGATGAACATTCATGTGAACAGCCATGACTCCTGCATTAACACACACATAACTGCACAGCTTGCACTTGTAGACATCTCCACTGAGCTTACCACGACTATGCATCTTCTCATGCTCTTGGATATTACATTTGCGCATATTGACATGTGGGCAGAAGCGGCACTTGTACATTTTCATGAACTTGTTCTTGCGAGAGACCCAAACCAACGGGATGTCATCATTCCTATCCTCAGTACCTGAATCTCCCTCCATGCGAGACATGGGAGATGATGGTGTCAAACTGGAAGAATTCTCATCATCCAAGAGGACATCTTGGTCGTCTACTGCCTCATCTTGCCCTTCCTCATCTTCCTCTTCATCACCATCTTGATCAGCCACTTCTTGACTGTGGTCCACTTCACCATACCTTTCAGGTTTCATGTCATGGACTTTGAGATGCTGATGGAGAAGGTGGCGCCGAGTCACATTATATGAACATTGGCTGCATTTCAATGTCCCCACTCTTGGTCGGTGAAATTGCTTGTGGTACATGAACTGGGTCTTGCTCCCAGTCACATATGGACATGCAGAGCAATGCCATTTCTTGTATGGAAATGGTGCCTTCCTAGAGTCCCCATTTCGCCTCTTCTCATCTTTCCCTGCAGTGCTTGCCTGAAAGAAAGAAAAAGAAAGGACATCAGTCTTTTCCATCTGCAGGGATGCAAACTAACTGACCAACAAACTTTTTCTCCTCTGTTTCTTCTTCTTCCATTATGCATATTTACTCTCCATTAGGCTGGTCTGGCTGGCTAACAGCTGGTATTAAATCAGATGGCCCTATTACCTGATTAGGTAAACACTGACCAGATTCCAAAAGCAGTGACCTCTCTGAGTTTCAATAATAATTAGTAGAGACTTTTTACAAATCTTATCCAAAAGTATTTGGATTCACAGCCTTCAGAGAACTAAGGTGCAAATGCTATTGCTCTTGCTGATCAAAGAATGAGTTGTCACCAACCACATCTTGGACTCCTCAGATTACCAGTAAAAACATTATCACATTATCTGAGTGTTGATATTTAAGGGATTTATTCCATATTATAAGCATACACTTCACCTAAGTTTCAACTTCTGCTTCCAAGTGACATTTTTTATACAGGGTGTCCCATAAGTCTGGAACCATAGAGCAAAATGATGATAACAACTTGTATTCACAGAATGTGTTCAATGTGTCCACCATTATGGTTGATATACAAATGCAGACGAGGTATCCAGTCAGCAATCACACTTTGAATGGTGTCCCATAAGTCTGGAACCATAGGGTAAAATAAGTGACATGATTTTTCAGTTTCTAGCAGGTGCCCATGATGTCGCTGAGTAAGGAAGAATGCATCCAGGTAATCCTGCTCGTAGGAAATCAGAGTCATAGGGAGGTCGCTGAGGAATTTAACAGATTGCATCTGGACTGCACACCAATTACACACAGCTGTGTCAGCAAACAGGTAGCAAAATTCAGAGTGCTGCACATTTGTGGGAGCACATCATCGACACATGTAACACCATCACTCCTGACACCATTCGAAGTGTGTTTGCTGACTGGATACCTCATCTGCATTTGTGTATCAATCATAATGGTGGATACATTGAACACATTCTGTGAATACAAGTCATTATCATCATTTTGCCCTATGGTTCCAGACTTATGGGACACCCTGTAGATTTTAGATCAATGACAGGGATTTCCTTGCACACTCTAGTTTTTTCCTACAAAGTAATCACATGAACCACTACATCTATGCACTCTTTATAGTACCACATCTATCAGCAGAATTAAGAGCAGTAGTAAGATGGATTCTTAACAATGATGAAAATGTTGCCAAAGGCCCAATGCACAAAGATTCAAACATAAACTTTATCATCCAACAGCAAGCAGCATCCTTCACCAATGCCACATAAAAGAAGACCAATTAAGGCAACATTAACCCATTCAGTCCTTCTTTAACTGGCACTTCACTACGGCCATGAGTCAGGCTCATTATTAGGACCCAAGTAAGTTAAGGACAGATAAAAAGACCTTCCATGAGAGTTTTCTTGCAAAAATAAAAAAACGTTCAGAAAGCCCAAGTATTTTATGAGGGACAATAATCAAAGTCACTCAATCGGTATCTCACGGAGATTGTTAAAATCAAGCCAACCACTCAATTTAGAACTCAAATCCAGTCATGTTCCAGTCATATCAAGTAAACTGTGCTTTAGTTTGAGAAGAATTGAAAACTTCAAATGCTAATAACTATTTTCCCCTGAAAGGCACAGCCAACCTAATAGCATTTTTGGGTTCTCCAACTAATTCTGCATAGAAATGACACTACAATAGTTTGTCCATGCCAATTCCAAGAGGTTCATGATTTTTTCAAATGTGGAGGTCACAGGCTGACTCCATATTTGCAACTCATAAAGCAAGTAACCCAATAGACCTAAAACATTGCATGTTGACTTTTCTTCACTAAGTGGCTCAGCAAGTAAGCATCTTGAAAACCTGTGAGGATGTGATGCTGGAATGCAGGGAGGCTCAAGTGGTTTGCCACATCAAAGCTACAAATAATGGGAAGATTACTCTCATTACTCTCATGCAACAAAAGTATATAGTATAACGTACCTGAGCTTCTAATAATTCCCCTTGTCCGTGTACTCCCACAACAGTCATATCCTTCATTTGATTCTCCAGTCTATTCTCTAGAAACTCTTTAGGGTTCTGCACTCCATGAGTCTCCAAGTGATGACACAAGGCTCTAACAACAGAGAAAGAGCAACACCATGAACCTCAAGAAGGAAAAGGATAAGAGAATATATCAAAGAACTTCCAAATTTAAAAAAAAGGAAGCTTCACATATACTTCAAAAACCTTTGTTCAAAAGTTACTCCTATAGCCCTGCTGAAATCAGCATCATGCAAGAAAGATGATGATCACAATAATTCATTCCCATATTGTCTATCCATACTATTATTATATTGGACACCTAGAAAGTATATAAATCTGATGATCACAGGAGTCTCCAGCAGACGCTGCAAACTCCATCATTTCCAGAAGGGAAAGTGTAAATTTTCCATGAAATAAAATTCTAAATATGCCCTCCATTCATGCCTGGCTTTCTTGAATGGCAATGCTGTTTTTTTAATGTTATAAATAGCTACCTGTTCCATTCACTCTACAGGTTAAATGATGGTTCTCACCATTTCTAAATTGTATTATGAGATTGGCTAATGCTTACATGTGCAGCATCAATTATGATACTACCACTAATGCCATATCGATTGCAACAACAAACTAAAGGCTGTCACACCTCCAGGTCCTGTGGCCCACTCCCACATAGACTTCCTAATGGTTAAGCATGTATCCTAATTTCTGTTCAATAAAGCATATCTGGCTCAAAAAGAGAGGTTCAGTATCCACAGAGATCAAGTTTCATACTAAAAACCAACCATATCAACTGCCAGTAGTGTGGGAGGAAACAGGGCAAAGAGACACACAAAGCCAAAATTCTACAGCACACACCTTTTACTTTTCATGATGGGACATCATGAACAGTTGTTGATGTCTGGAGGGATGGCCATTGCACTACCAAGTAAGTTTAGTCCATAACCCAAGATAATTGTCTTAATGTTGGTTGCATGGCTAAAAGGGTTTACAGCAAGAAAGAATGGACACATACAACACATATGATCATTACAGAGATACAGCAGCATCTTAAACAAGGTGGGGTAGAAAAGTTTGTGCACTTAATTTTTATACTCATAACACTTGCATCTGCATCTACCTATTTTATGATTATGGCAAGCCTGAATGAAATTCCTTAAAATGTTCAGATTGACAAACCTTTCCAGAGTGGGAGTAAACAAAGATGGCTGAAAACCTGTGAGAGAGCAGTGGATTGTGATGAAATTCCTTGTGACTGAGGGTGAGAAGGTTGAATCCCAGGGTCAGACTGACCCACCAGGATACCAGGAAATTTCCCAGGGGGTTCCCTCAGACCAAAGGGCCTCTGCACCTGCAGTGGGGGCACCTTGGTCTGCAATATGGGGGAGGAGGGGAAGGAGGCATGTGGGGGCCCCTTGTCAGCAATTTCCCAAGGAACCCCTAGGTCCTCTGTCCGACCCTGCCACATCCATCCATAAATGGCTGCAAAATGTTTATAAGGACCAATTTGATGTTCCAATTGATTGACTGAAATGAGACAATCTGCCTGAATGAGCTCATCCAGACACTGAATGTTGGTTCTAGTGACAGACATGCTGGGGTGGCCTATGTGAAGGTCACCTTTGGTTGATGTTCGTCCAAATTAAAAATGTTCCACCCACTAGAGTACAACTCTTTTTTTCAAGCATTGGTCCTAATGAACATTTTGCAGCTGTTTATAGGTGGATGGGGCCTTTTCACCCTCAGTCACAAGGAATTTTGTCACAATTCACTGTGCTCTCACAGGGTCCTCAGCAATCTTTGTTTACATCTGCTCTGGCAAGATTTGCCAATCTACAAAATTTCAGGAATGTCATCCTGACTTGCCATAATCATTAAATAGCAAGATGCAGATTTTAGGTGCAAGTGTTATGAGTATAAAAAATAAAGTGCACAAACTTTTCTAGCCCCCCTCATAATAATTTATAATCATATTAGCAAAGGATGCATGTATACACAGAACAGAATTAAGGAGGAAGATTCAATATTAAAAAATGGGTTGACAGAGCAAGTACTGACTTCTTTCCTGTGACAAAGGATGGACAGAAGACACATTTGTAGGTAGCCTCGGGTCTAATGACATGCTTCTCCATGTGGGCCTCCAGCTCACTAGTAGTTTTTGCAGCAAAGGGACAGAAACTGCAGATCCAGGAATCCTGCCTAGGATTTGCTTCCTGAGAACCTTCTACAAAGGAACAAAAACCAATAGGACAAATAAATAAGCAACACTAGGCTAAAAACCAAAAGCAGGAACACCCAACACAAATACATATTATATATATATCAAGTTTCCCACAGATGATTGATCTGAATTGCTAATCAAAATATAAGACACAACTGCTGTTAGCTAAATTTAACCCTTTCTTCACTGTCAGTACCTATGAATACCAAGAACTGAATAAGCAATAACACAAAATACATGGGCAGAGAGAACACAATTTATTAGCAACCTGATGAGTATGCATGAAGGTGATTCTCAAGTTACTCAACAGGCAGCATTTGGTGTGTAAGCAGGGCTAATGGTCTTGCAATGAAATTCTTTGATTTGGTAATAACCAATACATTTATGCAAACACTGAATTCAGATTTCTCTTCCTTACATCTATACCAACACTTACAAGTGCTTGATGGTATAGTTCAATGGTGTCCAACCCACAGCAGACGGGCAAAAAGTGGCCCTCAAGGTGGTTGCAAGAGGCCAAGCAAGGTCCTAACCCATAATATATACCCTCAGGTTTCCTTAAAATATTCTCCTACAATATTAGTGACTGGCCCACAATGGCTGTGGGAGTGAGCTATGTGGCCCCCTAGCCAAAAAGGTTGGGCACCACTGTTATACCATGTTGATTTGCTGTTATTTTCTATTCAGTATGTCAAATGTTTGGTTCACTAATAGTACTCATTGATAGCATTAAGAGGCACTAAAATTTTCCCAAAAGTGTATAACCCGCATTCATGACCACTGATTGAGCTCTCTGGATGAAAATTTGTGATAAGCAACTCATGAAACTTCAAACTTCAGGGAAGAAATTAATGAAAAAGAAGTTTCTCAGAGTCAAGTTTTCAGTGACACTCAGTATTGTCATAAGATGTTGATAATTTTGAGGCTAGAAACACTGAAACCATTAAGTACCAATGGGAGAAGATCTGGATAACACTGGTGACAGGACATAACTGAAATCAAATCCAGTGAAAGAGAAATGCTGCTGAAACCAAGGGCTATTTCATTTCACATAATCTGACTGAATTGAATAGTGAGTTGCAAAACAAAGTAATATAAAAAGAAAAACTTGGAAATATAGCTAAGGATTATGAGACATTATCTGAAAGGACCTTGCATTTTTGTCAGCATTTGGGTCTTTTTGACTGTCAATACCAGTAGGTAATATAGCAACAAAACTTATACATAGAACCTCATGCAATCAATATTGGCTTTTCTTTATTGCAGTCAAATCAATTGAACAAGCAGCTATAGCTATGAAAGCCACACCAACCAGAGTCAGAATGATGTTGAGAACTTGATTGTGACATATCTCCCTTTTGATTTTGGATACCATCATAATCATCTCCACCCAAGAAAGGACTTTGCTTGTCTGGTTTGTTCTTTATCACGACGATCTTACCACTGTGCTTCATCCTACAATGTCGCTGCAAAGCAATGAAGACCAAGATTAATTATGATAAAAGCCCATTTCTGGTGGAATGTTCACTTTTACACTCATTTGCATGCAAATGCAAATGTGAACCTTCAATGTGAAAATCTATTCCACTTGATTGAATGTTGGAACATTAATACTTGGGTGTTAATAAGCACTTTCCCTGAGAACTGGCATTGACATTTTATTTTGAACAATTTTTTTTCAACAGCAAATTCATTCATTCTAGTGACTGTCTTGGGGTGTCAACCTTCTTAGACATGAAATTTTGAAAAATTACAAGCAAACTTTCCACATTGAAGGTCCATGTGAAAAGGCATTTAAAAAAAACCATGCAGACACTCAAGAATCCAAATGACCAAGATACATCCACCCAAAAAAAAATTACATGAATTAGTTCAACCTCCAAAGAAAAAATCCAGAAGCTGGTTTTATTTGCCCTTCATATTTCAGCTTGCTTATTGCTCAAATGAAAATATTAACACTGTTATGCCCATTACATAAGACTTCATAAAGTGCATCCAAAAATCAGATCCACCCATGCTGACTATGAAGGGGTTGCTCAAGGTAACCACAGAAAATTTGCAAGAAGAAAAGGTCAAATGGAGTTACAGTCTCTGCAATGGGCATGCAATTAGGGAACCCCCTTTCCAGATCAGCTCACGGATCTAATTTTTTGCATACACTCATTGTTATCTTCATCCTTTGTAGCATGCACACCTACCAATTAACCAATTATGCAGTATATAGTATTGAGAAAACCTACAGGAAAATGATTAATAATTTTTAAACAGTCCTGTTGGCTCTGGTTGAAATCAATGTGCTCAAATGAGTATGGCAAAAGACTTAAGAGAAGTTGGTTCCAGATTTCAGTCATATCAAAACAACATTTGTTTGTCAATTGGCTTAAATTATCTGCACAAGCTATGGACACATGCAAGAACTAAACCACTCTATCCATAGCACTTTTCATGTCAATGGATTTATTTCATTCCACTACAGTTGCATCTTCAACATCTTACCATTTTGAAAGAGAATATTGGCATCAAATTGCATTGTATGAATAAAAAATTAATGATACATTCCAGGACTTAGTAGTGTGCCATCCATATGGTACAGAACCAAAATCAAAATGGTAGAGCTTCTCATGCTATAATAGCAAGAGAGCCATTTCTTAGTATAGTGGTAATAATGCTTTAGCCACATATGTAACCACTTAAGTAACTTGCAACCTGCAACATCTTGACATGCAGGTAAGCCCTACTGTAGCCATGCTTGCACATAGGCTGTTTTAAATCTTTACTTAATAAATCACTAACGTGACAAAACACTGTGACTGGACACAAATAACATGCCACAAGTAACCCTTGAATGGCTGTCAAGGTCATGAAGCTGCTGATACTTATCAACTGTGCAAGAGAACATCTGAAAAGACTATATGGCCCAATCAACTAGAGGCTTTACATCAAGATACTGAAAGCTTATAATTCCATCTTGATAGCCACCCAACTTTTGTATGCTTTTGCATGACCTGACATCCCAAAAGCACCACTAGCATTGCCAAACATGTGTATCCCTAAATTCCATTATCTGTTTCAGTTACTTGTCCTTAACCTTCATCTCTAATAAGATACAAGGATTTAAACTATTTACATGCAAGTTTTTCAAAATACCCTATACAGTGCTAGGGTAATCTGTTAAAATGACACTTTCTACAGCTGTTGAAGGATTGAACAGGTTCAAGGGGGGCAAAATGCTAGCAGCAGGTACCATGGATGTAACAACAAAGTTCATCCAAGAAATACAAAACTAAAATAAGTGGATGGCTAAATTTCAGTGGTTCAACATATTAATCTTCAGGTTAGGTTTAAGAGAATTCCAGGAGACAACCAGGGTTGTCCAAACCTGAAATGACACACAGGAACGGAACCCATTCCATCAGGAAGTATACAGAGCAGGCAAAAAGTAACTTGACTCTTGAAAGAACCTTCTTACAACTTCAAATTGGTAGTATCTTATCATTATCATGATTCAGTGAATAACCTTCATGTGATAATAAACAATTACAAGTTATCAGTAATATTTGAGCAGTAGGTGCAAAATGCTTCAATCAATGCACATCTGGCATTGAAAAGTGACACACAACTCTTGTCAGACCACACAATACTGTGATTTACGGATTCCACTATTCAATTGTTGCTTTGATAAATATACGTATTAAATGTATTTTGCAAAACCCCAGAAGAAACTCATAGGTGTTAAGTCAGGAGACCTAGTTGCCCAGCCAATGGCACCACATTGCCAATGCATTTAAAGTGTTTTGTTAAAAGAGACCATTAACTCTCTCTCCCTTGCTGTCTGGGGTCTTTTTTGACCATATTTTTATGAGATGAAAACTCCTAAAATTAACACAATTGATGCATTGTGTAACCCAAATAAATATAGGAATTTTGGTTTAATGGGATATATTTTATTTGTATATGTTGTGTGCTGCTCATGAATGATAATCACCTTATCTGACTCTTGTTGCCATGAATCATCTCGAATGTAGACAGAAACAGAATGGGGTGAAAAGAGACCCAAGACAGCCTTCACGTTATTTTCAAGCTGACAAGAGTCAAGTTATTTTTTGGCCACACTTACAGTTAATGTGTATATTGTAGATACAGTGTGTTCCATTTAAAACACAACCCAACAACAATCACATACTACAGTACAAAAAATGAAGTCTTGTCTTGTCTTCAAGAAGGCAGTGGACATTTTCAGCATCTGCCGTGAAGCAGATGCTGAAAACTGTACGTTCCTGTACATTCCTGCTCTGTACGTTCCTGTAATATTCTTCCTAAGAAATAAAAACTATCAAACAATTCATTTGTCTTGTTTTATTGCTGTTGTACTTAGGGTTGCATTTTAAATGGAACACCCTGTATATTACAGGATACATACACAGACATATTTCAGCAAATTCCAACTGATTACATGTTAAAACTTTAAAGATACATGTGCAGTTAACCCCTCATTGCACATCCCACACCATGCTGCAATGATGGTCAACAAAGAGCTCATGGTGGAACAGTTGACTCATACAGCAATAATAAAAATATGGAAAAATAATGATTTATTGCTCTGCAAAAGGAATGAGTTACGGCAACTGCAATCACATATTTTAGCAAAATACATTTCATAAAAAACTTCTTGAGTTTAAAATGTAACTCATTAGCCTTCAACTTCTCCAAGTGTAACCAATGCATTATATTTACTTAGTTACAGAGCTAATGCTGACAATTTTAAATGTTACGTCAGACTTTCTAATGCAAAGAAATGCATTTCTTTTCTATTGATAAAATAACAATACTTTTGGAACTAACTTTTTAAGAAAATCAGCATGAAGGAATGATAGAACTAGAGAGTAACAAAAAAATACAAATTCTCTCATGAAGCTGACTTTCATGTTCTCATACTCAACCCTTAAAGTAAGTCCCATCAATAAATAAAAATAAATTTGAAAGACATTAGCAAATGGATCAGGTATGAAACATAAACAATTACTGTTAAAGCTATCTTCTGATATTACCAGTTTTCAAAAGCATTTATGTTCACACTACAGAGCAATGCCTCAGTTTCCACATTGGCTGATTGCACCCAAGGTACACATGTAAAATCTTGGGCAACGTGCATTATAGGGCATGCAGGCAACATAACAACATTGAGTGATGAAACCAAGTGCTGTGAGACACTGCCACAGACCATTCCCAGACCAGTCATTTTCCGAAAACACACCTACTAAAATGTTCATTGATACCTGAATAACATGTTTCCAGTTGGAAGCCTGAAAGCATATGCCACATTGGAAAGGTGGCAAACCAGACGGGGTTGGGATGATGGTACCACGTGGCCGTACTGCATGTCCTTTGACATGATCCATCACTTCACTTTTGTTAGAGCATCTGGAAAGAGTTTCCCTATCCATCACCATCATGCACCCAGAGAAGAAACATGGATATATCAATTACCCTGATGACGGATTTCCAATTGGATGATGACCCACAGAAGCCACAGCTATATTGTTCTGAATTGGAAGATTTATGCCTAGCTGCCATATGAGCACTAACAATCGTCCTGCTGACACTTCTGCAACAAAACATACCATAAAGACAAAGAAAACAAATTAACAACAAACTCCTGAAGAGAAGTACAGAATACATCAAAGCTGTGTAACTTCAGGTAAAAGATAAAGAAAAAAACAAAAATGGCTTCAACTTTTATTTTGGCACCTACAATTCCAGACACCTGCTACTACTACTACTACTACAACCTCTTACAGCTGACTTTGTAAACATGCTTGCATATAATATTTACATCTTACCACCATATAAGTTTAAAGGTCACATTGCCTCTGACATACAAATCAACCACTTGCTCTACTTTACTCATCACATGAATCTCACAGTCTTGGTCACAACTTTTCTTACATATTTATAGCAGTATACTTGAAACTCACAAGGCTTATGAGCTATGACATCTACATGGGACTCTGAACTGAGATTTGACCTTCTCTTGATATTACAAGAATTGCTGAAATATATCCAATAAGTCATATAGCGCACTGCACTAAAATGTTCCTGACCATAAAATTATACCAGGGGGTCCAAATAAGAAAAAGTTGCTGCAGTCAGAACACCACAAGGTACTGGCAGGAAATTTACATGACAACATATGCAACATCCATTCCCATTTGGGAACTTTTTTTGGCCATTCAGTCTTGATGGAGACCTGAAATCTTCTCTGGATAGTGTCACTGAAACAGAGTAGTTTTGAGTCATATGTCCATTTGGGCATATGACTTTATTCTCATCAGACATGCGTTATTTGTTGAAACTTTGCTATGGTCAAGACAAACTTTTTTGTGAAGTTGGCTACCAAATTCATTATTAAAATTATATTCTAACTGAAGTCAACACTATTACATTCCACCAAAAGAAAGCATATCCAGAGTCAATTTCAAGGAGTCCATCTGAATACCATATTACAAAAGAACTCAGAGGAAGCATTTCAAGAACCTCAAGCTGCAGGATCCAGCAAAAACATTCTCTTATAATGAGTCATACCTCAGTTTCGTGGAATTGCAGAAATTGGGTCCTGTAGGAAAAATCCTCAGAACATAAGAGTTGAAAGGGTAGTTGGTATGGCAAAATTCCTGATAAGACTTTGGAATAGCAGAAGAGAAGTATATTGGGTTTTCACCCTATCCTGGTATTGGGAATAGGGTTTCCCCTGAATTTTGAGACCATCCAGACTTGCATCTGCCATTCTCATTCAGTCAATCAGGAATTTAAAAAGAGTAAGTAATGCTATACTGGTTCAAAAATACCTATGAATGAGACTGACAGTATTGCACAATCCAAGTTTGTATGGTAGAAATTATCTGAAAGTCTGCTCTACTTTTTGCCCTATGGCAGTAGTAGGAATGGACAAGGCATACTTCTTGACCAAATCCCTGGCCAAAGTAGAATGGATCTGAAATAAAAACCTTCCATTTGCAATACTGAAACTCCAAACGATAAAAATTCAGGAATATATTGTCCTTTTATGAGCAATATATGCAATGTTTTGATGATGAGCTGTACAACGAGTTACACAAAAAATAAAACCTCATAATTTTACACAGACATATGGTATGCAAACATAATAAAATATAAAGAACTCCCATCACTACTTGCTTAGCAATACAGGTACATTCCCAGCAGTATCAATAATGATAATAAAGTGCTGATGTGCATGGCATTTTCATATTTGTTCAGGATATCTGTACAGGTTTCTTTTCTGTAGGAGTGTTTCCCCATGAGCAATGTAGGCCTACGCCTGTGCCATGTTTCTCCTGTTTCATGCCCTTTTCCAAAGAACTCCTCACTTACCCTTGTCAGCCAACATTTGGCCAATATGACTGTCACATGGGATACCAATTACTAAATGCCTGAATGCTAGATCTTGAAATCCCTTTCCTTTCCTAAAAATGATTCCTCACCATACTAATTGATAGGTACAAGAAGCCAGTCCACCTGACACCTGTAGGCCCAAACCCTACTCAGTAGCCAGCATGAAGTCATCTGAAGGCTCTAGAATTAAACCAAGTGCTAGATTTAATTGTAGAGCCTTCCTAAACCTAAAGGTGCTGCATTCCAATTTTCCATTTCTTCAGTGGTGTTCCTAGAAGACTACACAGACTATGGTAGCCTTCTTTTTCTCTCTTTCTCCCTCTTCATTTTTCTTTTTGAATTTGAAATGAATGAAATTACAAGCCTATACAGGCCCAAAGGGGTCATTCTACCCCAAGGACCATACTTTTTGCACATTTTTTCACGCATGCATCGAGGCATGTCATCACAACAACCTATTCCTGCAGAAATTATCACAAAATCCTAGATTGATGAGAAAATTTCAGTTTTTTCACATGCACTGAAGAGCTACAGAGCTCTTCCCTGAAACACCCCAGTGTGAACATTTGAATCAGGGAATCCCTATTGCAACAATCCCAAAAAAAAATTAACATCAAATACAGGTGAAACTCATCAACTCAAACTTAAATGGGGCTAGACCAATCAGTTATGATATTCATTGCACCAGAAACTATACATGCCCCAGAAAAAAAAATTAAACGGAGCCCAAGGAAAATAAAAAGCTAGGTTATTTTCTTCCACCTACAGTGAGTGTTCATGTCAATTTACAAGGAGTAAAGACCATTTAGATAGCATATAACTAAACTTAAAAAAAAAAAAAAACTTTTATTTTTCATTCTTTATAAACAATACTATGTTAAACTTTGAGGTAACTGAACAGTAACCCAACTGGAAATGGATATACAAGCGCTGGCTGAAAAGTTCTCAGCCTAACTGGGAATGGAGTGTTTGATATTAACCAATACATTTTGTTTTAGCTTAAAACAATTTATTGGTATGTCAATAACAAAGTTTTGTTGAAGTGCTAACTTTTTTTTCTTGTCCCATGCATTTTGTTGCAAGGAAGATAACATATTGTGAAAAATGCCCCTGCACAAATCACATGTTGCATCAATGGCCATGGCTTTGAACCAATTGTCCACTCACCTTAATTGCCAAATTTAGCCCCTTTCCGACTCACCTCTCCCCTCAGATGAAGCTCCTTTGTGGCAAAATTGTTTTAAAATGATGGACAGGTCCTGGATGCTGTGAATGACTGGTGCAACAAGAGGGAAGTATTGTTCTACAGGAATAGGATGACTTTGCACCACCAGAGGAAAAAGTGAACACATGTCCAAGGGGACCATGTTAAAAAGTGCTGAAGTTGGATTGCTCTACATCTACTCCTCACTTAGGCTGAGAACTTTTCAGCTGACCCTTGTATGATTTCTGATACCAGGAAATTTGAGATGAGAGAATATAAATAAAAATGGAATCTATATGAGTGAAACTTTGTCCTAACAAAATTTGGCCTAATGAGTTTCACCTGAAACACTACTGGAGATTTAGTTCAAATTGAGACAAATGATTCCATGAATATAACATACCTGAAGTCACACTTCTTGCACTTCCAGAGGGTATGCTTCTCTTGATTTATCTCTGATACATCTGTTGAACAGGAATGACCAGTGCCAAAAGATCCCTTGGCTTTATCACTCTGGGCATCACTTTCTTCTAGGTCAACAACAGCAACTTCATCCAATGCACTACTATTATTTGAGTCTCCATCCATACCCATCATCCCCTCAACAGAATCTTTGTTTTTTCTTGAATCACTGGTATCACCATCTCCCTCCCGGGCTTCAATGAATGTGGCATACTTCTCATATTTGTTATAGTTTTTTATTCCAGATTCATCTGTCAGCACCACACAGCCGGCCCTGTGACTTCTGTCCCTCTGGGCTCTAATCTTGATATGTTTTGTAACATCCCATCTCCAATTGGACTTGTAGAAGCAGATGGAACATTCAAATGGTTTCTTGTTTAAATGGCCTACCATATGTACATGAAATCTGGAGGCAGTGGAAGCCCAAAACTTGCAGAAAGGGCACTGATAGACTCTCCTCAATCTTCTCTGAGTACCTCCTTCACTAGTACTAATGTACTCCTGTTCTTTCTCATCTTGAAAGTATCCAAAGCGATGCATTCCTTCCCCATCATCAAAGACATCTCCAATAAGAGGAATAGGCCTGGACTGAAATTCCTGCCCAGCAACTTCCCTATCCTCTGGCATGGACTCAGTTTCTACATCATCCATCACCCGGTCCTTGTTCATGTCACACACAGCTTCGTGATTGATGAGATCTTGGCCTGTCTTGCACCGATGTCGGCAATATTGACACCTTGTTCCACGAAAAATTGATCGATGAGAGGCACTGGTGCCAGAGGTATGAGTTCGCATATGCATGACAGCTTCTGACATAGTTTTTGATTCATGGCCACATTGCTTGCATGTTGTATCACCAAAACTGGAGAAAACACTGTGAAGATTGTCAAAAAGTGATGAAGTTGCAGGATCACAAGACTCTACAGGCTTCTCACATGCTTCATGTTCATCCATTTCTTTCAACTCAACTGTGGTCTCAGCAATATGAGACTCTTCTTGTTCCTGATGCTCACCCTGCAGAGGTATAAGCTGAGGCAATGGACGGCGAGCAGTGGGTAGTTCAGAGCCATTGCAGAAAATATCCACAGCTCCTTCAGATTGTGACTGGAGGCTAACATGAATTGGTTCGGGAGATTGACTTGGATGGCTGTCTTGCTCTAGAGATGGACTGGGGTTCTGAGATATATCAGGTGTTGAAGATTCACTCCTGTGGGCATTTTGCATCCTATGAAGTTTAGACAGTATGTTCTCTGTTTTTTCACGAAGTTTGCTGTTTGTTTTGGATGTAATCTTAATTCGTGGCCGATGTTTCCGAACAGGTTCCCCCCTGACTCCCACCACAGCTGAAGCCTGAGGAGAATTGGCCATCCCATTTGGTGCCACTACCCCAGATATGGTACAATCACTCTGGATATCCATTCTGCATCAATAAAACAGGCCTATCATCAAGAACACACCTTGAGTCTGTTAGCATCTACCATAGCATCAACAATGGGACTGGGTATAGCCTAATGTAGGCTGGTTGGTCTTAGTTGATTGGAAGAGCATTTCTTATCACAAAGGCAACTGAAACATTAGGGTATGAACTACCATACCCTATGTCATCAAACATCAGAAAGCATCAGTTACAGTGTTAGGCCCTGGGGGGAAACCTTTAAGTAAAACCTAAGTTAAGACTAAAGCTAGATTTGCCTTGGTTTGGCTTAGCCTAACGTTAAGCCTAACAAACACTCCTCACTTCTGATGGCTGGCAGCCATAGCCATGACAGGCTAGGGTATGACTAAACCATGAAATCAGAGACCTACGCCTCCCTAGCACCTAGCAACTCATCAGGTTGGCTACCTTCTAAACATTCTTCGAGTGTTCTCCGACACCGATGTATGCAAAGAGTCAGACAGGTGTCGGACTGACGTGAAAAAAAAGACCGTTGAGTTAACGTTAAACAACAAATCCCACCAATGAATAACCTGTCGCAGGTCAGCTAGGTATAGGAATAGGGAAAAACCTTCCAGCAAGCCATAGTCCCTATAGGCCTAGGGACCATAGGGATAGACCGGTGTAGTAGGGCAACCCGCCATTTGGTCTACCCTAGGCGTTAGTGTTACGATTAACGTCTGATAACCAAGGCTCGGGGCAGGCCGAGGCCTGACGTAATGCTTGACTCCAACGTAAAACCTCTTCACACGCAAACTGCCAATTTAACATTACGGGATCCACGAGGATTCTGGCAGGTTATGCGCTAGAATGGAAGTCTCCCATGGCTGCTTCAGGACCAACAGGAGGTGAGAGGGGAAAGAGGATTATCGACGACCACGTCAACAACGATTCCAGCGGACTCTTCCCATTGGATTTTGTGGAAGATAGCAGAGACAGGCACAGCACCTGCGCCAGAACGAAGCTGAAGCCAAAGCCAGCTGCCATTCCCACTCCCAGACAACATTCTTCGTCCCCTGCTCCACAGAGCGTAGCCCAGTCCAGCTAGCCGAGGGCTGATACACAAGCCTGCCACCTCTCGGTGTCTTTCGCAGGCACCAAGGTATCTCCAGGGCACGTCCGCCTCAATGGTAACCGCTCATGACTCCAGCATGAGCAGTCACAAACGAGCAAAATTACAGCTCCTGATCATGGCTTAAGACGTAGCCGAACGGTCAGGTCATCTAGTTCGTGGTGGAGTAACAACTGAAATCCCGAAATGGAACTCTTAGGTTTGAACAAGTGCAAAACGTGGCCAGGTTTAATTTATTAGGTTTTAATGGTACTGTACAGGGTTGAGAGTCGGGCTGCTTAAATGATATAATGTTCTGGTGCTTTAATGCAAGCAGCTTTTGGATACTTTGTTTAGTGAGAAGGGATCGTCCAGGCATTTAAGGTCATTAAAGGGCATCGATTTCGCGGGATGTAAACGTAGCCTATTCTTACAGCTCAATGGGAAGCAGCGCCATACCAAGGATATTTGGCGCCCTGTGCGAAATGCCACCCCCACCCCCTCCGGGGCGAGATATCACCCCCCCCCCCCCCTTCAGTACCTCTCCAGCTTCCACAGTACAAACAATAAATTACGTATTAATTTCTATATTTAATTTATTTAAATTCAGGATAGTTTTTTTTTTTTTAGTTTTATTTTTATTTTGTAATAATCTGGCAGCCAATTGGCTGCCGGATTATTCCCCTTCAGTTCGGCGCCCTGTGCGGGAGCACCGTTCGCACACCCCTTGTTACGGCACTGATGGGAAGTAGGACAAAGGTGAACCAGTCCAAGTTGCTTAAGCTTCAAGTAAAAACTCAAGATTGCGGAACGACATTTTGACTTGAGTAGCAAATACATGGGAAGCGTTAGATCAACATGGAGGGGCTACGCCTTTCATCAATAGCTTTAGGAAAAGGCTTCATGACTTCATAGATTAAAAACAAAGAAGAGCAATATGGTTATTTACATCTACAGGATTGACATGCATCCCGTCAAAAGTATTTATCTTTGGAGGCGTTGGCTTATCTGAAATGATTGCTTTGACTTCGACTCAACGCAAGATGTCTAAACGAATCGTACACAGCCTCAACTCACCAATATCTCCAATTTCATAGAACTTCATCCTCAACACTTCCGAAAACTAGGAAATACGTGGTCGAGGATTATAATCGGAATGCGATTTAGCCCTGTTTTATACAACGTCCCATCTCTACAACTCATGCTCATGCCCATCTCTACATATTCGCACATCCCAGTCAGCACAGGAACGTTGAGTAACCGTTGATATTTGTGGTATTTGGGGGATACATAGATTTTTAGTGTACGTTCATGTTGTGACGTTGAGTGAACGTCGATATTTGGCGATACATCGACTTTTCTTGTTTCCTTTAAATTCGGCACAGAGTTGATGTTTAAGAAAGGAGAATTTTTACTCATAACATTTTTGCTTTCTAATGTCAAAATTTGAATAATTCTGCATCTTATGGACATCAATAACAAGGTGTATTGGAAAAGTCGAATGAACGTGGAAAGAACGTGAGACACCCATGATTGGTTTATTAATGGGAAAACCATATATATGGCATTTATCTAAACATAAATCTATTTGTTGAAAGTAAAATTCACTCTTCTTATTCCTGCTCTTTGCACTCTTCTTCCCTCGGGCCTTGATTGGAAAACATGACCTAGCTGATTGTACAAATTGGACCTTGAGATATCTCTTGTTTAATGGCTTCACAAATAAGTGCACGAATAGAAAACGAACAATGTCCCCTTAACTAAGACATACTTTTTTGTGGTGTTCTTTGGCGAGGGAACATTCACTCAGATGCAGAACCATTATGTATTGGATTGGTGTTGCCGTCAGAATCCATAATATCAGTTAAGTTTTTCATACTTTTTCAGATGCAGTCCAACGTTATCCTTGCCTGGCCAACCCAATTCAGAGTGATTATGAAGGGAAGCTTGGAAAATGGCTGGAGAATGCCCAAAAGCATATGAAAATAAGTTGCTAGTATCCACTTCTTGTTCAAAATTTAGTCAGCATTCAGTTTTTCTTATGTTTTGCGTCTATCATAGCTCAAACAGCTAATTATCATCAGAGGGAGAACAGTGTGGAGAACAACAGATCAGTCACCAGATGGAGACATTTGATTAAGCTACTGTTTCTTTATTGAACTTGAATGCGTGGATCCCTTTTTTTTTGCTAAAATAAACCATGTGATATTTTAAATATATTTCCTTCTACATATTTCAAAAATGGTTTCAACAAAATTATGAGCAAAGAAGGTTGACAAAACATCACCAGTAAACTTCGAGGAAACGTTCCTTAATAAACGTGCTGTCAACGTGGAATTTTTTCTCACAAAAACATGGATTACTCGTTTACAAAGGACGGTTATTCCACGAAGCAAGATCGAAAGGAGAACTTTCCCTCAACGTTCCTTCGACGTCTTTTGCTGACTGGGATGGAGTTAAAAATTGATAACTTTCTTTCTTCAAGCCTCCCTGAGTCCACCAAGTTTCATCCATAACAGTACATATCTTCGAAGATCTGAAAAGTAAGTTCTAAGCAATTGGTGTAAGAACTTACAATGAAGACCGACATGAATTCGACGACAAACATTTTTATTAATGTCACGTTCCGTAAATTTCTGACCCACCCACACAAAATGTGGGTAAATGCTATGCCGGCTACTATAAAAAAAAAGCATCCGGCCCATCCCCAAGGGTTATGTGAATATCCGGACGATCTGTCCAGGCCAAGAATTGGCTGTGTTGATGCAGGACTGAGCTCCATGTCACACTGCTGGTTTAACATTCCGAAAAATACTAGAATTCAGCTGTAGAAGTTGACCAAGGAACTGTCTGGACTTCATCACCCCGCACACCTGTAGCACAGGTATCACAGAGTGTTCTGCGTCAGCCCCACTCCATAAATCGTGCATCATTCATTACCAGGGTTCTAAGAGGAGTGAGAAATCGACACAACGAATGACACGGTTCATTGAAAGCTTTGGACGTGGATCCGGAGTTCCTGGAAGCCAACGGAAGTCAAACCAAGGGGGAGCAATCAAACGAGCATCTCTATAGGCCATGATTTACAAAGCCGTGGCCAATTGGATAGTAACATGAACCAATTAAAATCTCATTCGTGAAACGTGTATGTTTTAACATATCGAAAACTGGCATTGGGACTTGGTGGGCTTATCAAATCACCATTTGAAAAATTTGAAAAATCAAATATGGATATGAGAAAGTCAAATGTGACGAGAAGATTTAAATTTGCTGCTGTTTTGCATGGGTAAGTCAAAAACGAAGTCAGGTAAACCAAATGCGCAATTGCGCAGGTTGCTGGAATTTTAGAGGAAGCAAAAAAGCCTATTTAAACAATAGGGAAGTCGCACGCAACGGCCATATCTCACGGTCGTGCCAGTTGGCTGTTTCCTCCTTCCCTTTCCACTACGCATGGCACCAGATGCATTTGCATGTGACATGAATATTGGACTTTTTGCAACTTCGATATGCCAGGACATAAAGATTAAAAGTTTCATTCATTCATTTTCATTTCCACCCGTCCCAATTTGATGGGGTAGCGACTGAAGCAGGCGGAGGAACATCCTCCAATGATCTCGATTCTTGGCGAATGGATAGGTGGAATGCCAACCCTCGAGTCCCAAAGCTTCGTATTGTAGTCGTTCCATCTTGCACAATCATCTGCCGGTCATTTGGGACTTGGAGACTCCTTTCGGGAGTTTCTCGGGGAGCATGTGGCAGACGTGTTCAAGCCGCCAGGCATGAGATCTTTTGATCTGAAGAACCAGCTGCTCGACGCTGTGGTTCTCACGGATGGCGGCACTCTACATCCTGTCGTAATGCGTAATATCAGCCATCGCACTCGAAAGCCTCGTTTCGGCAGCTTGTTCCGGCGACATGATTCTTTTCATCATCCACAATTAATGGTCATAACCCGACCCCGAGGTACTTCAGCTTCTCCACCTGTTGCAGAGGAACCCTCATAAAATGTAGGATGCACTAGACTGGGTTTCTCGAGAGGACCGTAACTTGAGCTTTGTGGACGCAGTTTCATTCCGACCGCAGAACATTCCAAGTCGAATCGGTCCGGTAGCTCTGCATCTCCTGTCGAGGGCAAAAGCACGGGAAAGAGAAGTATCTTGTTTTCGATGAAACCGGTGTTGACCCCCTCAAGGCCCAGGTTGTTCTTACAGATCCTATCCGCCTGTCCGTGCACACAAGGAACAGGGAAGAAGAGAGAAAGCATCTCTGGCACGACTCAATTCGTACCGACTCAGGTAACACAGAACATTGAATCAACATGGATTGGATGTGGATTGAGTGTGCGAATGTTGAAGGTTGAAGGTGAACATTGTTTCAATGTTGATACAATGTCGTCGCATCACATTGTGGATTCCAATACACATATATTAGAGAAATGTGGAATTATGATGTTCTGATTGCAGAATCTGATTCTGAGACAAATTAAATGTCTGGGTTTAGTGTGAGCGCATAGAAGTCTAGGCGATTGGAGACGTGTAGAGCACACACAAAAATAATCTAAAGTGATCTATTCACAAATCTAAGAGAGAAGCTGAGAGAATTTTTCCTCGTTTTGTAATCCAGTTAGGCATACAAGACTTTGGTGCTGTTTGCAGAACTGAAGAGGACCCATTCTCTCAAACTTCTCAGTACTCTATGGGTACTGACCTATAGATACTGAAGAGGATTTATCCTCTTTTGTAAATGTATTAATAGTTCCTCATCCATAGGTCATGCAATTCGTTTTGATGAATTTACCTCTACTTGATCCGTGGAGAAACCCACTCACGAGGGACTCATTGAGGAATGTTGAATGAATGTTGCCATCAATATAGTTTCAACATTCCATTTCAATGTTGAAACAATGTTGACAAAAATTACATCTTCACATTGAATCAATGTGGCACCTCAATGTTGTTTCAACATTATGAATGTTGCCATGAAACATTGTTTCAATGTTGTTTCCACATGGATGTGTTACCTGGGGAGAGGGTCCCTTCGCTCATCTCGCTAACTCGAACGCCGCTCCTGCAATCATGCAGTACTACCCACAACTTCTCTCAAAGCACGCGGTCGTACACCTTCTCGAGGTCAACAAAACGCATGTAAGAAACTTCTTTGGCCCTCTCTCAATGCTCTCGAGAACCTTGTGTAGAGTAAAAAGCGTGAAAAGAGTAAAAGTCGCTTCGCTCTCCACGACTGCACCTTTTGGATGGCTTTCCCGACGACTGCCCGAGTTCTCTATTCTGGCGCCTTACCAGACTTGTTGAGGAAAGTCATTCCAAGGTTGAAAGTTCTTTATCCTAGGTATAGATGCTATTAGTATTGTATAACCAGATTCATATAAATATTCATCCATATGAATATTCCTATAGAAACATTCCAACGGATTCCATTCGATAGAAATACTCTATCGCCAAAGGGTTAAAGAATTAGTTCTCCTCAGGAATCCACAGGATGAGATCTCTTAGAATGCTTGCTCCTCGACCTCCACCAAGGCTATCCTAGTTTCAGTGACCTAGTGGTGAACATATTCCTCACACATCCCTAGGTACTCATTCGCTCACTCAATATTTATAAGTAATGTAAACAATACGGTAAAAAAAAAATGCCGTAATGATGGCCTTCAACAGTTGCTCAGTTAGTGAAGGCAATCAATCTTGAGAGAGATTGAATGAATTATAAATTTTCCCTGTGAGGGGTCCAAAGGAAGAACCGAAAGCTGCCTTAACATAGAGATTTGAAGGCAGCGCCCGAAGAATGGAGAAGGAAGGGGGGGTTGCGGTGGGAGGCTAGTCAGCCAAGACTGTCTTTTGATCTGAACCATCCCGTTAGGATCTAAACGGGTGGGGAGGGGGGGGGGGGGGGGTTTATGAGCGGGATGGCATTCCGTGATGGCATCTTGGCACCCCCTGAAGGACATGAAGCCTCTCCCTCAACACCCCTCCTCGATCCTTCCCTCGCCCACCAGCCCCCCCCCCCCTTCCTTCCGTGTATGGGAGGGACATTATAAACGAGGGACAATTCTTAAAAATCCACCCTCCCCTCCCCAAGATAAAATCCAAATTCGAGCGATCCCTGAGGGGTATCTATCAAGTTCATACAACAATAACCCTCAATTAACCCATAACCCGCCCCTCAAATTTCAATTTAATGTCAAATTTGTGTCAGTAACTTAATTACTGTTAAACATAGTAATTAAAAAAATAAGACATTCTGAATTCTCGTTTTAAGAGCTTTTATTTGAGTAAGTGATTGATTTGAGTAAAGTTCTGACTTTTTTACCGTTGATCTAAATCAGATCAACGGTAAAAAAAGTTAGAAATAATGATTTATATATTATATTTATTTATGATTTATTAAAGAGTGTATACATTTTTTTAGACACCCTGTATATATAATCCCAGTGTTATCCCATGTCTCAACTACTCCATTCACTTGATGTAACTTATCTTCAGTCTCCTCTCCCCTAGCTTACCAATACTATTATGGGCATTCATGTAGAAAAACTTGAGCGCATTGTTTCCCTATCATTCCATTCAAACGAATACTTATAAGTACTGGGTTCAGTGTCTGCCCCTGCCTAGGGAGACAAAAGCATTAGTTTTCCATATTGTGTTATGTTATATAACCTTATTGCGCGCTTCCTGTGCTATTTCCGCCGGCAAAGTTTTATGGATATGTTCCTGAAACAGTCAAGCGAGGATACTTCGTCATAGGTATTGCGGATGGTTGAACGACGCCTAAGGGATTCAGGGATTTAAAATCGATAAAAGTAAACTCAGGAAAAGATGCAATGCGATAGCTGGCACGGTTCGTTATTAGAGCAGCGTTACGACACGAAAAGACTGAGCATCGATGGAGCCGTAGTTTGTTCCTTGATGTGCTTCGGAAAAGTAATTAGTTTCCATGGCTACCATTGAGTGGACAATCCCGAGTTGGATCCCCTACTTAGGTAAAAATGCCCCGTGAGTGAATTTGAGTGAAACTCGCGTGGAATGACATAACTGTTTTCAATCGGCCCTAGGCCCGGGAAAAGCGAAAGAATAAATGAATTTTTTCACAGAAATGTCGATGCCCAATACAACCAGTCCAAGTCCAATGTGACGTCTGACATCTTAAATTTGTGTTCAAGAGATGATGAGGAGGTGGATAATAAATTTATAAGGACCAAATGTGAATCAATTGGAAAGGGAGCCTGTGATTTCGACCAATTTTTCACGGATGGAATATTAAGTTGCGGGTCTCATCACGTCTAAGATCAGTACGAAAATCATGACTCATGGGTGACCTCCAAAATATCAATACACGCCGAGTAGTTTTTCGTGAGGCTTAATCCAATACAATATAGAATAGAGGATATGAGAGATCCCGTCGGGCAGGTTTTTTTTTTCACCCCCAGGGGCCTCTTTGTCTGGAGAAAAGTTCATAGCTCGCATACAAGGGCAAACCCAAGCCATCACAACCCACAAGTGCATCCGTGACAATGTGTGTGCGCTCCACAGCCGGACATCTGTATCGAAGTCAAACATGCAGAGGAAGTCAGCTTTGTCATCGGCGAGTGGATGAAGGAAACGAGTGAATGAGAACTCGCTCTCCAGTGGTCTGATGTCCTTCGAGCAGACGATGCGGAAACACCAACCAATCAGGGGCAAGGGTGAGTCACACATCCGCTCGCAAGGCATGCGCTTTGTTGTCATTCCAATTGCTATTGGATTCGAGGAACCCGCCTCATTTATGCACATAGTTTACCCTGCTTCATCTTGTCCCGTGCAGCTGGTCTGAACTGGTCCCTCGCGTTCAGTTTACATCGGAGCGGATAAACTTGTCACCCTAGTGTTTGGACATGACTGTAGGCTACTCCTGGCGCGCGCCCTTCACGAGATCCATTCGAAACCATCCCTCTCTTTTTTTCTCCGTAGGCAGGGGCGTGAGTCCCGTTCGTGGGGTTCGGCCTGCCAGTTGCTCAGAGGTCGTTCCTTTGATCACTTCTCGTTCAGATTCCCGCCATTCCTGAGGTTGTGCCTTGTACTCAGCTGTGATACTAAAATGCAGCCCCTAGTCTTGAGTAATTTTCTACCGATCTTGTTGATCTGCACGTGGCCTCATCCATCAGCTGGCAAGATCCAGCTCAGAAGCCCACGTGGAGCAGCTGATGACACAACAAGTCTGGTATGTTTGCATTCTCAAGTACTTGCATTTCTTTGTATTTCACGATACTTCATTTATCCTTAACCTGGGTGGACTCGAGAGATACACGCTTCAAATTTTCCTTTACGATAGATCTACAGGGTCGTTCCCGTACACTTTGAAAATCTAATTTATTCACTAATTAACGGATTTTTGGCGATTCTGATGTGTTTATTTTAATTCTTCGGACATTTTGATACGAAATGTTTTCATTATAGTAAATTTCAGTCTTTATTTGAAATTTTTTCTCAGGAGCTATGACTCCTAAAGAGAATCGAAGTGTACGGGAACTTTTGCACAACCCTGTACATCGTTCACGAAGCACATGATAAGACGTTGACATTTTTTATGGTGTTGTCGTTCCTCATTGCGAACAAAAATAAGTTTTCTGCAGAGCATACAAGAAAGTTGGGTCTCGATTTCAGCTGATGGTCTAAGAAAACAACTCGCATCAGAATGTCATGGCGGGATTTTCTTTCTATGCGTCTAATTCTTATTGGAATTTTAAGTTCTCAGGTCTGTGAATGACAAAGTCATATTTGAACCATTTTGGTCTAAGCCTCGTTTGTAAACTATAAAAATAGCTAAGTCGCATCTTTCTAATATTCATTAGACCAAAAAAATGTATCATTGCATGAAAACGGACTTCTGATGTCGCCATGGACGAAATTTGAAAGGCGAAAATCTGACTATATAAGTGCTTCTAAGAAACTTGGACCTGCTACGAAATATGTCCTGATAGGATCCCAGGTTTTCCTTCTCTTTTTTTTTTACACCGGTTTCCTCGGCTTCCGCTTCTTCAATACGTTTACGGATTTAGCACACTAAGTTATTCAGCGTTCCGTTGGTAAGTTGAAAGGAAGTCGGTCGGATTTTCGGACGGTTTCAGGAAACGCAACAAAAGCTCGTTTTCCCGCAAAGATTCAACGCATCCATGAAATAGGTTAAAATGAGAATTCATATCATTATGTTGAATGGATGACTATAGAGTCCTTCCATAGAAAGATGTACCACAGGATTCAGGGATTTCCTGCGACCGGATGCATGTTTCCATTCATCTGGCGAGTTTCGGGGTCATCTATTTGGTGAATGGAGAAGCGAATAACAAAAAGAAGGGAAAAAAAGGCGCTGGGCCACGATAACATCAAATTGTGATGCGCACAATGTCTCTCGGAACAAAATGAAAGGGTGGAGTCGACGCTCCTCACGCTACACTGCAGCCTATTACATAAGGCTAGAAATTGTCAAGTACAATGTCGAATTTCTGTAGAAACGGGATCTCTACCTGATGGTTCATTTCATATTTCCTATCGGGAGTTTTTAATCTCCGATATCAAAAGTAGTATAGCACGGCATTTCCTGTGCCGTCTAGAAGTAAGTTACACTTAAAATATATATACACCTGATATAGAACTGCCTCAAGTTGAGGGGGCGATTCTATGAAATTAGTGAGAGGAGCTCTTTGTTGAGAGGAAGTGAGTCATGGAGATGGTTTCAGGGTAACCATCGGCGGGATTCCCAACTGCTTCCACGCAATAATTTCACTGCAGGAAGTTTATAATGATGAACAGCGATCGAGCTGCGAATTATGACCCACTCTCTCTCCCCAGTACTTGAATGACTTCCTCACGGCAATTCCTAAGCTTCTTTCCGTTTTCGATCCCTTGTAACGGATGTCCTCGAGACACAAGTACTGAAGTCCAGCCGATTGATGGATCTTACTACGCCGATACGGGAGAGTAGTCAGTGTGCCAGTCATGAAATGAAACCAGGAAACCCACGACACGGGATGACATGCGTTTAACGGGCGTTATTGTTGTCAGACCAGCACTGTTAAATACACAAGCTTGGTTTATATGTCCCACTGGACCTATAGCAACGAAACTAGTGACGTTCAATGGCCACATGCGGAACAAGCTGAGATATAATTTAATATAAAACAATACATGCGATCCCAGAGTCATACCAATAGCGCTCCCGTCTACTCGAATAGCCCGCGATCGGATTCCATACCTATATCGAACATCCCCTTATTCAACCAACATTTCCTGCGAAATTGTATGTAATCTCAATTAGTGGTGCGGGTGGTGCACCAATTGAATGCGGAGTTGATATGAGTGTAAGCTTTGCCCTGCACCATTAAATATACACGGTTAGTTTCATAATTAATGTGTTGCCTGGCTTATCCTTTTCAAGACCAGCAGAAACTTCTATATGTCATGAAAGGGGCCTGTAAAAAAAAACCCATAGCATTCCTCTGACATGAACCTTTCAAGTCATGTTTGTTTTCGCACTGGGATAGATAGATTGACACTGAACGACTGGAACTCAAAAACTCTAGAAGTTCTGTGCAGTTGTCTGCAGTTTGTTTCTCGAGTTTCTCTACTGATGAGTATGGTATCTTCCTCTGAAAAATTCTGAGAAAGGTATGAATCGAGGCCTAAAAACTTACATGGTGCATCATAAAAAAGCTCATGAAGTTGTGGGAAGCTGATGCGGATGTCCTAAATGATTCATATGAGGGAGTGTCCCGAGAGAAGGGAATTGACCTACACGAAACCACGAAGGTCCGGGTCTCGGAGGGTGGTGGCTTAAGACATTGTAAGGATAAGATTTTCCTGCCTTCTCGCTTTGTTGATGATGCGTGAATCAGGGAGTTTCTTGGAAATGCCAATAACCCTTGTTACACGCGAAGCCTTTCTGTCACGCCCTTCCGACGCCTCCATCCGGGATAGCACAAACCAACTTCCGTTCTGGGCTTTGTCTGCGAGCTTCAATAATGAGGACCTCTAATCGCATTCATCCTCCTGGTACTGAGCAATTGAAGAGAAATTAAAGCAGATGACGAATGCTGCGATCGCAAATAAATAATTCTCAAATCATGAATGTAGGCATGAAATGTCACATTTTCCCCTATGCTTCCCACGAATCATTGGAGTCCAATCCGGAAGTGACATCGATTTTCTGACGCTTGCTGGGATTTCCTATGACATTGACAGGGAATGATCACGTATTTGTTCCAGTTGTACCTGCAAAAGTTTGGATACTTGGCACCTACCTCAGGGAATAGCCTGCCGCTGATTGACGGTTCTGCGTTGAGAAGTGCGGTCAAGGAGTTTCAGGAATTTGCCGGTCTAACAGCAACGGGTAAGAAGACCATATTCATCAATTCATCAATTCGTCTTCATACATTTTCTGTCACACAACCATCTCTTACGTGTTTAATTATTACTCAAAGATTATCCTCCTCGGACATCCTTGTGAACCACAAGCCCTTAGAGATAGCAAACTGCTGACGCAAACGCCGTTCAACTATTAAGTCAACGGATCCACGAGAATATCTGCCCTACGGTGGAACCGAATACATTTGGCGTGACTAATATGTTCATCGAGCTCTCCCGTTCGTGACAGGGTCTTGAAAATTTTATGAGTGTCATTGCGCATTCAGACCCACCCATGGCCCCCCGTGCGTGCAAGGATTGATGTGTCCTTGCACACATGCCGTCACCATGGTAACTTGGAACAAATCAATTCATTGAAGATTTAAAAAAATTCAAAGGCACGAGATCAGTGTTCTAGGTCAAGCACCTTGATCTCCGAGAGTTCGATTATCGGACTTGTTTGATTAGTCTTAGAAATTCCTCGATGCCCATCGGACGTCTACTTGAAGGATTTTTCTAGTCTTGCTAAGTTTCCTTTCCTCTCTTTCTGTTCGTAACAGTTTCTCTGTTTTCCTATGCCTTACAGGGGACTTGGATCAGGAGACGTTGGATACAATGGCCTTGCCTCGGTGTGGGGTGAAGGACAAAGTCGGCAAAGGTGTCAATGCCCGAAGAAAACGTTATGCTCTCCAAGGTAACTACTGTAGTCTACTTTTTTTTTCCCCTTTCTTCTCTCCCCTCCCCATCAAACATCCTCACACGTAACAGTGGGATCTCGAGTTTCTCTGGCTTCGATTTTTCCGCCATCTGGTCAGAGTCTAGGTATCACAGAGTTTTCTCAAAATCTATATTAATGGATGAATTATGTGTTCCGCAGTATTATGTATGCCCGCTTTGATGTAGATGTGATGATGATGCAGAATGATTACACTGGGGGTCTCAACCCATATTGCCTAGTTCGGTAACCTTTCTTGATTAGCGGGCTTTTTTTCGACAAAATTTTATTTGGAGATCTTTGAAGACGGCAATAATTACTTGAGGCCTTGATACACATGGTACTTGCCCGAGTTACTTGCCTACTGTATCCACGTTTGGCCAACACTCGCTATCGAGTACTGATCAAGTGTATTTTAAGAAGAGGTTTGTGTATGCGCATCGGGCAAGTTCCCGTGTCTGCTTCTACTCTTGTTAAGGGAAACGTGAGGAAAGACGTGCCAGGGTAGCAGAATAGACGTGCTCCAGCTGAGACCTTGATACCTTTAAACCCCCCTCACCCTCCTACCCTCCAAAAAAAAAACTCCTATTTGTTGTGGCCAATGGGAGGGGAAGGCCCCTTCACGTGGTAATTTTCGAACCCTTGATTTTTCCATTTTGCCCTTTAGGAAGCAGGTGGCGAGTCCGAGATCTGAATTACACCATCTCTCAATATCCATCGTCCACTCTCAGCAAATCCGACGTAGATAAAGAAGTCCAGAGAGCTTTCCAAATTTGGAGTGACGTCACGGACCTCAACTTTCGGCATGTGGAAGGCGGGAAAGTGCATATCGATATTAGGCAAGTTGTTGATCTAGGACAGGGCTTCCCAACCCAGGGGTCGCGACCCCATTTGGGGTCGTAAAGATAATATTTGGGGTCGCGAACCGGCAACTAAATGCAAAGTTACGTTTTTCTTTGCGATTTTAGCGCATAGGTCGGGGAGCCTGTCTAACTTCGCTCAGTGCATGGGGTCGTGAATAGTACGAAAGTGATTTTTGGGGTCGCGCGTGAAAAAGGTTGGGAAGCCCTGATCTAGGATCTTGCTCCTATCCACTATCATATATGTAAACTGTTGCTTGGATAAGTTACCCAGCAGATGATATAACGGACCGAGGAAGCACTTCTTGAGACAACGTATGAGTATACCCCTCCTTTGTTTCGAAGCTGTTGAAAAACTGTCTGTCTAAATGCCCCTATCATATATAGTAGAACTGAATTTATCTGAGGCGAAGGGAGCTGAATGGATAGTTCCCAGGCATCAATGGTTTCTTTGAGCCATCCTACGAACTCGTAACTCGGCACTTAAATAAACAAGTCAGGCGTTTCCGTAGAAACTACGCGCTGAGAACAATATGGGTCATTGTGTGATGAGGCGTAAGGAGGGCTTGCCAACATTAGATCACAGACATCGATAACAGGAGTTTCCGAGAGCTCGCACGATGCACGATGATGCATGTAGCAAAAATGAGGTTATGACGTATATGATTGTTGTGATAGGGCAGACTTAGCTCTAAGAATGATAATGTACGTAGCAGGCTTAGGATGATTTCAGAAAGCCTTTAGCTAATCGCATAGGATTCTAATCGCAACTCGAAGAAGGGTTGGAAAAGCTTTTCTGTGCCTATTCCGACAATGAACTTACAACCTGCCTATATCGACATGGAACATTTTCTTTTCCTTGACGACTTCAAGTTTACCTGTAATAGAAAGGAGACGAACAATTAATTAACTGGAAGAGTCTCTGGAAATCCTATCAAATTATGATAAACATTTGGACTATATTTAAAATGCGCTAAACATTTTTTTTCGTTGCCGAAATTTCGTGGCACCATTGTAAAACAAATGATAAGTAACCGACGATCCATTGGCGCAATTAGCGTCAACCTACTTTCAGCAGGTTAGAAAATACAGTATGTTCATAAAGTAGCTTCCAACTGGCAACTTTTACCTTAAAGGAGGAAGAAGATTTGTAAAATATTGATGGCTGATTATATTAATCATTTTTACAATGAATTTCACTTGAGTCAGACTTTCTTCACTGGGCTCGGACACTCACGGATGCGAAATGTTTCATTGCATGGGCGTCCGAGTCGGGAGGAAAAATGTCTGACTCAAGTGAAAAACAATACATTCTGGAACAGCCTTCATTGAATCTAGCTGTAGAATTTAGGATTCCATTCCAAAAAATCCCAACATTCCTTCTGCCACAAACTTCCTTTCGGAAAATTTTTTGGAATTTTATTTCGAAAACAGTCCAGAGACTTGTAATATACTTGGAGATAAATTCAGGAAATCATAACTGACATAGATGCTGAATTTGATGTGGCAGACAGTGGCACCACCCAAAAATGCTGAATTTAAACTGAACGCTACATTTTGTAGCGTAGCTTGAGTTCATGCATTTTTGTCTTTCCTTCGCTTTCAAGCATGCAGTAGATATTCGCTTTTATTACAACCATGGACATTTTGAGTTTATTGGTTTGAAATCGAATGTTTAGACATGACTCTCAACAGAACATAAATTAAGTCGATGTAATAAAAAAAAATATATATATATATATTATGGAAACTTAAATTTTACCTCAAGTGACTGCTGCTCCAGAATGCAGAAATGAGTAGTTTAACAACCGTAACTCTTTAATTGCTGAAGTTTAACTCCATAGAAAGCGACTTTATGGACTATTTTTTCTATTTAAAAAAAAGTAGTTCTGCGAATTGCGGAACATTGGAGAATGTTACAGCTATTTACGCTCATTTTTGTTACCTGCGCCATTAGCTGCACCTATTTAGTTTATGAAATTCTGATTTCTATACCAGTAAAATTGTTATAAAATGCAATACAAATACCTTCTCAACCCTGACTCTAAACGACCGTATGGCAAAATCCCAATTACGAAGGTGGGGTTAATCCCGAGTAAGAGAGTCCTGTACTATTGATATATGCAAAAGGTAATTGCTTTTCGTGTACTCCGGTGACTGCCAAGCAATTCTTGGAAGTGTAACCATTGGCCATCGATCTCGCAGGTGTGAATTATTTATGAAGCACGTGGAAACAGTAAAGTGTGCACAGTCAACTCACGATATACCGCCACTGTTGGTCCCAGCCGATTTTGGCGTTATTATCGAGGGTGGCGCTAAATCAAAACGCATGGCTTTAAAATTGAGAAGTTTTGTTCTCAGGAAAGACTTGGTGGTATATCGAGTGTTGCCTGTACTTATGATAGGTTTGCAGAGGGTGAGCATGGAGACGGGGATCCGTTTGATGGGCCAGGCGGTACCCTGGCCCACGCCTTCTTCCCCATCTACGGCGGGGATGCCCATTTCGATGACAAGGAGCAATGGACCATTGATTCTTATCGAGGTACATAAATATATTTTTTTGGCTTAAATATTCCGGGACAAACGAACGCCCGAAGAGGCATTTCCTCCTTCCCCTCAATCTTCGTTGTTTGGCATGGCTACTTTTAGGGACGAACTTCTTCCAAGTAGCTGCTCATGAATTCGGACATTCCCTGGGATTGAGTCACAGTGAGGTACGCTCTGCCCTTATGGCTCCCTTCTACAGAGGCTTCGAACCCAACTTCAAGCTCAATTCGGATGACATATCAGCCATTCAGGTTCGTGGATAGAAAGAGAGGGTAGACGAAGTAAGATTTTGCAGAACTTGATAGCAGATTTCTCTCGCGCTTTTGCACAGGGATTGTATGGGGACGGAAAAGGCAAGGGCCAAAAGGACCAAGTGGATAAGCCGGTGACAGCGCCGAGTGTCGAGGACCCTGATCTTTGTAACAATCCTGAAGTTGACCTTGTTGTCACTATAGGAAAGGAAACATTCGCTTTCAAAGGTAATTGCCATTACTAATGCCGTCACTTGGGCTCAGTGACTTGCACTAAGTGCTTTCTTTTCTCCTATATAGGAGACAAGTACTGGCAACTGACAGAGACTGCAGTTGCTCCAGGCTATCCCAAGAAAATTTCGGATGATTGGCCAGGCCTGCCGAATGATATTGACACCGCTTTTACATGGACAAACGGCAAAACCTATTTCTTCAAGGTACAAATGGAAACAAGTCATCAGTCTGTCGCCCACATGAAGGCTTATATTATTTTTCTGGTTCTCCAATTATTTGTCTATAGGGATCAGAATATTGGAGATATACCGGGAGGGAAGCTGATAAGGATTACCCAAAGAAAATCTCTGAAGGATTCGAAGGCATTCCAGACAATATTGATGCTGCATTTGTCTGGAGTGGGAACGGTCAAATATACTTCTTCAAGGGTAGGAATAAGAAATGAAACCCTTAAATATATACATGGGTTTGAAGTCCCTTTCAATGCCCAGGCAGCTGTGAAGCGCGTAAGGAATGAAGCACAATGGGGTAAATCGGGTGTTTTGGGCCATTTAGACAATACGGGAGCTGATGCATTCAAACAAGTTAGGTGTTGTGATTGTCACCATTGTGTCACGTGTCCTCACAATGAGGGTAAAGGCTACCATGAACAGGGATCCCAAACATACTTCCAGAAATTAAGGACTTCATACGCCAAGAGTCGCAACATTCCTAAAGATACGCTATTCAGTATATGTGCTGCTGCACCTTGAGCCAATTCTAACTACCGATGGTACTTAGAGTGAGCCATTACTATAATCACCCTTGTTGTGTTGGAGTTGCAGGGTACTTGACACGAAGGTGGTGCCATCAACACCTGGTCTGTTAATGCACATCAGCTTTCGCTGTCAAATTGGTTCAACACCCAAATGCCGCCGTCTTACGCCACTCCGCGTTCTGTCTACAACTGCCTGAACAGTGAACGTGCTTTTCGTGTTATGAAAAAGCAAGCATATTGGCAAGCCATGGAGATTTTCCTGCTGAAATCCATGAGAGAAAGGGAAGAATATGGCCCTATGAAAAATGAACCTTGTATAATCTGTTATCCCCTGCCAAGGCAGCGGGGAAATCTCAATGGCCATGTAACATCAAATTTTTTTCGCAAAGTATTCATCATTCCCGCACTCTTATCTGAGAAAACGACAACATTGACAACAACAATATGACAACATTGAACGTGCTTCACCTTAGGGAATAAGTACTGGAAGTACAACCCAGCTGGAAGACCACCTGTCAGTGACCGATACCCGAAGCCCCTTTCATATTGGTCAGGAATCCCTGCTGATGGTGTTGACAGTGTAGTGCAGTATGTCAATGGTTACACCTACTTCTTCAAAGATGGGAAATATTGGCGGTTCAACGATGGGAAGTTTGAGGTAAGCTGCCTGGTTGCAACATGGATGTCTTTTTGACTTTTATTTCCCCTGATGAAGAAGAAAAGATAATTGTAGATTTCCTGTTCAAGCTTGAATGAGAGAAGAGATACTGGCCAATTTGTTATGGTTCATTCCCAACACAGTATATTGGAGAACCAATGGCCATGATAAACAACTATTTTGTAAATAACCTCCTTTTAAGACCAATTGCCTGCAGAAACAAAATTATGTCTGGTTTTAAATGAATGCTTAATTTGTCAGGCTAACTGATAGCTGTGGAAGTCCTCTTAGAATTTCAGATGATAATGCAGCAAATTGGTTTTCAACCACTTCTGTAGGTGGATGCTGCTGATCCCCCTTATCCAAGAGATGTAGCTGCTTGGTGGTTTGGTTGTGATAAGGGACAGTTGAAGATGCAGGGGGATCGAGCAGATATCCTTCCAGATACTGCAGATCATCAGGGATCCCTCATGGACGCTGGTAAGCATATATGGAGCCTTTCATCTTTTGTCTGCTTCCAATTATCTTTGTGAATGGCCTTCCTCTTTCAAACCCTACATAGAGTGTGTACTCCACATATGGAGTACTGTTTCCAACACTTGTTACTCCTCCATTTGAATAATATATACCTCTCCAACCAAAACTGCCATTGGTAGCGATGAGGGGATTGATAGAATGAGTCCAATATCATCTGATATTTGACTCTGAAAATGCATTTGTTTGAAAATATCTGCATTTATTGCATACCGGTACAGCTATTCTCCAAGTATAGCTGTGCTATCTTTCATTGACTGTGATGCATTAAGTTACCCGATGGAAGACTGCTGTAGGCTTGAGAAAGAGGAAGACTGTATCAATAGTATGAAGATCACTTGCCCCTCTCAAGTTATGAACTAAATAGTGAACAGATGTTGTATGATTGCCTGAGTTGGCTGAGTTTCCATACTTCTCATTTCAGTTCATGGCACACTGTCAAGCATGCAGCAAGGCTTCAGGCTTTTGAGTGGCATGAATCATAGGAGTTAATTATCCTTTAGTTTGCATGTTCTGTGCCAGTTCCTGTGAAGTAACTGCATCCCAACTGCACCAGGCCAGTGAGCCTCAGAGAACTTCTGAAGCAAGTCAGGAGCTGGTGCATCATTTCTGCAACAGATACTATCACTGTAAATAGCTCAGATAATGATCATGGATCAATGATTCCTTTGCCATGTTTTTGTTAGCAATGCCTTGCTTCACCATGACTTGATTTGCTTTGTCTCAGCAACCCAAAATATCATTGGTTCAATGTCAAATTCATGAATCAGTAGGACAAAATCTTTGACCTGAGAGGCAATATTAGCTATTGTTGGAAACTAAATATGAGCAGATTCATGACTTGGCATTGGACTGACAATATGTGATGCATGCTTTTCTTGGGGTCTGTGAGCTTGATTTGTTGTTTTCTCCTTGTTTGCAGTTTGCAAGCAACTTCTGCCAAGTGGAAAGATTTTGCTAACACAAATGTCATTATAGTTTTGACTGCATGAGCATACAGAAGGGAATTGTACATTGTTGAGCTTATCTGCATAAATGTGATCCCTCAGAAACCCCAGAGAAAAAAATCTCATTAAGGGAATTTGAAGCCACAAGGAAAGCCAAATTTCATTGAAATCATGTGATCCTAAAATGACTATGAAGTCACTTCTGTTTTGTGAATGGTAGGTGGGGGTAGTTCCATCTTGCTGAAACCATGGAAAGTTTAAGTCTCACCTAATTTTGCACCATGATTTTGCACCAAAAACCATATTAATGGTATTGGTCCTCTTTCAGTCATTCTTCAGTTATTAATTTTCTGAAACCAAAATGGCCCCATGACACTATTTCAGCCCTTAAGATTTTTTATTTGGGTCAATTAGGTGCAATTGTGTCATTCAAAGTATGGTCACCTGAATGTGCAAGTGCACTCATAGGCTGGATTTTGAGCTTATTTTAACCCTTATCTGGGCAAGGTAAGAGAGAAACGTAACCAGGTAGCAGAAAAAATAAAGTAATAAGGGTCCATTGGACCCCTATTACTTTTTTGGTATGTAGTGTCTGAAACGAAGGCAAAAACTCATTTATCTTAAAGCAAAGTCTTTCTTTTATTGATTTAGATGAATTTGAAAAGTAATGCAAAATTAATGCTGACATTCCTAAACTCAAAACAATATTTAAAAAAGGTTCAGGAGTCCAATGGACTCCTCTTGCCCCAATACAGGTTAACTGATTTTATTTATGAATTTGGAGAATTTAAAATGCTAGAAAAAGGTAGTTCTTACTAGTCCTAAAATTTTTTTTGCGATACTCTATTACTGCTTTGAATACAGGTGTTCTACCAATATTAAACTGAAGATCATAATTTCTCAAAATGTTTTAGTGGCTTTTGAAACACTCTATTATATCTTCCATGGTAACTGGAAGCCTTCCCTATTGCTCAAATGCTCTTCACAGGCAAATGACACAGTTAAGTCATTATCATCCTTTTAATATTTTATAGCCTTTTTTTATTTCTAAACTGCTGAGGCTCATCTATGGATATCTCAGATGATCTGAGTCAGTCCTTCATCCGTTTGATGAATTTATCAGTTATCTTTGATCAACCGTTTTATGCCTCAATGGTTTCAACATCTTTTTGACTATCATTTCAGAATGGCAACCAATTTTGGCTACCAACACATACACGAAGAGTTCATCAGCTTGCCTTTCCCGAACTTAATCTACTTACCGCCTTAAAATCGGAAAGGATTTTGCTCTTCGAAAATGTCACAGTCATTGCAGAACCATCCTTTTCTCAAAATTAAATATCCTGTTGTTACCATAGTCAAATCTTACTGTAAGTTTAGCTGATAACTTGACTCATGGGAGGGGGGCCAATGGTCAAGACATTCCCCTTTTTTCTAAGGGGCTAAATGTTATAAATAAATAAGTCAAAAGTCTGCAAGAACATTATTTAGCAAGTGCACTAACCTTTTATCGAATTTGACAACTGGTTTCACCATACAACCATCTTACTTGTACTGGAATGAAAAACCTCAGATGAGTGAAAAAGGTAGGCTGTGACAATAAAAAATGCGAAAAATGAAGGTGCGAAGGTCGTATAGCGTAAAGGAAGAAAAAAGGAACTTCCTGCAATGGTTTAATAAGACACAGGAAACCACACTGTGCTTTATCTCCCAATGAAGGCTTATTAGGATTTTTTAAATATTTTTTCCCATTTTCTCCTTTAGTCTACATGCAATCCGTTTTCCAAGCCTTGTACCGGGTGAGATAAAAAAAAAAACACCACTCCTTGAAATTCTTTGACGCCTTCGAAGAAGCGGATGAAAAACATTTTTTTTACGTAATACATACTTGCATATATCCTTTACGCATAAATATCATTTTCCCGTTTATCTCCAGCCGTTTAACCACGAAAAGCAACTAGAATTTTAGTCTTGTGCTCGAACCAAGACGCTGAATCACGGACCTGCGGCACTAACAAAGAATAGCAATTCATTTGAAGTAATTTTCCCCTCCGCACTTCAGAATATCCTGAAAAGATCTATGACTTGTTCTCACGTCTGGCATTTAGCAACCGGGGCTTTTGCACCCATGGATTATCATCTTAAGGAACAATGGTTTCATCCACATAAGCAGCTTTCTTCAATATAAGCTCATTTTGGTATACTGCTCCCTCTCTTCCTCTGAGAGAGCCAGTTACCGGTAGCTTTCGTATCAGTCCGTTCGCAATATGCCTACATATCTTCCGTCCTTACCAGGAAATTAATGCAGAATTCTTGCCCCACCCCACCGACTCCCAGGAAGGAGGAGCTCTGGCATATATTATTTGTGCTGCGCCCAACGCGTAACAACAACTCTTCCGCCAATGCATTTCGACGTAGGAAAAAAAAGTGTGAGTTGCTTCCATAAAATCGCCCATGAGGCAAAACGGCTGGTGAAAAGTGGAAAGAATTTTGGGTCGTTAAAAGGATACATAGAGGAGTCGTTGCATATAAAAATATGTTGTGCTATCTGTTGTCTCTTGAACTCCAAGGAGTCTCCATAGAGTCGCGCGGTTTTTTTTTTTTGCCCACTGGGCATGAATCCCTTACTATTCACAAGTATGACGCACAAATTATCTAACAGCTGGTTCCCTGTTTCATCCAAATGACAGGATGGTAGTGGTAGATAACAACAGTAGTAGTCATATCAGTTATCTCTCAAATTTGGAAACAAGCAACCACGATATAAAAGCCCGTAACTGCAGGAGAAATGTGGAAACTGCACGATCACTCTCTGTAAAACCTATCAAGTCAATCCCTCTCAGACCATAATTTATTATGAACTTTTCCTCCCTAATGGGGATGAGGTGTGCAAGAAAGTCAATTGAAGTCCTTATATCTCAGTTTATCTTTTAAGATACGACCAACCCAGTGTGATATTGAAACCCTCAGTGAAGAGTGTGGGAATCAGTATTAGACTACTTAAATTAGCTAAAGAGAATTATAAAGAGATACAGAATTCATAAAATCATGGAGAAACACCAAGCATTATGGATGAAAAAATAATGTAAAAAAATACTAGTCCTTTCGTAATTTTTGGCACGATTTAATGATGAAAATTTGTCATTTCTCAAAATCATTGAAAAAAGACACCAGGGAGTGAAGGGATTTTATCATGAAAATGACTCACCATGTGGTAAGGATTTTCTGGGACCTTTTTCACCAATGCCTGCCAAGATTCATAAGCAGTGAAAACGAGAGTGGTGTCACAAAATTACAGCAAAATCTATATTTAGAAAAAAAAGATGGTGAAGCATTATTTGCCACATATTCTTGTACATTTAAAGGACGTCTAGCCAAATTAATTTGTGCTTGCATAAACCCTATAAGCTCTGTACTTTAATGCAAAACACTGGCAAGGCTGTCTTGCAGGAAGCGAGCCTGCCTTGAGCTCTTTCGAGAAATCCTACTTGAATTTTTATTTGCTGGAATTTCCAAGATTTCTAGGAAAGTCAATTTCCTTCGGAGGCTCTTCGTAATGTTTATTGTTTATTTAATGAGGAAAGCAAAAAAGTATATTGCTATACTTTAAAAATATGAAAGAAGTCATTTAAATTAATTTTGACTTTTCTGCTGATTCACCTTATTCTCATAACAGCAATAAAAACAACTTGTCTTTCATCAATATTCACAACCTCATAAAAGAAGGTAGTTGTATTGCTGCTTTATATCACTGCTCACCACAATCCTGATGTTCTCCTCTGGCATGCCATTATATTGTAATATATGATGTTTATTCTTCACATCCCAAACACAGGAAACACTCACTGGTACCTACAGATAGCACTCTCAAGTAGACACTCATCCTCTACCACTGGCTTTTCATGGAGAATGCCTATGCAAACCGCCATGTGCACATCAAAAGAAATCAGTAGCTCTCTTCAGAAAAATGCTGTCAGTTACAATGCTAATAGTGTAATCGACAGCGCAATAACAATGCACAGTCTCTGCTGCTTTTTCAGCGCTGGTAGGCGGAGACAGTCACCGAGACCAGTTCTAGGAATGTCTAGCCATGGCTACTCTCAAGACTCCTCTGCAATTGGATTTGCTCAGTTTTAGCTTCTTTACACCTTTTACAAGGCACAGTGTTTCACTCCACACCAATTGCTGCTGTGAGGCACATGAAGGCGTCTTCACATGACTGAATCTTAACGTTTTCTCGCGACTAATGTGATCCATCTAGGCCAGAATCGTAACATTTACTGCCATCCATTTAATTTTTATGGTCCCAACATCATTTTGGACCCTGCATATCCTCAAAATTATCTTCAACTTTATGTCTCCTCAAAAAGCACCATATACGAAGGTGGTCCAACTGAAATTGCACTTTCCGTCCTACATATGGCAGCAGTGCATGCAGATCCATGAAAGTTTTAACACAGATAGTATTGATTGTAATTCAAAAGTTGTGACGCCAATGTCTCATAACTCAGAAATTAGTCATTCATTGTTCTGTAATAACATTTACCACAGTCCCTATAGCAGTATAAGGTAACAAAAAAAGGAGTTGCAACCACAGGTAGTGAATCAAACATGATCCAGACAAAATCCTGCGAATGTTCCTACCTCCCCTAGTGCATGATATGATTCACCATCAAACTTTGCAATAAATTCATGTGAAGAAAACATAAGGGGGCCAAGATAGAACAGTAGTGGTACTTGGCAGCATGATATGCTCAACTGTCATTCATTTCTTCTGGCAGAATCAGTAACTGTGCCTGATGAAAATTAGCATCTGTTCTGCTGGCATAAAGGTGATACAAGTTCGATTATTTTTTTCTGTCTTTAAAAAATTCTCTTATGACCCTACCTGACACCTTTTAGGAACTTATGCTTTGACTTTTTGTTGGGAATTCCTTGGACTGACTCTCTCATCACCAAAGATGTGTAATAAAATAATTTTTCATCTTATAAATTTTTGGTTATTTTGTGTTATGAGACAAGCACGTCCTTTTGAGATGTGGCTTGAATTATTTCATTTCTCTATTGTCATTCTTACCACTAACCTAACAAGCTTAAAGTCATCAATTTACTTGATAATATAAATGTTTTTATTCTATTTGTATCAATAAGACCTGCAATAGATCTTGCCACAAATCTCATACACTATTAATGTCAAAGTGAAGGGGAAATTTTGAATACATCTCCAAAAAAATACAGTACAGAGATATACAGAAATCACTTGCAGGTGATACTCTCAATGAATAAGATGGCTAATCTATGTGTATTGAGACTAATCTATGTGCATTGAGTTCACCCTCAAGCTTCTTTTTTTGCCGGAAAATAAAAGAAGTCTTTTGGGCTTTCTTCACACATGCATTGGGGCATGATAGCAAATGGATTGAAGAATGCTGCAGATATTTCTGTTCATACAATGTTAGATAGTGGGATGGAATTCCTTGCTTAACTGCAAATATCAGTCAATGGTTGCACTGACACTCAAATTGCCTGATATCATGCTTTCTAAATATGGAGTGATGCTTGGAAAGGTTAGCATCATTGTCTTTACTTACAGAAGGAAGAAGTCCCTCCAGTAAGAACATGGGAGCAAGAAATTGCATGACCCCACTATTCATTCTTAGTGCAACTCTCCTCAAGTCAGGACTGAGTGACCTCCTCAACATGGGATTTTGACCAAGTACTTTATTGTCATTACTGCAACAAACCTCTTTGCAAGAGCAGACATTATGGATTTCTCCTATGGAAAACTCCACCAAGAGATCAGTGAAATTCATGACCCTTTTCAAAGTTGCAGTAAATTGTCAGCAATCACACCATTGCAAAGGTACAATCCATCTGCAACTGAAACATCCAGACTGCAAGAGCAGGATGGTTTTGAATGGAAAAATGTGACTTAAGGAACACAGCCTTACTTGCAGCTCAATCGGGATGCTATGTTTTTCTGTGTCTGTGATCCCTTTGGCAGTGTGGGAAATATAGGGAAAATATTGCCTGAACTAAGTGAATGCATTGCTGCATTTGAGGCTATTGCTCTTTTGCTCAGTTACTGCCAGTTTTCTGTGCTAACTAGTCTAAACTTTTTCATTACAAGTGATTTCAACAACTGCGCTCAGAGTGCCAGATAGCCCGATGAATATGTCTTGATTTGTGTGATCTTGAAATCCAAGTTTTCACATGTGAATGAAAAGAAAATGGGAACGTTGAACGCAGGGAACTAATGCTTTCATATTGCTTTGAGATGTTTGTATTCATTTATTTGCCAAAAAAAAAACACCAGAGAAATAAACCATGATCTCTTTGAAGTTCAGATAGCATTGTTTTTTATAATTTCATTACCACCAAAAAATAAGTTTGTGATCACATTCAAAGAATGTTCTTTGGTGTTCTTTTCTGGGAGGATTCCAATGAAGTGAAATCAACAGGAGATTCCTCCCAAAGGACCTTCCCATCACTGAATAGTGTCCTCTGTGGTCCTCTTTCTCATCCTCCTGCTCCCTTTCTATCACTGCAGAATGGTGCTCAATAAATTTAAAGCAAGGGTGCTGCTGAAATAAAAAAATATCAATTTAGAAATGTATGATGCTCATGCAAGAAATATTCTGAAAAGTTTTCTGAAAAGTGTAAATATGGGACTATGAAAGAGCTTGGGAATGACACTGAGGTGGCCCACTTGTCTAACCTTGTCCTGTGCATCCCCAGTGAAGTGTTAACAGGTCCCCAGGAACTACATTTTAAAAACTACTAAAACAGAATTTGCAGGGTGTCCTAAAAATCATTTGGGAACACTACAGCAAAACAGCAGATCCAGTACTCTTATATTTTTTTTAGGTTCTATCAATCCTCAGTCAGCTGATTAGCTTCTGCAGTTAATTCAAACCTTTTCTTTTTCCTTTGGCAAAGGAATAGTCAAATACAGTATGAAACTGCAAACTTACAGTCAATACAGTTTACCAGAGCAGTGTATCAGTTTATTTCAGTTTTAACCAGCTTCTTTCTTCTGGATGGAAAAGTGTTGTGCTGAATACTGTTACTATGAGACAGGTCTCCTCATTGACATTAATCAAGTGTGTGGAACCACCTGTTACAACCTGAATCATGTGATAGCAGACGACAACAACAAAAAAAAACACAATGGAGGAGTAGGGTGATGAAACTTGGTATTTGAAATTTTTAATAATACATAATGGAATCTATTCTCAGGAGGAAGGAGCATGATGAACGAAGGCACTGCAAGGTAGTGGTAGTGGTGGTGGTGCTGAACTAGAACTTTCCTGGTAACAAAGATGAGTCTCCCACAATCATAGGTGAGGTACTGTGTACACCTTTAGGGGTACAAACCCCTTGGACCCCCTACTCCTCTTCTGGAAGTTCGGTTGAACCTTTGCATCCGACTCTTCCTGGTTTGCCATGCATGCATTAAGACTCAGGTCTTAATGCATGCATGGCAAATAGAGGGGAGAGGGGGAGGGAAGGGGAAATGCAAAAAATTGCATCGAAGAAGGATTAGTCAGGGGTACACGAAGGCAGTGGCGTGCCCAAGGGCTCCCCCCCCCCCCCATTGGGCACGCCACTGGTTTGGGGGTCACAACCCCCCGCCCTTGGGGTCAATTTTACAGGTTCGATTCTCACTAATTTTTTAATTTGGCCATAAATACAGGGTGGGTTATCAGTTTTTTCATATTTTAACCCCCCCATTAGGGTGGGTAATCAATGTTTCATATGGCAACTCCCCCCCATTCGGATTTCCTGGGCACGCCGCTGCACGTAGGTACAAGGCAATAGATCACTGCTGATATTCGGACATGAACGTATGCTCATTTACTGAGAACCTTAAACTCGAGTATACTATACATAACATGCACTACCCCGATGGAAGTACAATGGAAAGCTTGGAAAGTGGAACTGCTAAAAGGAACCCAGTGACTTACTTTCCTACTGTGTCAAACGATCTCATGCGACAAAGCTGAATGCGAAAGAAGCCTCAACTTTATTAACATTGTCTCTCACCATAGAGCATCTCAACAAGCAATTACAGCCAGTTTATGAAGACGAATGGGTCCACCCTCTCTCTAAAAAGATCGGTTCGTGTAAAAACGAGCTGCATAAGAAAAAGTGAATAGAAGCGGAACCAAAAGTATCGACAAAATTTGGTTTTCAAATAAGGTTTCGCAAGTTATGAAAGGGTCTATTCGTATTTAATTGCAGCACATTCCAAGAGCCGTGCACGAGATGATAATGATAGGTTGAAGTTACATTATTTCCATCCATGTGCGAGCAACTGAAGAATCTAACTCCCGATGGATCCACATTTTATTTTCCTCAAGAACTCTTTTGGGGACCGAACATGGGGGAGGCCGTGGCCGCACGATGGCATGGCAAGCAAATATCTGAATAAGGACTTCTGGAATGTTAAGGAACCTTGTGGATAAACAACATTCAACGTGAGAGCTACATGTACGAACCACATCGTATACATGCTCGTACTTGAACATGTAATGGAACCTATCACCAAAGGTAGACGAACATACCTACTATAGTATACAGGGTGGCCCAAAAAATGTACCCACATTTCGAATAACTGTGATACGGAAGGTATTTAAATCACATGTTAGCATTACTTATTTATTAATACCTAACACAATCTTTTATCTCTTCATACACTTTTGCTTCACCGGAAATGCTCAAATTGGCATCCACCAGCATTTAAACATTTAAAAGACAATAATGACAGAATTGCAACGACTGGGAGAGTGGGTACATTTTTTGGGGCCACCCTTGTATATGGTTGGTCGTCGTGAAGTAGTAAATCCGGGTTTCCTTTCATGCACGGCTAAGCGTTAACCTTCAAGTGGTGTCCTTGTTTTTTTTTTTTAATTACGTATCTGGTATCGTGGAGTCAAATTGATCCCAGCAATAAAAATCTCAATGAAAATGAAGTATTTTTGGAATGAAAAGTTAGTTATCGTGGCAGTGTCGTAGTTAACATCACTGCAATGAAGTTAACTACGAAAATGCCACGATAGAGGTCCTAATGCCATATGAAGGAATTGGGATCAGATTGATTGCAAGCGCCATCTCTTGGTTATTGACTCAGTGGAGTCTCTTATTACACCACAATACCAGTTGAGGATTAAAACCAAATGATGAAAGAGAGCAACCGTAAATGCGAAACTAGAAACCTAACCAACAGTTATAATAAAGCCGTCAGAGCTGTCAAGTGGACAACGATGAGGGTGCGGCAGCCCGTCTCTTCGCTCTTGGTGCCTGGGGAAAGGAAAACGGTTTTCCCTGCATGGCCATGATCCAAACGGGCACGTAGCGAGGCCGTCATGGCAATGGAGTTCTCCAACAATGGCCGTAACGTGACGTGATGCCGGCATTAACCTCTCTCGGTGGAGTAAAGAACAAGGAATGTCACTCGACGTCGACTGTGACCAAGGAGCTTACCTGCACCGTTGCTTCTCTGTAGCCTGATCCCTTCTCAAAGGGGACAAAGCTCCCTTTTCCTCATTTATCCACCCTTTTTTTCTCTCTCTCGTGTGTATGTATCCGGAAGGCCAGGAATAGAACAGCACCGAGATTGTCCTCGGCCTATTTAACTATTTAATGAAGGACTATATCTTCGTTATGTTCAAGCAGTCTAACTCGCAGTCAGTCACGTCTTAACGACGGATGAGGAATCCGGAACATATGACAAAAATCTGGGTTCATGATACGTTAATGATCCCGCCGGTCCGGAAGGATCAGATACGCATGAGTGGGTCACGTGGAGTTCAGAACAATGCATTCTAACAAATACCGGAGCAGCCCCTATAGTCCGCGCTTATTTTTTTTCTTTCTCGATGGAAGGCATGCAAATAATTTCTCGGCACAGTTATTTAGGGTATGGGTATTCTGTAAATCATGCGCCATTTACTTTTGTTCCCTGAATTAACGTGTGGGTGGGAATCTGTCTCTGTTAGAACGGTAAGTAGCTCAAAGAACTGGCGCCTGATAAGCCGTTCTAATGCTAAAAAGTTCAGATTTGCATTCTCTTTGAGATGGGATGGTGACGAAGCATGATTTTTTGGTTACATGGGAAACTGGAGACCTCAAAACGAGTGGGACGTGTGAACAGTCGCGGGCCTTTCTTGCAGCGCCCGTTTCAATGATGGAGGTTTTTATAGGTGAAGGTCTGCTGGATGAGTCTTTCCATTGGTGTGAATTTAAGGGAATGTGAATCAAGAGTTAAAGCCCACCACTCACCTACACCAGAATTATTTGCCAATCACCCAATTCGGCGTAATTGCGAACTCGATTCAAGACGAACTAGCAATAAAACCTTCAGTGTCAATAAACCTCCGGGAAAATCGAGGTCAATCTGCTCCTCGTCCACGTGGCCTCGTGAGAAATTTCACGCGATCGGTACAATTACTTCTCTTCGGTCGAACAGCAAAAGCGGTGAAAAACGCACACATGGACAGGACGGAGACGAAAGTAGTCCCAAGAAACAGCGAAAAACTGAGCGGATGCAGGAAATGAAATCGTCCTTGCAATGGCCTTGGTTAGTGCGAGGAATTAGTACACAAACCGGACGATCGCAGTCAAATAGAGGCCTGGGAGTGCATGTGTAGTGGAACTATGCACATATTAGCTCATTTCGGATCCAATTTTTTACCCCTACCCCTTAAAAC